GATTCACTGAACCAGGAGATTTTCGTGTCTCCTAAATTCATGAGGAATCAACTTTTATATTTTTAAAACTGTTTTAGACCAAAATGAAAAAGTCACGGGACATGCTCCTCCAAAATAAAGTATAGATCGTGTAGAGGGACAGAAAAATCTAATTGATCCAACATTTTTAATAATTTTATCACCAATCAGAACAAGCCGGTTGGGCCCTCTACTCTTTAGAGAGGAGGATGCAGCATCTATGATTTCCAATTCTTCGTTGAAAGGACAACTGGACTTACTTGAGACGTTTCGCCTTTCCAAAAGAAGGTCAGATGTTGTCCATCAGACCTCAGGACAGTGTCTTCTCCCCCTCAGTCCACCTTAGATGGGCTCAGCTCTGGATCCTGGTTCTACCTGGTCTCCTCCTTCATAGTTCAGTTTGAACCTCATCTGTAGATGTAGTGATGATCTGTGTTCACAGTCTATAGTTTTTGAGGTGATATTGAGTCCATGCGGTGACTTCCACTCCAGAGTCCTGTCTGTTTTTAATGCCCTGAAGATCCGGACCATCAGGTCTTGGTTTTAGACCTTGTCCCTCTATTACAGAAACTTCTCCAGATCAGTATTACACAAAGTTTGACCTGTTTGGTTGAAATGTGTGACTTGCACCAAAATGAAAATGACACGAAAACTTTCATTTCCAGGTTTTGATCTGTAGTTTCTGCTCTAGTCTAAAAAAAAAAAAAAAAAATAATAATAATAATAATAATAATAAATTTTTTACAGGAGCTTAAAGACGCTTTACAAGGAGAAAAAAAACAACACAATTTAAAATACAGAAAAATTTGAGAAATAAGACCAACGACGTAAAAGTTTAAAAAAGACGATAAAAGAACAGTTCACAGGTTAAAAGACAGTTTAAAAAGGACAGTTTAGGAGTGATTTGAAGGTTTGGGGGTCTCTACAGTCTCTGATGGGTTTGAGGAGTGAACTCCAGACGGTGGGGACGACAGTGGAGAAGGATCTGTCCCCCAAAGTTCGGTGTTTGGTCCGAGGGGGTAGGACAAGAAGATTGAGGACCGAGGATCGGAGGGTTACGAGATACAAATAAAGATATTTGACACTGCTTCTTGATTCAGGTTGTAAATTGAATAAATATAGTAAAGCAAACTTTCAGTGTGAATGTAAAGAAGAAGAGAATTAATGCTACAAATATGATTTAGTGTGTGTATGATGTTTGATTTCTATTTAAAGTTGAATGAATATTTTTGTTTGCTGAACATGTTTTTATGAATCCTGAGGATAACTCAAACTTCTAACAGGAAAAAAGGATTAAAATCAGAAAGTAAGAGTCTGATTTATCTGAACAGAAACAAACTGGATCAGCCGTTTTTATCAAAGACAGAAAGGAGCTGAAACACAAAAACACAAATCCTGATCAGTCCGAGCTTCATCCTCAGAGTTTCTGCTTCTTCCTCTGATGTTTCTTAGATGATGTTGGTGTCTTTGTTTTGGACCTTGGTTCTGAGCTGTTCTGCAGAGAGGAGGAGGAGGAGGAGGAGGAGGAGGAGAACGGCGCGCTCCTCTGTAGTGGAGTTTCTCTAATGGGCTCCATACTGCCGCCCGCTTTCAGACGATTATTTGAAGAAACTCGACACTGGGCTTGGATCGAAATCAGCCCAATGTGGCCACGTTACAGGACCGGGCATGAGTGTGTGTGTGTGTGTGTGTGTGTGTGTGTGTGTGTGTGTGTGAGTCTCAGAGAGAGCTCCAGTTTATGTGCCTTTTGATCAGAGTTAAACTTGGGCGATGAGGAATGTTTCTGTTTCTCCTTTGAAGGCAGTTTGAGTTTTCACTACGAGGTTTGGTTCAGACGGGGCCTGAGAGTGTGTGTGTGTGTGTGTGTGTGTGTGTGTGTGTGTGTGTGTGTGTGTGTGTGTGTGTGTGTGTGTGTGTGTGCACCAGTGTGTGTGTGTACGTGTGCATGCAAAAGTATAAGTGTGTTAGTGTGTGTGCATGGGTGTAATTTGCATGTATGAGTATATGTGTTCGTTCATGTATGTAAGTGTGTAAGACTGTGTGCATTAGTGTAAGTGTGTAAGTGTGCATGCATGAGTGTAAGTGTGTGTGTGTAAGTGTGTTTGTATGAGTGTAAGTATGTAAGTGTGTAAGTATGCATGCATGAGTGTTAGTGTGTGTCCATAAGTGTAAGTGTGCTTGTATGAGTGTGTGCATGAGTGTGTGCATGAGTGTGTGCATGAGTGTAAGTGTGTAAGTGTGCGTGTAAGTGCGTGTTACTGTGTGTGTTCATGTGTATTAGTGTGTATTTCTGTGTGTCTCTGTGTTAGTGTGTGTCTTTGTGTGTTCCTGTGTGTGTGTTAGTGTGTGTGTTGATCCCGGTATAAATGGCGTCTCACTCTGACTCTGAATCTCGTCGTCAAATCTCGTTCCAGAGAAAATTCTCCGTCCAAAACGAATAATTCAGAGCCAACGCCTGCCGTGGAAAATCTGCCTTCAATTTTCCTCTGCTGGTGGCTCTGTGCGCGCTCAGCCCTCCAACTCTTTTCTCCCACTCACACACACACTCACACACACACACACTCACACACACCAGCGTCCGAGCTTCCTCCCTCACACACTCCCTGACTCTCAGATCCAGTTGGCCTGCAGCGAGCCGACCCCACAGTTTATTTTTTTCTCAATTATCCATTTAGTGTAAGTGGCGGCCGCCTGATGGGCTCCACGCCGAGAGGAAATGTTTGTATTGTCCTCGTTGAACAAAGAGCGTTTAAACTAATACCTGATTAGTGAGAGAGAGAGTCAACGCAGCGAGGAGAGAGACTTTTCAGACGGCCGCTCTGGTTCTGTTTCTTTGTTTATCTAGATCCAGTAATCACCTCCGACCATCAGAGCTTCAGCTGCAGACAAACACAGACTGTTTTCACTTCATTTAGACCAAAGATAAAACTTTAACAAACACAATCTCTCTGTCTGTTATCGGACTTTTCTGCCACAGAGAGGAATCAGCTCAGCCTCAGGACGTGGGTCCAAGTCGACCGTGTCATCGAGCTCATTTTCAGATATCCTTATATTACCAAATGTCATCAATAACTAATAACTATTGACTGATATTCAAAGCTTACTTGTTTGAACACCATTAAACAGATGCTTCTTTAACAGATTCCTGCCTACTCCACCTTTAAGTCAGGTCGGTGGTCCTGTCTGCAAAAAACTGCAGCAGGTTCTTATTAAAGGGCCAAACTGTGGAGACCAGTGACTGTAACTCATACAGCCCTCCTTTAAAAACACCAGAATATCCCTTTAAGAAAGATTTTCGGGTTTGTGAGTAATACTGGAGTTTTGATGAAGGTCCTGAATTGATGCATTTTTCTTAAATTTTGTCCTTTTCTCTATTTTCTTTTTCATTCTCATGCTGCCTGGTTTAGTTTGGATTATTGGAAATAAATTTGTGCTTTTATTTTGAAAACAGCTTTCCCGCTCACCTGACAGGAAACAGGATGTGAATAAGTGCTGGCAGGTATGGACTCAGGTGTGCAAGAACCTGAGGATTTCTCTCCTTACTGGGACCTGACTGGACCTGGGACTAAGGTCTGGTTCTGTTCCTTTGGGGTTCTGTTGTGTTTAACTCTTTACTCTGTTTAAGGTGTTTTGTTTGTTAGCAGCTAGCTTAGCGGCTAACAGCTAGCCTTCTGTTTGGTCAGGTCTGTATTTGTTAGCTGCTTTATTTTCTCGTTTGTCATGATATTTTGTGGTTTATATATTTAATGTTTGTTTATATGTTTGTTTTTATCAGTTAAATGTTTGATGAGTGTTTAAACAGTCCAAGATTTCAGTGTTTTTTACTCTTTAACCAGATTAAGACTCGTGTTGTTTTGCCTTTTTGTTGCTAATTCAGTTTTATTTTGTCTCATCTTGTGTAGCTCTGATGGTTTCTCCGCCTGACGACAAAATAAAACTCCATCAGTTTGGACTCCGACCATCGATCATGATTCGATTCTGTCTGCTGCCTCAGTGCTGCGCTCCTGCGGTTATTCAGGTAAGATGAACATGAACACAGTAAAGAAAAATAACTTTAATAGAAAAGTTTTAACTGTTTTTTTTAATTAATATCCACATGAGATGTAGGAGTAAAGTCGACACTTAAAGCTACTGAGATGCTTGACCCAGAGTAACCTGGTCGACGCGCCGTGCTGCTGAGTTTTATCGTGAGTTTTGATGATCAGTGAGAGTCCGGACGCTCAGATTCAGCAAACAAAAAATTTATTGCAATAAACAAACCACAACAGTGACATGACGACCTTTATCCCTGAGCCCCCAGATAACAAGACAGCAACACCTAAGGCACACAAAGTGAACTGCAGCTCATAATATGGTATTAAATCAACATATTTGGCTCCAACATGAGAAGTTAAATTTAGAAAAGTAACAACAAACAGATAAACGGTTGAGTTTTCTTTCACTGTTTCTTTACTGCTCTGATAATCTGGCGTACACAGCGCTGCAGGAGTCTGATTGGTCGACAGAGTTGTCAATCATGCTGTTATACACCTTTTTATAGCATCGAATAACTGATTCAAACAACGCTAGTTAGAAAAATAAAGACTTAGACGACAATTATCATAGAAACATTTATAAGACGTGATTTAGATCTGTTAACATGGAGGGGGCGGGCTCTAAAATGAATACTGCAGCCAGCCAGCAGAGGGAGCTCTAAGTGTTTTGGCTTCACTTTATGAGGTCGTCGGTCTTCTTCAGAAAAACGCTCCAAACACCAAACAAACTTTGACTCTGATTTCTTTAAAAAACAAAACCTGCAGCTGATCGGTAAGACATGAAGTCAACGTTTGAGTCTCCATGTTTGTTGAAATCCCCTAAATTTCCAGAACAGGGACATGAACCAACATTGTGGACCTTAAAAGCAGGTCCTCATGATAAACTAAACCGAGCCCTGAGGTCTGCCAGGCCTTCATGAAAAACTCTGACGCTGCACTTTCCAGGACTCATCCGCTCTGATCTGATCGCTGTAATGACACGTTTCCATGACAGAAGAAGAAGAAGAGCGCCATGATCCAGAACGTTTGTTTGTCAGCTGGACGAGCCGCTCCTTCGCTCAGCTCTGTGGTTTCAGTCTGAGGAGTCCTGATTTCTGTCGCTCTGACTCAGCAGCTCTCAACCCGGGTCCTCTGAAATCCTGCTGACGCTTCACTCACCCCGAGGAGGAGGAGGAGGAGCAGGAGGAGGAGGACTCTTCATCTTCATCTTCATCTTCACTGTCACCCTGGGGTCCTTATTCTTGGAGGATGTTTTCCTGCTCACCTCTGCAGAGACGAACAAAAACAAGAAGATGAGACAAAGGGAGATCTTCATCCAAACGCGACTCTTAATCTGGATTATCACCGTTTATTGGAAATAAAAGTAAAGTCTCCTGTACGGTGGCTGACAAGGGCCAACAATCTGTGCTTTGAATATTCTGATGCTCCAGAGACAAAACGCTCAAAAGTAGAAAGCTGCTGCAAATAAAACAGAATCAAATCAGCATTTTTAGAGGCCTGTCAAAAATGCTAAAAGGCCTGTAGGGGGCGCTGAGTAACACAATTGTAGCTCAACACCTGAATAAACTTGAAGTATTTCAAAATTCACTTTAAACAGGTTTTTATAACGCTGACCTACACATAAAAATGAACTACGGTGTCCAGTATGAGACAAAATGTGCAGCAGAAAAACCTGAAGACCTTTTAAAAAAATTTTTTTAAGTGAGTCGACAGTGTCAGTCAAACTTTTATGGATTTTCCAACAGATTTATTATCATAATCATTGTCAATTTCTGTTTTATTCAACTTTAACTTGTTCAAATTGGCTTTTCTAAATTCTTTTTATTTTAATTATAATTTTTTGAAGCACTTTCTGTTTTTGAATTAAAGGTGATATGTAAATAAAGTCGAGTTAAAGCTCCTGTAAGGGGTGCCAAAACTGACAAACCAAAAGATCCTTACAGGAGCTTTAAGTACAACGACTGAAATTAATATTTCGAAAAAAAAAAAAACAATAACAAAACAATAAAATAAGATAGTAACATAAAAAAAATGTAAACAAGACTTTCAAATGATAAACAATCAATCAAACCCTTTTGTATTTTACACAGAAAGTGTTTAATGTGATAATATATATATATATATATATATATATATATATATATATTTTTTTTTTTTTTTTTGGATCTACATGAAAATTAGCTGGGACGGCTTTTTATGTTTTAAAAATTATGGTAAATTTTATCAGTAAGAATCCTTTTAACAGTTTTATAGTCGCTATTGTTCCATATTAAATTCGATCACTTCATTGTTTTATTTTTGTTTTTCCTGCTGAAAAATGTGAAAACGTTCAGGATCCAAGATCTGAGCCTAAAATGTCAAAGTTTGTGTCTTTAGTTTGAAAATCCTTTGAGCGTCATTTTATTTTGAAGGGGAACAGGAACAGTCATCTTTCAGTAACTCATAAATATGTTGAATCTGTTTTAGTGTACAAAGTCTGTCTAACAGCCCAGAGGGTAAATTAAAGAGTTTATAGTCTGGAGAAAACCTGATTTGTTGGACTTTAAAGTCCTCATCCATGTGGGACACGTGTTTGTAATGATGGAGCCACCTGCAGGCCTGCTGCTGCTGCTGCTGCTGGGTTCTTGAGGTTCTGAAGGTCGGAGTGCCAGACCCTGACAGACGGTGAAGGTTTTGATCACTCCATCAGCTCTGCAGCAGGAATGAGCTCATATCAACCGTCAGCTGAAACGTCCTGACCGCTGCAGCAGCCGGCGTCCGCGTCACACACGATCATGACAGACTCAAACAAACACACACAGCAGAGAGAGACACAACTGAGGATTTCATGAAGCCAACGTCACTCATCGTCTACATGAACATACGGGACTGAACTCACGCAGACAGAAACCAGTTACCTCCCTTTAATGGAGCCGAACAGAGAAGAACATACAGCTTCATACAAACATCACTAATGTAGAGGTAGAGTCATGTGATCGTACAAGTCAGGACCTTTTTCTGACTTTATTCTCTATATCGTATTAAATCTGGTTAAATATCAGATAATGACTTTAATCTCACACTTGTAAAAGTAAGTCAACATAACGACTTTAATCAGAAAACAACTTTTTTCTGGTAATTTAACTCCTTAATTAAGAATTAAAATGGATGAACTTAAAAAGAGCTTTACTGTGCGCACTGAGGAAACATCATTTTAAAACTCAAGATGAGGAAACACTGGAGGGTTAAAATCTAAAAACAAAGTAACAGAATATATTTTAAGAGATAATAAATAGTGTTTTTCTTCTTAGAGTGTTAAATTCACTTTCCTCCTAAAGTTCAAACTGCAGACGATGTTAGGATGGAGGAAACATGAGCAGGATGTTCAGGTGTGTTTATTAAAGAGAGTTTACCTCCAGGTAAACTAGAGTCAGTCATGGCTGAGGGAGGTGCATTCTGGGACATGTAGGCACTGAAGGACTCTGCTACCTTCATTTGACAAACGAACCATCAGTGAGGATGTTTATTTACTTCAAACTGTGTGTGTGTGTGTGTGTGTGAGAGAGAGAGAGAGAGAGAGAGAGAGAGAGAGAGAAAGAGAGAGAGAGAGAGAGTGTGTGACTCATAGAAACACATTGAACCCACATGTATCCAGACTCTTCATTTGGAGAATTCAGCTCTCTCTCTCTCTCTCTCTCTCTCACTCACACACACACACACACACACACACACACACACACACACACACACACACACACACACACACACACACACACACAGGGGAAAGCAAACCACTGTGAAACTTTGCCTGTGAAACTGACAGATGGGCAGGAATAAGAAAACTGGCTGCAGTTCGGGATTTGGCCACAAGGGGACATGAAAGCAGAGTTTGGCAGAGACATGGAGACAGGAGTAACATCTGCTGCAGACAGAGAGAGGAGACAGAGGAAGAAATTAGTTTAATATGAGAGGAAGTTTTTTTTTGTTTTGTGTTAATTATGTCAAATGAGCAGAAATGGTTTTTTTTCTTATTGTTTGATATAAATTTAAAGTTTAACTTCACTGCTTTAGTGTTTTTTAAAGACATTTAAAACATCCAGGCCTGATCTCTTTGTGATCGTGTGACAAATTGACTTTTTTGTCAACATTATTAACATGCCTCTAATATTTTCTATTTCTATATATTTATTTTAGAAATGGGGACAATAAATATTGATGAACATTTACATGTAAATATGTGGGATTATAGCCAAATGGTTAATTTCCATCCCCAGTCCCATCGGCAGGTTGATGTTAAATATAAAAGCAATAATGTTAAAAGTACAAACAACATGACAGAGACAGTAAAACACTGACAACATACACATAATATACAAGATGTGTTTTATTTTGAAATGAAGAGTTAGTTTATAATTAAAGGTGTTGTAGGCAGGAATCTGTTAAAGAAGCATCTTTTTATTTTGTGGTTTTAATACAAAAAATCTTCTAATATCAGTCAATAGTTATTAGTTATTGATGATATTTGGTAATATATCGATATCTCTGTGTTCTCTTATGTCTGTGTCGTCAACAGTTGAACATTTTTGAGCGGTCCGCTCTTTCTGACTGTAAACAAAGCCGTTCTCCACCTCCTCTAACCTGATTGGTTGTGAGGCAGACGCTGCTCCCCCGTGTCGTTCAGGAGCCCAAACAAAGTTAGCGTGCTACAATATCGGACAGTAGAAACCAACCAGAAAGTTCGGAAAATTGTCTGAATCCTCCTTTGGCCACGACTGCCGACACAAGCAAGAAAACAAAGTAAATACCGGAGACTCTGGAGGAATAACGGGCGCTTAAAACGGAGGTAGACCGGACAAGAGCTAAAAAGCCGGGTCAACATAAACGATGGGGGACGCTTGGGGATCTTGGTGACCCTGTAACCTTTCTGCTGGACAGGTAAACCGCTTTAACAAAGTAAGACAAGTGTCTGTAACAGAAGTGTTTCTTGTCAAACAGACCTGCTGTAGCGTGTTGTAGCGCCATCGCTAAACTGTCCTCCCTCGGGTCCTGGACTATGTCACTTTATCCTCGTTGTAGAAGTCCTGCAAACATTGTGTTTGCTGGTAGTCTGTTGGCATCTACAGTAGTGGTATTAAACTGGTTGGGAGGCGGTAGAGTTTACCTTCAAGATTTCTCCTAAAAACTGGAACTTCCTCAGATCCTGAGGAAAACATCTTTAACAAACTGTGTTTTTGAGAAGGAAATGATTCATTTGTCCAGTTGTGTTTTGTAGGTGTGGTCTGTGTTCAGAGTTTATAAAGAGTATCTTTAGTTTTGTTCAGTGTTTGTTAGAGTCTGAGTAAACTCTAATAGTTGTTGTGCGTTAAATCCTCCCCACAGTCAAACTTGAGGACATGACCGTGTTTCCAGGTCTCCTCCTCACCTGGTGAGATGTTCTTACCTGTGAGGAGGAGGAGGAGGAGGTCTCAGTCTGTTTACATGTGTCACCCCCCATGAACCGTCCCCCCTCCTCTTTCACGCGCATTTTCCCGGGAACACTTCTGTGTCTTCTTTCACGTGCCGTGCGCCAAAAACGAGCGCACGGGCCTCCCCTGCGCATCACGAGGCTTTCCCTTTGATGTTTGGGTCCACCGCACCGCCGGGGGGTGCGGGAGGAGGAGGAGGGGGGAGGGGAGGGGGGCATCTGACGCGTGAAATCCACTTTTATTGGGTCGCGGGGGGGGAGCTGTGGACCAATGAGCTGAAACGGGAGCAGCGGCGGTGTCGTCTGAGCGGCTGCAGGATCAGGATCCGCTCTGATCCACACAGACCGGGGGGACAGCCGGGGATGCTCACGGAACGACCCGGACTCTAACAGGACCGGAGGACGGACCGGGGATTTTTAGGATGTCATCGATGCCGTGATGCACGTGGAGGATCCCGTGGACGTGACAGTGAGACGATGGAGAGGAGAGAGGAGCTGTGACCGAGAGAGGCGACATTAGAGCGGGACTGAGAGGTACAGAGACACGGAGAGTGGATCCACAGCAGCTCATTAACATCATTAATGATTTTAATAATAACAGACTTTATCAGATCAAAGGTGACGTCACAGAGGTGATTGATTTTAGATCAATTAAAAACAGACTGAGGCTTTAATCAGAGCAGACTGATGATCAGGATTTATCTGCTGATCAGTTACTGTGTCGTAGTTAATGTAAACCTGTGTGTGTGTGTGTGTGTGTGTGTGTGTGTGTGTGTGTGTGTGTGTGTGTTTGTTGTTGTCAGACGGTGACAGCTGTCTGATGTTGTCTGACTCTGAGCCAATAACTGTTTCCTGTTCAGTATTGATGAATTGATTACTGAGCTGCAGGCCTGAAGTGTGAGTGTGTGAGTGTTCAGAGTTTATAGGAGAGTTAAAGTCTGAATGAGAGGATATTTAAATAAAACAACAACCATGTAACAGGCAGTGATGTCTGCAGAATAATCCTGATAATAATCAATAATAATGTGCATCTTCAACAGATCAATACTCTGATATTTATCCCAATATTCATAAAAACTTAACTCTCACTCAGTTCGTTTACTTGCACATATTAATCGGACTAAGCTCATAATTCCTCGTCCGCGTTTACATGCAGCTGAGAAAACTGAATTATTGACGTGAACGTGTCCTCCTCCCCAACACTAGGGGGCGATATGGGTCTTTTCAGCGGCGCTGTTTCCGACCCCATACAACCGTCACCAACAACAGCAGGTCGGTGTCAGACGACAGAAATGTCTACAACTGCTGCTGGACATTTTGGAGAAACAAGAAGATGGAGCATCGTACAGCGTTGTTTTTGTCCGACATGATGGACGCGCTACTTTTTCTAAAGAGGAGACCAACGCTACTCCTCTACTCTGGGGGTTTGTTACGGGGTTACGGGGGCGTGGCCTCATACTCCGACTACGCTGGTTACATGGGAGAGAAAATCAAATTCCAATCTCATTATCTGGGAGTCTGAATCGGAGTTCTCAAACTCTGATTATAGTCGGACTAAGGTGTTTACATGCTCTTCAGTTGTCTGGTCTTAATCCGAATAAGGCGATAATTCGTTTTTCTCGAGTGTCATGGAAACAGACTGATTGTTTCTTCAGATTTTGTTTCTGTGCAGACCTGCTGTGTGTTCGACTGAAGTTTCTGCTTTGGTTCCAGGTAGGGCTGCACGATTAATCGATTTTAAATCATTTTCCTCTCTATCATGTCTCTCGCCTCCAGGCCACCGTAGGCTCCTCCCCCTTCCTTCCCAGTTCCCGCATACACCAGTGTAAACAAACATGGCGTTTGAAAAGAAGGCGATAATTTCGTGGTTAAATAGGACAAGAGCGAGTCAGTCGTGTTGAATTGGTACGACTTCACAGTTTCAGATGAAGAGTAAACCACTCCCCGCTGCAAAGTCTGTCTGAAGGCGGTATCAACCCGTCACCACGGAAACGAATTCAGGAGGAAACGCTAACGTTTTTGTCGTATCGGCGTTTCAGGTGACTGTAAACGGTACTTTTTGAAAACGGGTCAGAGAGTGAATAAATCTGTAAACGACGACCATTTCATCTCCGTGTGGATGTCTATCTGCATCTCTGGAAACGATCATGTGACACACAGAGTAACTCTTTTATAGCGCCAAAACAACCTTTACACTCTTCTTTGTCTTTTGTGCATTTCCTGTTACAGTGCCACTTACTGGCTTGGCATATGAACTACATCATTTTCAGTGGTTTGGTTTTGAGAGACGATAGAAAAACTTTTTATTTTTTCAGTGATGTTTGGTGAAGTTGTCACTGAATAAAAAATCTGGATTTTATTTTTGGCCAAAGTCTTGTAGCCCTGATTCCAGAACGTTAACTCTAAACCTGCTGTATCCTTCTTCATCGACCAGAGAAAACCTCTGCAGGTGTTTGACTTCATATTCAGAGATAATAATAACATATAATCTCTCTGATATGGGCTCTTCAGAATATTTATGCAACAATAAGAGGTGGAAATTTGATCTTGAAGAAGAAAAACATTATTTAGACATTAATATTCCTGCATCTGTTGCGTTTATACATCTGTAGATTTGTTGTCAAGTTAGCATGATGATAAATAGACAGAAATATAAGCATCTCCATCATGTCTGTGAACCTCCCTTCCTCCAGCTCCTCTTGTTGACTCCTCTTTGACTCCTCATGTGTTTTTTTCAGCAGTTTAGCTGAAACATGACACTGAATATTGATTATTTCTCCTGTAATATGAGTCCGAGATGAGGCTCGTTAATAATAAATGACCTCTAAGTGAGTTTTAGTAGAAACCTCTGCAGAGGAGTAACGTCCTCCTCCTCCTCCTCCTCCTTCTCCTCCTCCTCCTCCTCCTGGCTGAAACAAAAACACATGCTTTTGTCTTCGGGCACAGACGTTTCTCTGCAGACTCTGGTGTTGAAATCAGATTAGTGTTTCAGGTTTTTGTCCGCTCCAGCTCTCTGACAGACTCTCTTTGACAGCTGGTCCAGATATGACAGAGAAGATACCTGAGGAGGTCTGAGTCGAAGAAACGCAGAAGAAACTCTTCCTCTGAATCTCATGTTGAACGCTGAATAACATGGAGTCGCTCCAGGCGAGATTATGTTAAAAAAACACCCAGAACCACAGAGAGTTCTGCTGCAGAGGTTTTATTTATTACAGATGACATCTCGCATAGTTTATGATTTCACTCAGAGGTTCTTCATATGATTAGCAGCAACAGATGATGGGAGTGAAGAATAGAAATCCCTCCACACTTAGTTTTGACTGATCAGCTGTGAGTGTAATCATGATTCCTCAGTTTGGAGGTTAAAATATCTCACATTAATGTCATTTACTGCTGGATATGCAAATTTATCAGGTCATACTTCACATCACATTCTTCAGCCGCGATAATAATCAGAAAATTAAACCTCCACAGAGATTTTAAGCATCAACACCTCGTTTCCAGACACCGTGTGCTTCGCCTGCAGCTCTGCATGTCAGCACCTGAGTCAGCCAGGAACAGTCACTCAGCTGTCGACCCTAACCCTTACCTGTGCTGTAACACTGAAAAAACATGAACCACAGAGAGTGAACCTGTTTCTGATCCAGGCTGAAAACACGTGGAGTTTAGCTGTAAAAGATGGTATTTTAATGTTGGACCTAAAAGGAGATTTTAAGGATTTTGTAGTTAGGTCTGATCAGTAGCTGATGTGGAAGTGCAAAAAAACTGCAGTTCCTTAAGTGTCCACTTGAGGCTGTTTCCAAAAACACTGGAGCCACATACACACCCATTCAGAAAACACTGTTTATACAGAGGAAATACAGACGTGTGCAGCCTGGTTCAGAACAGGAGTTTGGAGTTTGTTTCATATTTAAGTAAGAAAGTAAATTTAATTTATAAAGCACTTTTCATAGATAAAATCACAAAGTGCTTTACAACAAGGATAAAATGTAATAGAATACAGAGAAACACTAAACTTATAATGGCACAGATACAGGCACTTCAGAGAGGCTCCACAATGTTGACATCAGTTAAAGCCTGTCTGAAAAGAAAGGTCGAGTTTTATGTAGGGAGAGTGATTTTCTGTTGTACTTTTTAAAGACATTAAAGCTCCTGTTTGGAGTTTTTAAGTTTTCAAAATAGATTAAACTCATTGTGATGTTTTTTTAATAATATACAAAAGAAAACCAGACCATCAGTAAAATATTGATAACTGTTAAACAGTAATTTCTAATAGGGGTGTCCTGATACAGTATTGATATCGGATATCGGTTGATATCGGCAAAAAAACAAAAACAAATATCGGATCATATCGGCCTCGATCTAAAATCTCTGATATCAGCACAGATACAAGCAGTCCATTCCAGACTCCACTCCGGCACCTCTAGCTAGCATGTAGAGCCCACGTGATCACAACAACAGTGTGTACTAAGGTACGAACAAAGTATCAAGAAGTAGGAGTGAAGTCGGCCGTGTGGCGGTATTTTTCGTTGAAGTCCGAAAAAGACACTGCAGCTGAGTGCAAAACTTGTCATGCGTAATTCTGTGCCAATATCGGATCAATATCGGTATCGACCGATACTGAAGGCTACAATATCGGTATCAAATTGGAAAAAAAGTTGTATCGGGACGCCCCTAATTTCTAAGGCCTAAACTGGTGTGAGGAGGAAGGTGTCCGAGAAACAACTCAGATTTACGATTCAAGATTAAACGTTAACGAGAGATTAAACACTCGCAGGACGAGATCGTCGAGGAAAGAAAAGCAAAGACTGCTGTGTCCACAGGGGGCGCCAAAACTCACACAAACTGAAAGTTCCTCACAGGAGCTTTAAGGTGACGACCTCCGCACAGTTTAACGTACAGCTGACTCGGCTTACAGGTGAGGGAGCTAAAGATCGGCGTCAGCTCCACGTCTTTGTCTCATGTTACGATTATCTTTTAGGGCGTCTACGATTATTCGATTAATCGCAAAACTAACCGTAGTCGTGTTGATTATCAGATTAATTGTTTGTGGCAGACCTATTATCTATAATTGACGTCACCGAGACGATGTCCTAGGTTTTATGAAGTTTCCAGTCCAGACTAAATGCTGCCCCCCTGTGGATGAAATGTCCTTTTTTTTCTAATGTTTGCTGACCTTTGGTCGACATGAAGCTGAAACAGAAAAGGAAAAAAAAACACATCAGAGGAGACATGAAAAAACAGTTTCTGCAGTAAAAACACGGAGAGATAATAACAGATATCTGACCTTTGATTTCCCCCCTCCTGTTCTGTCGTTACTCAGAGGAGATGACTCCTAAAAAGGTGTGATCAGGATAATCACAGGGTGTGACTGACTGTCTGTAAACTCCCCTCTTCCTCTGAACTTCACTTTGTCTCCTCTCTGTTTTTTACCTCTCACCACTTTGTCCCGCCCTCTCTGTCTGGAAGCTGATTGGACGGCCCGTAACTTAGTTTAGTTAACTTTAAGATGAACCCAAACAGACAAGTTAGAGTGTTTGCTAAAGATGTGATCGGTATAAGAAAGATAATCCCTGAGACACCTCCTCCTCCTCCTCCTCCTCCTCTTCTTCATTAGAGAACATCTCACCTGTTCTGACCCAGGCGTGTAAACCTCTGACCTCTGACCTTTTTCAAACATTAGATCCTCTCAGTTGTAGTTTTTACCCCTCAGTCTGAAGAGGACGGTCTCTCGGCTAACCCGTCCTTAAATCACAGAGTGAAGGGTTGTTGCTTTGGTCGGTTGCGTAACGTGTTTGGAAGAGCGAGGAGAAAAACCTCCCAGTCCGGCCTCAGATGGTCCGACTCCTTCCAGCAGCTCTGAGAGGAATGTGAGGCAGGTATGTGAGGAGGAGAGAGAGAGAGAGAGAGAGAGAGAGAGAGAGGGAGGGAGAGAGAGGGAGAGAGAGAGAGAGAGGGGGGGAGAGAGAGAGAGAGAGAGAGAGAGAGAGAGAGAGAGAGACAGAGAGAGAGAGAGACAGAGGGAGAGAGAGAGTGTGGGAGAGAGAGAGAGAGGGAGGGAGAGAGACAGAGGGAGAGAGAGAGAGAGAGAGAGAGAGGGAGAGAGAGAGAGGGAGAGAGAGAGAGGGAGAGGGAGAGAGAGGGAGAGAGAGAGAGATTCTTTGAATTCTGGCAAACACAACAACAGCTAAAGCTCTCCCTCTCCCTCCCTCTCTCCCTCTCTCTCTCTCTCTCCCTCTCTCCCTCTCTCTCTCTCTCTCTCTCTCTCTCTCTCTCTCTCTCTCTCTCTCTCTCTCTCTCTGTTCGTGCAGACTGCAGGTTACACAAAGTCCAGGTTCTGGAGTGAATTTACTCTCCTCCAGCTGCAGGTGTTTTCAGCTCTCAGACGTCCAGCTCTGCTCAGTTAAAGGACAATGCTGCAGTTTTTTAAAGAGTTTTATAATGCCTGATCATAGCTGTGCAAAAGTTCGACTGGTTTTTTACGCATCTTTAAAGCCTTTTATTCAGTCCTGTCATAGATAAAGACTAACCCTGAATTTCAACCACTTCCGAAATGGCGGAAACAGAGTGTTTTATTTTGAAAAGAAGCCGGATGTTTTATTTTGTGTCTGTGCCCGACTTCCTTTCCAGCACGGGTTAATCTGTGCTGAATTTATCCGCCATGCTCCGGAATCCAGAAAAAATAGAACTCTGGCGATCCTCAGAGGAACGGAAAGAAGTCGGTGTAAATTGACACGTTAACTTGAATGGTTACGATCAGCTACGATCGGAGGATACGACCTTTTAGGAGACGATCAGGATGAAGGTGGAGATTGGGGTTTAATGTGTGGAGAAAAGAGCAGTGGCCCCAGATTGGAGCCTTGTGGTACACCTAAATTATTCTAACATGTGTTTGTTCTTGTTCAGTTATTTATTGTGTATCTAGTGTATATTTGTCTTTAGTAGTCGTGTTTTTAGGCTTGTTCAGCACTTTAGTTTCACTGATCTGTTATCAAATGTGCTCCACAAACAAACTTGAACGTTAGCAGAGGCCCTCCTGGATAATCTACTGATATATCAAAAAGCCGAGAGTTTCTTAAAGCTGCAAATATTAAAACTTTTTTTTACCCAGTAACACTGTGGAGGCGTGCACACACCCTCCTGTTTGTGGAGGAATGTCACAGACGTTGGTCCAGGTCCAGACCTTCTGCTCCTGTTTGATCCTGGATCCGTCTGAAAGAGACGCCGGTCTGTTTGAAACTCAGAGACAACAAAAGTCTGAAATAATGAGGCTTTATAACAAAGATCATGACTAAGTGTGTGTGTGTGTGTGTGTGTGTGTGTGTGTGTGTGTGTGTGTGTGTGTGTGTGTGAGAGGGGGGTTGGTGTCTGCATTCATACCTTGTCTTACCTGCTGCAGACCTGCTCCGACATGTCACACACACCTGCAGGGGCGGGAGGGGATGTATGAACACACACATGCTGACACACACACACACACACACACACACACACACACACACACACACACACACACACACACACACACACACACATGCTTCAGGGTGCCCTGTGCGTGCTCCACCCTGCCTTCAAAACACTCCAGAGGCAAATAGTCCACTGACAGATTAGTGAGTGTTTCACAGGCAGATGCAGGAAGACGTTAGTGTGGTTTGTGCACACACTCACACTGACACACACTCACACACTGACACACACACTGACACACACACACTCAGACCCAGTGAAGCGTCTGTTTTGGAGCGTGCTGAAACAGATCACTCTTTATGCTGAACCAGGCGGTGTGTGTGTGTGTGTGTGTGTGTACCTTTGCTCCCCCGGTGTGTGTTTACCTCCTCCGGCTGCTGCCACGTCAGATGAGCGGCTCGCTGCTCGGCTGGACGCTCTGGCTCGCTCCTCCTGGGATCCTCGCCGGCTGTGGTCACTCTGAGGAGGCTGGGAGGTTTAACTCGCAGCTCGCTGCTCCTCTGGCTGCTGTTGTGACCACGTCTGAGTGTTTACCGGAGCTCTGAGTGAGTGAGTGTGTGTGTGTGTGCAGTCAGAGGATGAGCTGAGGCGCTCAGACTGAAGGACCGCTCACCTGACGTTAGAGGAGCTGCAGCTGCTGGAGTTTACCTGTGTGTGTTTTTGACATCTTTAAGATGAGTGGATTCCTCTACAGAGGGAGGTAAGGCTGTCTGAGGATCTTTAAAGCAGTCATGGTGCTCTGTTGTGTTTGTATTTGTGTTTTTTATCGTGTTTTAATGACAGACAAAGCCTCTTCTGTGTTAAAAGTTGATAAATTAAGTTAAAGTTCTTTCCCTCTGAGCTAAAAAAGGACCTTTGTGCCTCTGTTACATAACCGCTGAGGTCTGGACTCAGAGAAGAGGAGCTTCTGGATGATGAGCAGTGATTGGCTGAGATGATTTCAAAGTAAAAGCATGAGTTATCTGCGCTCTTTTAACCTCTTGGAGCCTGAGAAACACAAAGCTGTGTTTCTGGACGTTTCTGTCCTGGTATTTCAAACTCCTGAACAGTCTGAGCGTCTCGAACTTACTCAAAGTTTTCTCTCAGTTCGATGGAAACGATCAGACTCTCCTGACATTTGGAAAAACTGGATTGAGACCCATTTTCCTGAAGTCCTGAAGCACATTTGGAGTTTATTTAACCACAGTCTGTTTGAAACATGGACGTAGGCTCTGTGATGTTACTCATGGGTTCCTGAAAAAGGAGTTTGGAGCCTAAATGTTGGCCGCCATGTTGGAAATGTCGACTTAAACCATCTAGAAACCAGCAAAGAGGCTTAGAGATAGAGATAGAGAGTAGAGATAACAGTTATTATGATTTATCACTATATTCACTGTATTTACTGTTAGTAAACAACAGGCAACAACAGAATTATAGAATATAATCTCTATATGGTTACCCTCTGGTTTCCAGAGACGGGGTTTGGACCCGGTCACCAATTGGAGATGCTAAATCAATCTAACTCTTGTGGAAGTGAGAAAGCAGAGGCAAAGGGGCGGAGTTAAGGTGGAGTTAACGTGGGCGATCACCCCCAGTTTTCACCGCATCTCAAACGGCGGCGATTTCTGCTGTCCACCAGATCCATTAGTGAGGTGAATTTCATGGCGGGTTGCGGACGGCAGGAATCGCGAGAACTCACACGAACCCACAGATTCACGTACAATCGCGAGATAACAAGTTGTCTCTTAGCCGCATAGATAAAGGTAAACACACACACACACCGCCTGGATGTGGTGTAAATTGGGGGTTAGCCTCTGCACCTGTCCGTTAAAGAAGTGATGCCTTTAAATATCTTGATAACCTCAAAACTACCAACGTTTTATTGATTGACCCTGAACAGTGTGAGCAGATAATGAGACCAAACCTGTTTTTGTACCAGCCTGTAAATGTGTGTGATTCTGCTGTAAAGATCAGTTTTTCAGAATGGGTGTGTGTGAGGTCTATGGGGCTTTTGAAACCAGCCTCCAGTGGACACTTAGGGAACTGCAGTTCACGGTTTAGTCCAGGGTCAGGACTCTTCCTCGATTCTTAAGGACAGAGAAACTTGTTATTGGAGGTTAATTTGTGATTTCTTCTCTCTGTGGAAATATCTGATCAACTTTTGCAGATTAAGAAATATTTTACAGAATCACAGACAGAGTCATGCTTCCTGCTGCAGGTTTAAAGGGATATTCCGGCGTAAAACTAATTTAGAGTCAAACACACCGTAACACCGAGTTAGACCCCCCCTCTAGAGATGAATGTTGCCGACCGCTTGATTCTCTAGTTATACCAACTTTAGTAACGACCACAGAGCTACGTGTCAACCAAAACACCACTCTATAGCCACAAATAATGCTCAGAACAGCACCTAACTTCATCAACAGGACATATAGGGTCACAGACATAGTACTAGACACCAAACATCTTTTTAACTTTGACTCATTTCTTTAACAAAGAGACTAAACACAACTCACCTACTCTCTTCCAGCAGACGCTTGTTTGTAGAGAGACCTCAGGCCAGTCCATTACGGACTACAGCGGGGTGCCGCAGCTCAAGGAAGAACATTTATGATCATTTCTTTATCATTTCCTTGAAGTAATAATCACCATATTAATCATTTTACAGACGCTGTAGTTCTTCTGTTTTAGCATCTCGGTCTGATTGTATTTCCATGAAGAAATGATCATAAATGTTCTTCCTTGAGCTGTGTCACCCCGCTGTAGTCCGTAATGGACTGGCCTGAGGTCTCTCTACAAACAAGCGTCTGCTGGAAGAGAGTAGGTGAGTTTTGTTTAGTCTCTTTGCTAAAGAAATTAGCAAAGTCTGTCCTTTTGCCAGTTCTGGACTCCACTTTTTAACGTCTTTCCTCTCATTTTTTTGACATTTCAGTGAAAACAGAAAAAAAGCTTCTTTACTGCGTCACACTTGAGCACATGTATGATCACCCACAGCGTGCCCAAGTGCGCCTTCCTCGCTGCACAACGGCTGATGAAGCGTACCATATCTGGGTGTCATATTTAGAACTCATACCGGCCAGACAAACCGGACCTTAGGGGTCATTAGAGGTCAAATGAGCCTGATACAGAGCGCACCCTCAAACTTTCTGTTACCTGCTTGTTTGCTGTTGAATCCCCTCCACCTCTCTGCTACTCTACTGCTCATGTGCAAACAGCACTTCATCAGTTTGAGTATGTAAATGTATCTTGAGCGTTGTGAGGTGAAATACGTGCACCAAACAAACACTCAAGATGCATTTACATAGTCTTGGTAAACGAGAAATTAACCTCCTCACCTCGAAATGATGTCAGATTGATTTGGTTCAGTCTGAGTTAAATCTCTTAGTGCCCCGAGATTATGGTTTTACTGCAGCGCTCTCTCATAAAGAGGCATTAGAGAAGACACTGAGACAAATAAAGGATAAAAAGTTCCCCTTCAGTAGTTTTCGTCGTGTCCTATCAGAGTCCTTGTTATCGTTTAAGGTCATGTCTGAAGTGTTTTTAGCATCAGCCTGTTAAAATGTGAGCTAACAGAGATCCAGAGGTCTGAACGACACGACAAAGAGCACAAATGTTGTTCTCACACCCTGATCAGAGCTCTGGTGGTCCTCAGCTGCTCTCCTCAGTTTGTTTTCACACATTTACTCTCCTGCAGCTGTCTCACACACACACACATTCACACACACACCGAGGTGGTCGAGATGTTGTTAAGTACTCTGTTTCCACTAGAGCCTCTGATTAAGAGAGGATCTTTATTTTCTCGCCCTGACGTGAAAGTCCTCGTCTGTCTGATCTTCACTTCGGTTCATAAAAGAGGCTTTAACAGCTCAGTGGGATCTGCTCCGACTTCATGGTCCTCATCGATTATTCATGAAGAGCTCAGAGGACGTGCTAACGAAGGAGAAAACCAACTTTAGCCCTTTAGCCCCAAAACTCTCTGTTTTTACCCTCTGAGGTAAAACTGAATCACAGTCAGAAACACAAACCCTCACTTTCCTGACTGATGAAGGTTTTTTTCATGACTCAAACTGAAAATTAAAGGCTGACTCATGGTTTCATGGCTCTATTTTGGGATCTGAAAAACTTCCAGGCAGAGAAAGTTTGTTATTGGTGAATCCAGGATCCAAAACAAAAGTCTGTAACAGACGCAGACACAGTCTTAGAGGACGAATGTGACGAATTTAGGTCCACTGAAAGTTCTGGTTCTTGTCCTGGACGATGTTAATATTATAGAAAGGATCCAAACAGATTCAGACTTTAGTGTTTCAAAAATCAGGGTGGAAAGTTAATCCTTTCACTCACACTACTTTAACTTAGACTTTCAAGATTTCCATCAACTTTATAACAGACAGCTGATTGGATGATATCTGCATTTATCGCAATTCTTGTCATACTATGTCATATATCTCCTAAAAGTATGATAAACACTTTTATTATTGATTATAAACGCTGAGAGACACTATAGGATGATCAAATGTGAAGCTTTGTGCAGCTATGAGTGTCTTATATTCAAGAATAATACTTTAATAAACATTTATGAACATTTATAAAAGTTTATAAGCTTCTTTGAAGGTCTTACAAGTTGGTTTGTTATCCATTATAGCTTGTTAAAAAGATCTAAATATATAAAGTTTTACCACATTTCCTAATAAATTCTCAGTTTCACAGCTGGTTTCTCCTGCAGACATTTGAATAATTACGAACAATGAAGTCTTCAGTCTGCAGGGTCCGTCTACGAGAGAGCGAAACTGAAAGATGCTGCAAAGACATTTAAAAAAACTTCACACAGAGACAAAATCACTTTAAACATTCATGTTGTTGGTGAGATTATAACTATGTTTGGAAAAATTGGTACTTAAGTGCATTTCAGATCAAGTTTATTTTACTTTGACTTGAGTGTATCTGAACTCTTTCCACCCCTGCAGAGACGGTCTTCACAGCCCGTCTCTTTTTCTCCAAACTCTCCATCACCACCGCCGCCTCCACCGAACTATTTTTGACTTCATTGTGTTTGAAATTATTAGTTCTTAACCGACATGATCCAAGAGTGACCAAAAACGGTCTGGAAAAGCAGGCAGCAGTGGATGAGAGACTCTTTCCTTCTGTGAGCTTAAATTGATGTTTTTGTCTATGGAGTTTGGTTGCTGTGGAGACAGAGATCGCTGTTTGTTTGGCTGTTTGGCTGGTTCTGGTTCTTAGGCGGCACAGGACAGACCCAGTTGCCCCCTTGTGTGCCAAAGCCCACCTACTACCAAACATGCCGGGGTCAAAGAGATGAACCGTACTCAAGAAGTGTTGTCTTTAATTAAAAATGTTTGTAATTGTGCTTTTTAGGCTTAAACAACTTAAGAATATTTCTGTTTCATTACCAGCTGAAAAAAGTTTAAAAATAGTTTAAATTTCCAGAAATAAGGTGTAATATCTCAAAATGAGATGTATTTATTAAGGTGGGAGTAAAAATCGAGTCACATAAGTATCGCAATTTTTTTGTTTCACAAATTTAAAATCAATTTTTATTTTAAAAAATCTTTTTTTTTTTTTTTTCAAATTTAGGAATAAAATTTAAAAACTAACTGACATACATGTGATGTGTATTTTTTGGGTAAATATGGTTCCTGAAGTAGTCAGTAGATGATCATAATCATTTAACTGTTTCACTGGAGTTAAAAATGCAGAATAAAGATAAACAATATCGTAGAATCACAATTTAAATTGAATCAGCAAAATCGTAGAAGAATCAAATGGAGAGATGATTAATATCTGGTTTTTCGACTAATATTAGACAAAAGAATATGTTTAAATGCAACGTTTAACAAAATCTGACTTTTCTTGATACCAGATAATAACAGAAAACCATCCTTACAGCCTGTTTCTTTAAATCTGCTGAAGAATTTCAAACATTTAGTCAAAAATATGTTAGAAACGAGAGTCTTTCTCGGTTCTGGCGCCCCCTCTGGACAAAGTGGAAATGCAGATTGTTGCTGATTTTTCAAAAGTGGTTTTAAATGTCAGAAAATCTGTATTTGTCGTCTTTAGTTTGAATATTCGCTGCAGGAAAAGTTACTGAGGTTGTTTCTGCAGCGTCAATCACATGTTACCGATGATAGACCGGTCAATCTCAGGATCAATGGGTGTTATTGATCAGTGTGAGGATTTTCTGGATTCCTCCTCTCTCTCTCTCTCTGTTTCTGTCTCTCTCTCTGTCTCTCTGTCTCTCTCTCTCTCTTTGTTTACTGTCTCAGCTGCTGACTGAGTGACGGCTGTGTGACTCTAAACATGCGCTGACTCAGTCTCCACCAGTGTGTGAGTGTCCCTGCTGCTCTGCTAACAGCTCAGTGGGAAGTCCTGCTCCTATTTCTGACCCTGAGAGCTCTCTGAGAGTTCACCAGGACAGTCAGGACGGTCGCTGCAGACCGGGTCCAGGTGGAGGGATAGTTCCTATGAATCTGGATGAACAGGTTTTCAGAGCGGTTTGAGGATCAGGCTGCTGCAGCTGAGGACACGTGGGACTGTGTTGAGTCTGAGGGAAATGGACTGAAAGCTGTTTTCTTCTTTCAGGGACTGTGCTGCACAGAAACGGGCCAGACCCAAGAGCCTCGGACCCATGATGGGTGAGTACAGACTCTATACGGCATATTTGACTCTCACTCTCTCATTTTTAAATGTTATTTCAGATTTACAAACACCCAAACACCTCCTCACAGATACAGGCGGCTGTGTTGACTCATTTAGCTGTTTGTGTGGGCAGCAGTGTGTGTAACCGCTGTGAGTCTATGAATGAGAGATTTGTTAGTGTCTAAGCAGCCCCCACCCTTTAGAAGGTGTGTTTGTGTCTAAAATAGGTGAGTGTTCAGTTTATTTAAAGGTGATCTTATCGTTTCTGTGGAAGTTTTCCTCCTTAAATGACTCTTTTCTTACAGACTGTTGATAAAGAAGTAAAAGAGAAGTTATTTATGTATTAGTGCAATAACTGAGAAAGGAGCAGTTACAAAAATATGAGTTTTTATGCTGCAGAGATTGATACCAGTCTGTGAAAGCCTGATAGTTATTCTCTAAAGTCTGTTTACTGTAAATTTGACTAAATCCGTCAATAAATGAGGATTAACTTCAGATTTCTGATCCTGATTCTCCTCAGATTTTATAAACCGTCTCTAAACTCTGCACTCACACTCGTATTCACTCAACCTCGGCTCAGACTGTCTGTCTGCACAATAAGGGTCTGTTTCCATTAATACTGTGTTTCTACCAGGAGCTCTGGTTTGATATGGTGCACACTTACTTAAACTTACAAAGTCATAAATAACTAAATAAGAGACCAAAGACCACACTACTGTTTAACACCCCTCTGTTGTGGTACGAAGCTTGTTTTTCTTTGTTTATTTCATTATTATATAACAGGGTTCCTACACAGTTTGAATTTCCATACTTTTCCATCTTGAAATATTTACTTTTCTATTTTAGAAAACAGTATTTTAGGAATTGTGGTAAAATAGTCTGTTAACATAAATATTTTTCCATACTTTATTTTTTTATATTTCAGACCTTTTAAGACCTGGAAATTGGTCATATTTATCTCCATACTTTCCATACTTACATTGGAACCCTGTATATGATTCACATATTTGCATGTATATTTTTTACTAAACCATGAATAACTAACAGGTAAAAGAGATTAGATTCTTTAAAGAGAACCTAGTTTCAAAAGTTTGCTTTTCCAGACATTTAAAACTTGACGAAAGTATCAGTGTAAACAGGCCCTTAGAGGTGGGGTAACTGCTTCTGTCAGTGTAGAGGGGCCCTTAGAGAAATGAATTCAGTTAAAACAGAAATAAAGCATACAGAGTAGTTCAAAACAGACTTATTAATCTGACAACATGAAGCACCTGTGTGAAGCTCTTAAACTGGGGGTCATGTCCACTGTCAGTGAAAACACCATCTGTGGACACAGGCCCTCAGCCGGCTCACACTTCTCCTGATCTCAGGGTAAAACCAGGGCTCTGATTGGTGGTTAGGTGATGTGAGGTGATGTGTGAAAGTCCTCGGTAAAGTTTGATTCTGTTGAACATCGTTCTTCTCCGGGTTTTTCTGATCGAGGAGGAGGAGGAGGAGGAGGAGGAGGAGGAGGAGGAGGAGGAGGAGGAGGAGGAGGAGGTTACCTGAATTACCTGTCACCTGTGATCAGGGCTGTAAAATTCTCAGCCTGTTTATAGACCAGAAGAAAACTAAGAGGAACTGAGTAGGAACATGTTTCCTTTGAGTCGTTTCAGTCCGAACACTCAGGTGTGCTCTGATTATAGGGGCAGCTTTATAACACAGGTCCTCATAAGTGCAGTCGTATATCGATGTGTGTAGTGTTAGCATGTTTGCAGCGGTGCGTCACTCCGATCTCTGTTGTGTAACGTTCAGTCCTCTGGTCTTCAGCAGCTCAGGTCCCAGGCCTGCATCCAGAACCTCCTCTACCTTTCAGCTTTTAATAATATTTAATGTGCCGCAATTTAAAGAACCGTCAGAAACCCGAACGCTGCCAGAACCGTCCTGATTACACCCCCTGAGATCTGGCGCTCTGCCCCCCCCACTCTTATTGGCCTCGTGTTTAAAGAGTAAAACACAAACTATTGTACGAACCTCTCCTGCGTGCAGTTTTCTGGGAACGCTCCCGGCCTTTTAGAGAGGATAAGTTTGGCTTAGAGACGACTTCAGAGTCCTGGAAGAGGTTCAGCTGGACCAGAATAGCTGCTCCGTGTCAGTTTTACATACGTGTGCGAGAATGCAGCTCATATATCCAGGTTTAGGAGGGTTATTATGAGGAGAGGGTCCTTCAGGAGGACTCAGAGTCTGTATGGGAACTTTTCAGCTCTGCTGTTTATGGACCAAATGTATTTATTTGATTTAAACACTTTAAAAAACTTTACTTTATAAAAATGCTTAACCTAAGGGTAAACAAAGCTGTAAAAGAGTTTTAGTCACATTAATAAGACGCTTAAAATATGACCGTGAGAGTCTCATCCAAGTGAAGAAATGTCTTATTTTATAAATGTTCAGATGATGTTTTCTCTTGTTTTTGAGAGTATGAGTCAGAAGTTCATGTGATGGTCAAACTGGAGTCACTGTTGTTGTTGTTATTGTTGTTGCAGACAGGGAGAAAACTCTGAACTTAGAAACACACAAAATCCTCCGTCTGTGGAGAAACGTTGATCATGAGGTGGAATAAATCCAGAGAGTTTATCGTTCATTAAACTGTTTCCTGAAGCTTCTTGTATAAAAACAGAAAAGAAAAATCTGAACCAAAGATGAGTTTCAGTTAAAGGAATTAAACCCTAGATGCGAACGAAATAAGCGTATTAAACAACTTTTAGTTTGTGTCAGAGCTCATAACTCTAATCTGGAGGAAACTCACTACACTCCGAAATCTCAGTCTCTCTGTGTCCACCTGACGCTGACGAACACAGGTGAGAGCTGGAGCAGGTGAGGTCACAGCGATGGACCAGCACAGCTATTAGATCCCGAAGCGATACAGTGTGATCTGAAACGGCATGAAATTATTTGCAATATACATAATTGTGAAAAAACCAATGTGATAGAAACCGTGTTATGAAATGACAGGATATGAAGACTTGAAACGATACAATAAGAAATTAAATGATTTAAATTGAAATGATATGATTTGATACAATCTGAGACGATGTTACAGTGACATGAAATGAAACAATATGATATGAAAATGGAGAAATGATGAGATGATACAAAACGAAACTATCTGAAATGACACAATAGAGTTCAATATGAAATGAAACTGTACAAAACACTGTACTAAGACTGTCATGCTATGATATGATTGACACACATTATGGTCTCCTCAGAGAAATAATTAAATTAAACATAATTAAAAAAACAACAATAACCTTTAAACAGAATCAGAAGCAGACAGACCCTCAGTTTTAGTTTTTCGTAGAGATCGTCCCGCTGCCGTTATTTTCTTCTTCTAACATCTGAGTTTTGCTTTGCTTGTCAAATTCTCGGTGTTGCAGCAGGTATATTTTCCATCGTCAGAGGTCAGAGGTCAGAGGTCAGATACAGAAATAGAAACTGGAAATATCCAAGGAATCTCCAGCAGAAGTTTAAGAGGTTATTTCTCATATTTCTCTGCACAGATTAAAAAATAACCTTCTTGTTGTCTCTCTTTTCTTCTCTGTGTGCAGATTTCTCTCGTGATGAAACTGAGAAAGGTCCACCTGTCCAGACGCACAGCCTCCGAGAGTTCGAACAGGTAAGACATTCGCTCTCTACGGTCATGTGACCCTCGCTGATTTTATAACGGGATCCTGCAGATCTGATGGTTTTGGTTTCTGTCGGAAAATTTTGAGCCTCGAGGCTCTGCTGTTGTTGTGTAAGTGTGTGTAACTGTGTGTGTGTGTGTGTGTGTGTGTGTGTGTCCGGGCTTGTCTGCGCTCTGTGGTAATGACTGTGTAGGTGTGTTTGTGGAGATGATGTGGAGATGATGTGGCAGCTGAAACCCTGGATGAGTCAAAGATCTTCCTCCTCCTCTCCTGTCAGTCTTCATGCTGTAATTCTCTTCCTCATTATAGACACACCTACATGGATTATAAAGACGCTGATAATCCAGGTTTTATAGATAATCCTCAATCTGAAGTTTTGTCCTTTGTCCTATTTAATCTCAACACCAGGACTGTAGGAGTGGATCTGCTGTGGTCGGAGCTCTAAAAAATGGAGCTTCTCTGACTTCTAACAACAGAAATCCAAAGACTCAGTAGAAACACCTGAAGTTCTGGTTCTTCACCTGTTCTTGTCAAAGATCCTTCATGTAGTTCTCACGGTGAAGGTCCAGGTCAGACCTTAAGTCAGTTTCCTGGATGCAGACCTGGACCCCCACACGCAGACTCAGATTTGGACCAATCAGGCGTTTTAAATCCTGAGGCCACACAGCCAAACGTCCGCTCTGCACTTTCTCCTCTGGTTCTGGTTCTGAGCCACACTAATGGATTCTGGGATGTGAGCCAGGTGCATTATGGGTCTGATATAACTCTGGAGGTGCTCGCTGTGATTACTCCGTCCCCCCTTTTAGAGCGGGACAGAGCTCTGGTTGAAGTTCTGCAGAGACCGGTTTGTGTTTGGTGGATTCTGTGAAACCTGAAGGAGATCAGATCTGGAGACTCTGTGATTCTTTTCCTAAATGACGGTTAAACTCTGTAAATGGTGGTAATTTAAACCATGAGTATCAGGCCCACGGGTCTTAGAGGATCTGCTGTTCCCACTCATGAAGATCTGGTCCTGAGGGAGCTCTGCAGAAACTCCTCTGATCGGGTCATGAGTAAAGATATTCACGGCTCTGCATCTCTGACTGTTTTCAGTTCAGATACACACTCTGCTCAGAGAAACACACACACGAAGATTACACACAACACCAGTGTGAGTGAGAGCCGACTGAAGAGTGGGATCTGTCACTCAGGATAAAAACACAGATCAGGAGGTGTGTGTGTGTTCGCCTCAGCTGTGCTAGTTACTGAAAAATATTTACTAGTTATTTAGGTGGTCTTTACACGAGTACGAATTTGTAAGAAACGGTAAAATAAACTATTGATCTGGTGATATTGACACACGGAGACGTGTATTCGTCCATGACTCCGCCTCTTTTTTGAAAACGGGTCTGCAGGTGGATATCTGGGTATTCGTCTTCACGCCGTCGTGTGTGTGACAACCCACATTGTCACACACTCAGCATGTATTTATGCACATTCTCTGTTATTCTCTGTTTTTGGTGCTTTGTGGTAATTTCACAGCGTCACCTTTAGGCCGGGCGTATGAACTACAGGATTTTGCGTTGTCGTGTAAATGCACTAAGCCTCTGTACAATATGATGTGTAAACAGCGATAGATGTTTTGGTGCCGACGCCAAGACAATACGGGGTCGTCCTCGTGTGAGGAGAGTCTCAGTAAAAAAGTAACTCAGTTAGTGAAACCAAAAAGTAAAGTGTTACTGAGAAAGTCATTGTTTATGTTAAACGTTCTTCAAATGCTCCCATTATATGAAGGTGGATCGATTAAGTTCATTTTAATTCTGTCCTGATACTGAATAAAACAAACTGTTGATTAAAACACTCGTTTAAATTCATTTACATCCACGTCACTGAATCTATTCTGAATATGATCACAAACACAAACCTCGACAAACTTTAGAATAACAGCCTGATGTCGCTAAAGAAGAGCAAACTAAACAATTAAACAAACCGTGTTTTTGTTTATCAAGTTGTTCCTGGATATAGATCCGTCTTTCCAACTCCAACCGCTGCTCGGGTGGAGTGGGCGTGTCCTCGCTGCTGTGACTCTCGGTCGCGGATACTCTGTTAGCCGCCTCAGCTGCTAACTTTGTCGGAGCACGCCACTCCTCTCGGTGCTTCAGTAGATTTCTGTTGCTCGATTTTTGACCCGAGACTCAGTTTACATGTTACTGAAATGTTGATTTTGCTCTTGAGTTGAATATCATGTGAGTACGTCCATGAAGAGAAACTTATCCTACCCTTCTCGCTCGCCATCACGCCGTTCCCTGACCTGTCCAGTCCTCTTCATGGCGCATGTTTGATTACGTTTGTGACGTCGGAGGGTGACGAGTGTTTTGTTTTTCCAATTCAATTAAACTTTATTGATCACTCAGATGTTATAGGAACTGTGTGCCGATGTAAAACAAAAAGGAACAGAGTAACTGATTTTTAAAAAAACAACACGTTAGATTATCAGTGACTGAATAAAGTAACGCCGTTACTTCCCAACCTGAGGACAGACGCTCTAAATTATGTGTTTTTTTTAATGTTAAGATGTTTCTCTCAGTTTTGTCCATTTTCTTGTTTTTATCCTCGAGCACATTCCTCCTTCAGGCGTGTTTTTGGTTCTCTGCAGAATCTCCGTGTCGCTGATTCAGTCTTCATGCAGATCGGCTCTCGGTGATCGATCCAGAATATGGAGATGTTTGTTTTTTTTGTTCCCCCTGAAGCGGTGGAGAGGAGGCAGAGCGCCGAGCTCTTGGCCGCCTCCTTCGATCCGACATTAGTGCGTGGAGGGAACAGCAGCTCCTCTTTGAAGTTCTCCTCGCTCTCCCGCCGAGGGATGGAGGGATGGAGGGATGAGTCATGGTTTCTGCAGACGGAGGAACTTAAACATCGGCTTCGAATGGAGGGATGAGATAATAGACGGACTGTTGATGTCTGAATTACAGTCGATACGCTGCAGATACACATTAAAGGGCCAGTCCGTGTTTTTTTTGTATGTTATGGCTGCATTGTTCACTCATTCAGTGTCAGCTTCATTTATAACATTTTCACAATAGAAGTTTCTGTATCTTTCAGGACACACAGAATATCTCGTGTTTGGACTAAAATTCAGTGAAATATCTCAAAAGACAGGAGTGATTCTCGTCTTTCACCAGAAACAAAAGTGAGTCTCTAACCCGCTCCTGTCTTTAGTTATTGTCTGCTCACTGCAGCGTGGTCGTATCGCCTTTGCCGATCAGGAAAAAACACATTTTTACGATAAAGCAGAACTCTGATCGTCTTTTTCATTTCACTTCAAACTACTTTACCGCTGGCATCAAGCTCCTCCCTCCTCAGAGATCACTCATGGCTCTCAAGATATTGATTGGTCGCTTTGTGACCTGACGATGCGACGCAAACCACAGACTGCTCGAGTCCTCCTTGCTGGGACTGTCGCAGAATTCTGGCTCAGTCTCGCTCACCAGTATCGGCACCGACGGCACAACGACACGCCGGAAAATCGTTTCTTTGATTGTCTGCTGACGATGTGAAGGTCCAGTTCTGGGATCTCCAATGGAGCCAGAGAGACCGTTAAGACCGTTAGCTCCTGGCTAATGACTTCGGCATTTTCCGACTCTCCACAACTCGGCTAACTGGCACACTTCTCACTGTTCAGTACTGTTCAGTATGGCGTATCTGTCGGCTTCTGCGTTCAGAACGACCACAAACTTAGTCGCATGTTAGAGAGGAGCGCCCTCCAGTGGAAAACAAAAGAACTAAAAAATCCGTCTGTGGTACTGAATGAGTTAATCGAGGTCCGATGAGAAAATAACTTTAAATTTTGCTCGACTTAAGCGTGATGTTCAGCGTCAGTCTGAGCCAATTGTTGAAGAGAAATGGACGAGTTAACTCGGGACCATCTGAACCGTTTCAGATGTTCCACCTAAGTTTCTGGAAGTTCTTTGGAGACCTTCACCAAACACGATGTCCACAGCGATGAGTCTCTCCCTCCGTCTCTGCTTTCAATTCAGACGGCGAGAAAACTGGCGTGAGGCGACTGAGAACCTCCACGTTGAGATCTTCGCAGCAGCAGATCAGCAGGTCTGATTTATTAGATTTCCATCTGGAGAGTTTACAGCTCCGAGTCTGAAACGATAACAAACAGAAACAAGTGCTTCTTAATAAAGAGCAGAGACGTGACGGTCGGAGTCCTGTCGGAGAAAGTTTCCACTTTTTGACGGAGCAGATTAAAGTTTGTGACCTCTCTGCGGTTTCACGTTAAGTTCTCCTGACAGTGGAGACGTTTGTTGGTCCTCTCGTCGTGCGGGTTATTGAATCCAGGTTATAAATGTGCAGTTTGTCCTCTCTCCACATTCACGTCAGTTTAAAGTCGGCGGGTTTGGAGGAAACTGGAACCTGCCAGAGCTGCGTTTGTAGCTGTCAAACATCCTGGCTCTGCCGTCCTGAGGTTTCCAAAAAAAGGGGGAAAAATCCTCCAATCAAAAGTCCCCGTTCTCGAATGGCCTTTATTAGTCCACAGGAGAAATTGGAAGCACATGTCTGCCTATGAATGTGGATTCGAACCGACCGCAGAGACACTTAGATTGATAGAAGAAGGGGGTGGACGGGCTCTAATTTCTGCCATTAAAACCTCAGGACAAATTAGGGTTGTTAATCTGTTATTCTGCCCTCGCTCTCACTGCTCACTTCTACAAAAGCCACATTTGCTATGAAAGGTCTGTCAGAGCGGGATTACTGTTACCACCACGCTGTCTGTAATGGATCTGGTCTGGATCAGAATCCAGACCAGATCCTGCTGCAGCTGAAGTGTGTGTGTGATTAAAAACGACACGTTTCCTTTAAGTCTCTTTATCAGCGCCGCCGCCGGGGTTCATCTCCTCCTCCTCCTCCTCCTCCTGCTTCTTCTTCTTCTTCTTCTTCTGCTGCTCTACGAGTTTTTGTTGTGGCGTCAGAAAATAGGTCAGAATACTGTGTGTGTGTGTGTGTGTGTGTGTGTTCCACCCTCCAGCTGTTTACGTCGCTGATATCTGCAGCTCTGCAGGAGAACGTCAGGAACAGAGGAGCAGAGATGTTTAGAGGAGCAGACATCCTCTCACCTCAGATTTCAGGTTTTAAGTTCATGCATGAATCTGAGGAGTCGGAGCTGCTGCAGATTTGTCTAATTTTAGCTGAATGGTGGTGGTGGTGGTGGTGGTGGAGGGGCATAAAAGCCAGGATGAATCCAGCAGCTCCAACCAGCATGAATGAGCTTTAAACACAGACCCCCAAAACCTAAATTCAGCTGCATGTGTAAATAAATGTATTTCTGAGGATGATGATGATGATGAGGAGGCGTCAACCAGACACGTAGTCATCTAATCATATATGACATGTTCTAGTGCCGTGTATGGGGAAAAACAGACGCATGTTTTCATTGTTGTTTTGACGTTAATTTCCACATAAAGCCTGAACAGTCAGCCTTTTTGTCTTTTTCTCCAGAATCTCCTGCGTTTCTTTGTCAAAAATAGATTTAAATTATCCGTCTTTCTTACTCAAATCTGGTCTGAGGGAAAGAGGATTTAGGTCCTCAAGAAGAGAGAAAAAATTAATCACAGGAGGAAGATTTTTTTTATTTTCATTTCAATTTAAAGTCGGAATTACGGGGATAAAGAAATTTAAAAATGTCTTGATTTCGACTTAGTTCATTTCTGATTTAATCTCAAAATTTTAATTTTTTTAAACTTGAAATTTTGATATTCAAGATATTTGGACATTTTGTAATCTCAACATTTTGACTTTAATATTGAAATTTCAAGATTTAAGTTGAAACTTGAAAAGTCAAAATTTCAACTTTATTCATGTCGACTTTAATCCAGAAATTTTGGCTTTTATCCCAAAATTTTGACTTTAATCCAGAAATTTTCCACTTTGATCTAAAAATTTCGACTTTAATCTCAAAATGTTAATTTTTCAATCTCAAAATATCAACTATAATTTTAAAATTTGGACCTTAAACCCAAACTTCGACTTTAATCTCCTTCCTGTTAATGTTATTTTTCTCTTTATGTGGCCCTAATCCTCTTTGGACTGAAGACGTCATTAAACTGCATTCATATTTAGTTTCCTAACAGAACCAGATTCGGACCTCTGAACAGATCCTGTCCTTCAATCCAAACCCACAGAGTCGGATCAGTGAAGCTCCTCAGAGTCTTCAGATAAAATCTAACGTATAAAAGTGTGAAGATGTTAAAACAGGAGTGATGGTGGAGGGAGAGGATGAGAGGAGTGTTTGGAAACCAGAGGAGAGGTCAGAGACGTCTGTGGAGGACGAGCGAACATGAACATGACGAAGAGTTTTCTATGAGAGAGTTTGTTTTAGGAGGGAGAGACAGAAACAGCTGATCCAGAGAGAAAAGGACGAGGACGATGACGAGGTTTAAGAAAGAAAGAAAGAAGAGTCTGTTTGTTCTCCTGATGCCCACTCTCCTCTCCTGAAGTCTGATCCTCATTTCCTCCTCTGGGATTCTCTCTAATCTCCCACCAAGAATAGATACTGATGCTCGGACGTCTGTCTGCGCCCTCTCCGACCTTCACTGTAAAACATCCTCCGTCAAATCAGAGTCCCACGTTTCTATGTGAGCAGAAAAACTGCAGAGATGACCGAGTTTTCAAACCACCGTAAAAACTCAATCACTTAAATAGGTCGACTGAATATTTCTCCTCCTGCTTTGTGAGGTTGAGAACTTTAAAGTTCGTGCGGTCCTACCTTTAGTCAGTTAAAGCGTAGTGACCGAGGTCAGAGTCTCGTCTCAGAGTGGAGATACTAAAGAAAGAGTTCAGGTCGACTGATACGCCAAAGAAGAGTCTGAATGTGTTCATCACAGCTCTGCTCGGTCTGAACTCTGACAGAGTTACAGTAAGAAGTCAAACCTGGACGACAGAATCAGAGTCAGACGCTCAGATTTATCTCAGTGAAAACTCGACGTTGAAATATCGCTCAGCTGCTCTCTACAAATGTCCAACACATCCTCCTCTCCATCAGAGCCAAAGAGTGTGAAGGTTGGGTGTCTGTGTTTGATAGAGCAGCAGAGTTTTGGGACGCTCCGCCGTGTTGAGTTAGAGTTTTTTTTAGAGTGTATCCGGTGGACGAGCTGATGAGCGTTAATGGACGTGCTGACAGTCAGGAGTCTGTTTTCACCGCAGCTGCAGCAGCACTCAGACGATCAATACAGCAGATCAGCTTTCAGCACACACACACGCGCACACACACACACACACACACACACACACACACACACACACACACACACACACACACACACACACACACACACACACACACACTAATTGTTGGATGGATGACGTTTTCTGCTCTTCATCAAATTTGTCCTCAAATCTTCGGCGTGTGCGTTGTTCAGGCTCAGAGTGTTATGTCTTGTATCACATGACGGCGCCGACAGCTCGTCTTTATCACCAATAAGTGAAACCAGCGACAACACGCTGAAAAAAAGGGATTTAAGGAAAGGAAAACAGCCTTGGATTAAGGAAATAAGTCTGATTATTTGTACAAAAAGAATATTAATCTTGTCGAACATGTCTGGTGTTAGAAAAATGATCTAATTTTAAAGAAAATGGCTTTTTCTTGATAAGATATTCGAACTAATTTTGAGTTGAGATATGTACAACTTCAGAATTTAAGAACGCCATAAAACAAGAACAGTTGATTTAGTTTTATTAAGATTTCTACTGCAGGTCGTCTGAACCTGAGAGAATCTGCTGCCTCAGACATGATCTGACATATAAAGATGTCAGGAGGCGAGTCTAATAATACAATGACCAGATGGAAACAACAAAGAACAACAAAGAACATTCTTACTTGTGGAATTAAAAATATATATTTAATGAGAGTGTTTTAGTATCTTGATTTAAGACAACGTCACTTATATTTGCCGTTTGAACTTCTGTCATGTTCATTAATAATCCCAGATTAAGGTGTTTTTGCTTGAAGTTCATTCATACAAGAGACTAAAACTCTCATTTTAACTTCATCTTCATTTTTCATTGTTTGCTGTAGAAAAAATAAATATCAGATTTTCTGTCTAGTTTTAAGTTTCATTGACTGTCAGGGTCAAGAAATTTGTCCTAATTTTGAGAATTCTTAAATTTTACCCCATCAGCAGATTTTTTTTGCTTGATACGAGATTATTTGATTGAATATGAGAATATTTTGCTTCTTTCTAGTCGGGCTGTTTTTGCATGAATCACAGGAGTCTGAACACATCAGCTGTTGGTTTATTCATATACTAGGAGGGAGAGAGTTTTTGTTTATTCCATCAAATATACATACAGTTCAGTTTTAGACGAGAAATTCCCCTTTTTTTGGAGATCGAAAAGGAGGAGGTAGAAGCTGTTTAGCTTCTACCTACCTTCCCTCATTCCTTCCTGTTCATTGACTTTTTACATGTCTCTCAAATTTTAGGATTTCTTAAGTCGCCAAAAAGTAACTAAAGCTCCAAATTCTAACATGAATAAGTTACAAATCATTAATACTGAGATATGAGCATATTATATATTAAGTATGAAGTTTGATGGTTTAATATGTGTCTTGTCCTTTCCAAAATACCTATACTCCTAACATAGTTTAGTCCATTTTCACCCCTAAAAAGTTACTATTATACACCCTTCCTATCTCAGTATTATCAATACTCACTTCACCCTCTGTATTTGATTGAATTTGTCTCTTTCCAAACACTGTGAACTTTGTCTCAGTCATGATTAGGGAGAGTTTATCCTCATTAAACCATCATTTCAGTTTACTCAACTCCTCTGAAGTATCCTTAGACGACAAATCACTGAAAAGGATTTAAAAAATGAAGAAACTCCTGATTTTAGGGTCTAAAAATAACCGTCTAAAAGCTTCACTTGAACTCTTTAACTTGTATTATATCTCCACTTTCTCTGGGTTCGATTAAAATGTCTGAAAAAGGACTAATTCCACTTTTCTGGAGAGCGTTGGTTCAGAGAAATCCCCGTCAAACATCTATATCAGTATATTTTTACAGCTTTTGTGTTTACATTCATGTGAGAGCCTCATAAAGATGTCACCATCTTCATCCTGCTGCATCTGAGCACGCTCAGAGGCCGCTCACATGCTGCACCAGCGCCACCATCTGGAGAGGCAGAGCGAGTGAGAGTCAGACTTTGTTAATTGATCCCAGCCGTCTGCAATAATTCGCCGCTCCTCTCCGGCGGGTCAGAGACGACATATTGACTTGATCAGGGCGTCGGTCATGGATGATAATTGTTGGGTTAACGTGTTGGCTGATCTGCTCCCGGCGTTAACTCCGAGTCCGCCTGCAGGATTAACGTCACACCTGACAGACCCGGGTTTTCCTCCTGGACCGCTCCTGTCTCCTTTTGTTCCTGGAAAGTCTGCAGGAACATCATGAAGGGACGTCACAGCGGCAGATCATCTCCAACACGGATGGTTCCTCCCTGACTCTCTCAGGGGCTGTGTGTGTGTCTGTGTGTGTGTGTCTGTGTGTGTGTGTTGGACAGTGTGTCCCAAAGCTCCATTGTGTTTCCTCCAGGATTATATTTCACCATCTGCCCTCGGTGGAGCCCACAGATCATGTGGAAACGGTTACAAACAAAAGGCCAAAGAAGAAAAAAGACGTATTTTTATGAATCGTTCTTCTACTTAGTGGTCGGCCGGATCCTGCAATTACACCGACAGTAGAGTCAGTCTTTAACGGCGAGGTCAGAGAGGCAGAGAAACCGCAGTCTGAGCACGCTCTGTGCTTCTGACCAATCGCCCTCAGAGGAAACAGTCCGGCGTGGAAAAGACGCTCGGTGTCAATGTGACGTTAGCGTGACTGAAACCACGATTCACGCTCAGGGGAAACGGAGAAGTATGAAGGGACCATTGAGGACGAAGACTGGAGTGACGGGCTGCGGTTCGAGCTGAGCCGGGCTCGTCTATGTGGACAAACTCACAGGGTGAATCAGTAACTCTTAGTTGAGAGCGTCCTGCTGAGATCGGCTCCGCCCCCTCGTGTTGCTGATAAAGGATGGATGTCATTTAAAGCTCTTTTAGTTCGATTATAATCATGTATAGTTTCAGAAAATTGATTTCACTGTCGAGTTTGTTACACAGAAATTGGTGAGACGTAGGGCTGAACGATAAACCGAAAATTCACCAAAACTGACGCCAATATTGATTTGAGGACAGATCGCCCAGCCCTTCAGTTAAGACTGGAATCTTTTAAAGCAGCAAACTCGATCATCCTGTCGTATCCTCCTCAATTAACGCAGAAAAAAATCTTTAAAATGAACCTCATCAGGTCTGTCTGGACTTTTGGACACAGCCCCCAGTGGACACTTGAAGAACTGCAGTTTTTGTTGCATTTCTGGGGGGTACCGCTCGGTTTTGATCCATAATTATGCTGCGTTCCAGTTACTTCGGAAGTCAGATGTCAGAGCTGGGAATGACGGAACACTCAAGTTGACGGCGTTTCAGTAAACAAGTAGGAAAACCAAGATGGATGCCTACTGTTAGCAGTTGTGAGTTGTTGTTAGCTATACCATACTATATAAATATACTATACTATATTGTTTTTAAAACAATCAAAGTCTACGTTCACACTGCAGGTTCTGATGCACAATTTGGATTTTTTCTTAAATCCGATCTTTTTGTGTGGTCGTTCACATTACAACAACGAAGGCGTCATCTAATGTGAACAGAACACGTCCGTGAAGTGACCCCCATGCGCACAAAGCACAAATATCTTTCCACTCCTGTTTGTGTTGTCGAACAATGGTGACGTTTGTCTCATATTGATGACGTAAAGGTCGGATGAACGCGACCTGAGCGTCCACACTGCAGTCACATCAGATACATATCTGATTTATATCCACATACAGAAGAGGCCTGGGAGGATTAGAACCAATCAGAATTGACCTGTTCACACTTAGATGAAAACATCAGATATGAGTCACAGATGGTTAAAAAATCAGAATTGACCTGAAATGTGATCATAGACTAAAATCGACCTCTGCAGTGATCGTCTCAGTTATCAGACACTGAAATAACGAGCGGAGCAGGAATGATGACTTTGAAGAGGAAACCTTCGCAGCCATGTCGTGTTTTACAGCTTTTACAGACTGTTTCAGGTAATCGACACGAGCAACTTGGAAACTCCTGCATTCAGGAATTTTTACAGTATTTTTACTTCGGCTCAGAGACGTTTACAAACCCAGAGAAGAAGAAACCTGTGGAACTGTCAGGACGTCTGCTCCGTAGGATTTTGTGGGACCAGAATCTTCATGTTCTCGCTCATCATCAGTGAGATGTGAGCTCTGTTCCCTTATCTTGTTGTTCAGATTTTGGTCCTTCTCTCCTGCTGCGAGAACATTTATAAGGATCAAACTGATCTGGTTGGAGAATGTGAGCCGCATTCAGAGCCAGGGATTAAACTCTGAATATTTTGGAAGAACTCCGAAGGAACAAAATCTTTTGAAAGCCGAAACACATGAAGGACATAAAACTCAGACGTGGATACAGCGCTCCTAAATCCTGGGAGAGCGGCAGAGGTTTCGTGGTCCTCTGGCAGCAGAGATGCGTCTCTATCAAAAACACCTACTCATTAAAGAGGAAATTGAATGTGGGTTTTTACAACTCTCCCCGTGTATCTCCTAAACTCTGGGCTCTGATTGTCGGAGGTGTGTTTCCCATCAGCCGGCTGCTTGTTGTAGCTTATTACTGACGCTCTGACTGATGGTCTCCATTTGTTTTTGTTTTATAGAGTCTCTCTGCGGGCTGCTTAATGGCCAGATCTGCGTGTAATCAAAGCCACGGACTTTTCTCTCACAGATAGTTTCAGCAGAGCTCCGTCTTTGTCTCTCTCTCTCTTTTCTCTCTTTTCTCTGTTGGGATGTTTTATAAAAGGTTGTGAAAGAGCGACATGTGCGCAGCAGACCTCCCCTCCCTCACATACCAGAGAGAGCTCAGCCACTTGCCAGAGAGGAGGGAGGAAAGGAGGGAGGAAAGGAGGGAGAAAAAATGTTTGTCTGAAAAAAGAAGAAGAAGAAGAAGAAAATCGGCGTCTTTACACACCCATGTGTCATCATTTATTTCCAGCGCAGGGTTCCTGGAATCAGACGGGGGTGTTGAGTCGCAGCGTTTTTCTGCAGGGACAGGTGCTTTTCGGTAAAAGCCGCTGACTTCTCATCAGTGATTGAGGGCGTCTGTAAATGGAATAATTGTTAGCAGAAATGAAGAAGGAAGACCGGGAGCTGTGAGGGAGACTCCTGATTTTCATCAGCTGCTTGATTCTCTCCTCCACATCATCTATCCTCTTCTCCTTCACTCTCGGCCCGTCAACCTGATTTTAGAGCAGATTAGACGTCGCACACTCTTGTTCTTCCATCCAACATGACTTGGCGATAAATAACAGAGTTTATTCCAAAATCTGATGAGACTCCCTGACGTTTTTATTTATTACAAATCGTACAAAACTGCACAACAGCGGTGAAAATCTGAAGGTGATTTATGACCAAAAACCCAAGAGAACGAGATCACAGATTTTAGTTTCCTTGAGAAAGTGTCTGAGTTCAGCCGTAGAGGTAACGCCAGAAGATGAAACACCTGGAGGCAGCTCAAAGTGGACTCAGTACATCACATCTAAGTGAACGAGTCGAGATGGTTCAGACGTCCATCTAGGAGGACTTCTGGGTCCTTCTAAACGTCAGTCTGACCTTGGCGTGGTAAAGGGATGACTGTAACAGGATGGAAATGGATGGATGTAAACGGTCCTCAGATCTTTCTCCTGTTCTTCTGTTAAAGCCTCTCAGAGCAGATGTTTGGAGAAATCAGCGAAGATCCTTGATAATTGTGAGACGAGCTGAAGCTCTTTTTGTTGCACCTTGTTGTAAAGATGGCCGACTTGAAACGGCGTGTATGTTGGAGGTCTGCAGAAGTCAGCTTCGTGACTTCTTTGAAAGTCCTGATCTTGCAGTATTCCTGGGTTTTCCCTGAGAATATTTCCCATCATGCTCCAGGTGCAAATTAACAAAAAAGGAAAACAAACAGAGGCAGCTTTTGTCCACGTATTTGCAGAGATATTTGTGTGTTTTCTGCTCATGACATTCTGACACATCAGCAGTGAGAAGTTTTAGTCTCATTGTAAACTGACCTCAGATTAGAGACGGACGCCTCTCCTCCAATCAGATCCGGGTTTTTGTCTCTGGCGGTGGTGATGGGGGTCTTAAACAGACCAGGAGGGTCTCTCTCTGCTTTAACAGCTCGGCTCTGAGTGTCCTCTCCATCCTGTGAAAATATTTGCTCCTGTCAGTGAAACATGAGGATTGAACCATCAAACTGAAGAGCAGCTCGCTGCCTTCGCCCCCTGCTGGGTCAGGTTTTAGAGCTGGACTCGGAGTCCTGCAGAAGTCTCAAACAGAACCTCTTCTGTCCCACATGTGTGGACCACATGATGTTAAAACAGAGAAAAAGACTTTAAACCGTTTTTTTTTTTTCTGAGGTATGAAGGTTCGAGACAGTAGAGCGGTGAGTCATCGTCACTGCAGCTTCTGATTATTTACACCAAACAAAAACTGACAGAACTGACTCAGACTGGATACGAACATTTTTCTTTAAATACAGGAAACAGAGGGACACCTTCTTTTCAAATTGCATATTCACTTTAACTGTCCACTTTCACACTTGTATGTTGTTTTTATTTATTTTAATTGTGTTTCTAACTGTGTTTTTATGCCCTGTACAGTGTCCTTGAGTGTTCAGAAAGGTGCTTTTAAATAAAATGTATTATTATTATTATTATTATTATTATTATTTACACTTAACAGACTAAAAAAAAAACAGGGGAAACTTTGTTTACAATCAACAAACATAAAAATAACCAGGGGGCACTTTGTTTACACTTAACTTACGAAAAATAAACAGGGGAAACTTTGTTTACATTGAATAGACTAAAAAATAACCAGGGGGCACTTTGTTTACATTTTAGACACTAAATTTGGAACCAAAGGCCACTTTGCTAATGTTTCTTACATAAAAAAAGCAACTAGTGGAGCTTTGTTTACATTTTATTCACTACAGAGCATTCAAGAAGGCACCTTGTTAACATTTTATCCTTTATAGAGAAACCAGGAGGGACTTTATTTATATTTATACACACACAAAAAATAACCAGGCGGCGCTTTGTTTACATTTAACTGACTAAAAGAACACCTGGGGGACACGTCATTTACATCTTAGCCAATAAGAGAGAAAATTTAGGATATTTGTTAACATTTATTGTGTTAAAAAGATAGCATGGGGGCTCTTTTTACTTTTAATGCACTAAAAAAGTAACCAGTGGGCGCTCTGTTTACGTTTTATTCACCATAGAGCATTTAAGAGGGCACCTTGTTAAGATTTTATCATTTTATAGAGGAACCAGGAGAGAATTTCTTTACATTTATACACAAAAAGAGATACCAGGGGGGCTTTGTTTACCTTTAATTGACTGAAAAAGCAACTAGAGGACACTGTGTTTATATTTTAGCCAGTTAAAGTGGAACTTAAGGGCATTTGTTAACATTTAATACACTAAAAAAACAACCAGGAGAGACTTTCTTTACATTTGTATTATAAAAAAGCAACCAGGGTTGTTTTGTTTACGTTTTATCTTAAATGAGCTCCTGGTAGGTGCCTTGTTTCTTTTTAATACTCAGTCAAGACGTCAAGGAAGCACTTTGTTTACATTTAACCCCCAAAGGAACTCTTCGGCGCTTGTCTTTGGTATTTACATCATTTATTGTACAGAACTTGATCCGTTGTAAAAACAGTGATGGTGTTAAAACGCTGTAAAAATGAATGTTGGTGTTAATTCTCTGCAGTTTTCTCTCTTCTCTTATACCGTCCTGTTTATTGTGGCGTGTAAAATCAAAACTGTGAGAGCCGCTTTTTGCAGACTGGAGTCGTATGGTTATTGGCGAACTCTGCACACATGCATGTAAATTTGGAGGGTCTGTCCAGCTGTTGAGTAGTTTCAGATATTCCTGATTATTGCAGAGCTTTACTGCTTCAACGTTATATTTTATTGTTTAATTTCATTGTTAAAATCACTTTTCTTTGTTTGTATTTTTTCTGCAGACCAAAACTTTAATCAGATGAAAAAGGAACTCCGTCTAAAAAGTTTAATTTTGCTGTTTTTAATCGGCTCAGACCGAACAGTTTTTGTTTAAAACATGTTGCATTGAAGAGGAACTAAAAAGTTATCTGTGTTTTACCCGACACTAGTGGACTCTGTGGTTCTGAGTTAAATCCTGCAGGAGGTTTCTAAGCGGTGTAAAGTTGACCTCGCAGAGATAGCGTGTTGCTGCAGGGCGCTCAGGATTGGCAGGTAACTAACAAACCCAGAAGGCTGAATGTGGCCTGGCTCGGCTCAGCCAGTGTTGAGTAATGCTGTTAGTAAATACCAGGCCAATTACCGCTAACGAGGGCCTAATTGGAACCAGATGAACATTTATTGAATTTGTCAGAGAAAGGTAGAGTGAAGATAGCTAATGAAGTGCAGCCGCAGAGCGAAACTCAGCTGGCAGTGCCACCATGTTTTCATGTTTGTGGTTTTAGACTCGTTTAATTCTGCAGAGACATTCAAATAAAACCGGAGAGGAAAAGGTCAAAGACTTAATGAAGCTCTTTGTTTGTACAAAAGTCTGAAAAAAACAGGAAAATTCACACTCAGCGAGGAAAAGTCGATGTGACCCAAAAATCTGAAAAATGTCTCATCTTCACACGACTCAAAGCCGCCAAACGTCAAACGTCTCTTCAGTCCTCCGAGTAATTATATGTTTTTCTGCTTCACACAAAGACGGACTGACACAGACACACACTTGAACACACACATCTGTTTGCACACATGTTGTTGGTTTCTAAACATGGGAAAGAAAAGCGGTGGCATCAGTAAATCTTGGAGTTATTTCTCTTTTTGGTTCATGTTTTATCGAGGGTGACCATTCGCCCTCTTTTACCCGGACATGTCCTCTTTTTAGGGGGCTGTCCCGCCTTGTCTGGGGGTGTTCATAAAATCCTCCAAGTGTCCACAACTTTGTACGGAAGTTTCGAGTTTGTGTCACGTGAACTTATCGAGAAGCGCATAAAAGATGTTCAATCCGACCCGAAAATTAACTTTGTGCGACTCCATGACTCCGCCCACGTAGCTGCGTCCTCTTTTTGGCAGGTCAGAATATGGTCCCTCTAGTTTTATCAAACTGTAGCATCGTTTAAGTTTATTCTCTTCACAGAACATGTTGTTGTTTTTTGTCTCGTACTTCTACAACGTTAAGTCCAGTGTCCTCAAGTCTTCATCTGAAATGATCCCTGCAGGGTCATTTTCACATCCTGTCCTCCCCTAAACTCTCTCTCAGCTCAAAAACAACTTTATTTTCACTCTATGGTCGTCACACAGTGATATACAGACCACAACAACGACCCCTGATAGCAGCAAGAACATCCACCGCCGCTCCAAACATCGAATCAGGACACGCTCAGAGTCAATATTGGAGCACCGCGTCACACTTCTGTGCAAACACGACCCGGAGGAGTCGAAAACTCTGACCTCTGCCCTCATTCGTACCCGCATCTCGCTCTTTTCTCCCTCCATCCTTTCTCCATCACGTCATCCACTCCTCCTTTTTCACCCCCCCCGCCTCTCTGACTCATTATCGTCGCTTCTCATCCTGCCAGCTGATGGTTGAGTGCAGCGAGGCCCTCGGGCGCCGCTCTCTGTCCCTTTGATTTCCATCCACAGACAACAGAAACCAGGGCGCTCGTCCAGTGTACACAGAGCATGCTCACACAATACGTGTGTGTGTGTGTGTGTGTGTGTGTGTGTAGTCGCACTGTACATACACTGTAGGCCAACACAAACATCAGCAGAGTCGAGGCCATTCATGCACACGTCTGATGCTCAGCCATGTGGACGTCCACTGGTCATTCCCTCACAGCCATCTTGTTTCATACAGCGTTTGGTGTGTGTATATGTGTGTGTGTGTGTGTGTGTGTGTGTGTGGTTGGAGGAAAGCCTCAGACCTCAGAAAGTTAAATCGTTGAGAAATAAAGGAAAACAGAGGAGCGGCTAATTAGGCGGCATGTGTTTTAGTAATTACAGACGGTGGACGGTGAGTCCATGTGCTGCTGCTGCTGCTGCAGACCTCCTGCATGATGTCTGACCTTCATTAGCTTAAAGACATTATGATGTGTACTTAGCTAAAGAGGAAAGTGTGTTTTGTGTTTCCTCTGACTGCTGTCAGATGCACTTTGGTCATTAGGAGTTAAATAAAGCTCCACAGTCTGATAATAATCAGAGGAACGAGGGTCAATAAACTGTTTGTGGTTACAGCGCTGACTCAAATACATCAATACTCTCATTTTTAATGGACTTATGCAAGAAGTTTGATTATTACACATGAACTTGAATCAGATACGGTGCTGCGGGAGAAATCCTGAGGTCAGCTGAGCGTGAACTCACAGGAAATCATGAAGATAAACTTGTTAACATGGACTCTTAAAGGTGGAGAAGGCAGGATCTCAAATGTAAACACGAACCCTCAGCTTCGTTTTCCCCTCAGCTCCTCCTCTCCACAAGCCCCGCCCACAAACAGACGCTCCTGCTCGCTCGTATCGTTCCAATTAAATTCAGATATAATGCAGATAAATCCTTCAGATCATTACAAATGGGGCCCAGTCAAGGTGAAAGTCAAAAGCATTGGTGCTACTGTAGATGCCAACAGACTACCAGCAAACACAATGTTTGCAGGACTTCTACAACTAGGATAAAGTGACATAGTCCAGGACCCGAGGGAGGACAGTTTAGCGATGGCGCTACAACACGCTACAGCAGGTCCGTTTGACAAGAAACACTTCTGTTACAGACACTTGTCTTACTTTGTTAAAGCGGTTTACCTGTCCAGCAGAAAGGTTACAGGGTCACCAAGATCCCCAAGCGTCCCCCATGGTTTATGTTGACCCGGCTTTTTAGCTCTTGTCCGGTCTACCTCCGTTTTAAGCGCCCGTTATTCCTCCAGAGTCTCCGGTATTTACTTTGTTTTCTTGCTTGTGTCGGCAGTCGTGGCCAAAGGAGGATTCAGACAATTTTCCGAACTTTCTGGTTGGTTTCTACTGTCCGATATTGTAGCACGCTAACTTTGTTTGGGCTCCTGAACGACACGGGGGAGCGGCGTCTGCCTCACAACCAATCAGGTTAGAGGAGGTGGAGAACGGCTTTGTTTACAGTCAGAAAGAGCGGACCGCTCAAAAATGTTCAAATGTTGACGACACAGACATAAGAGAACACAGAGATATCGATATATTAACAAATGTCATCAATAACTAATAACTATTGACTGATATTAGAAGATATCAGTGATACAGTGATAGTCTTCAGAGTCCTCCTCCTCCTCCTCCTCCTTGTTTATGTCACGTTAACATCCCGTCTCTCTCCTCCTCTAAAGACTGAACAGGATTACGATCCTGCAGCTCCCTCAGAATAATGCAGAGATGACTCTCATTTCTCTCTGATCGTCATTGTGTCCTGACCTACATGCCGAGTGTGTCTGTAACGTCGCCATCTGTTGGACGATGTGTGTTACTGCAGGTTAGATTATAGAAGCATAAAGACGTGTTATTGAGCCGCTCCTCCCTGTCGTTACGGTAATGACAGACTGTCTGTGCTCATGTATGAGTGTGTGTTCCTCTGCACACACAGACTAATAATCTCTTCACTCTCTCTCTCTCTCTCTCTCTCTCTCTCTCTCTCTCTCTCTCTCTCTCTCTTCATTCATAAAACGTGGCCCTGCACGCCGGCGGCAGCGTTTCCTCTGCTTTCTATTTGTGGAAAAAGACTCTAAAAAACGCGGCTCTGACTTTGTTCTGGGTTTGTTTTCTCTCTCTCTCTCTCTCTCTCTCTCTCTCCCTCTCTCTCTCCCTCTCTCTCTCTGAGGATTGAGTTACACTACTTCCCAGAGACTAAAGCGGCCTGTACGGGAGGGTCGGCCATGACAGTTGGCAGTTTGTTCGGTTGGAGGCGAACTCGATACCATAATTTAGATCTGCCATAAACACGGAGAAATGAGTCACAGACGTCCGCTCGCTCTGAAATGAAAGCATGGGAAAACCAGGCGGTTTGGACCCGACCTGACGTGCGTGCTTTTATGATTGGACCGAACGTGTTTATCATTGCTTACACAAACTGATGGCAGGAATCTGCGCGGCCTTGCTGGTGCTGGAGGCGGTCTGAGGTTCCCGCTCAGGAGGTTTTCAGTAATGAGTTTGTTTGGAGACGCTGACTCTCTCTCTCTCTCTCTCTCTCTCTCTGTTGTTGTCTCTGAGCTTTAGCGAGCGCCCTGATCCAAAGATAAATGAATCCTCATAATAACGGTGTTTTTCAGTGTGTCTGAGTGTGTGTGTGTTGATGTCTCCTGATTAGCTCTGGCACTGCCGCCGAGTGAGAGGAGGTTTGCGGACGATTAGCCTAGCAGGAAGGTTTCCTGTCAGATCTGCAGAAATCAAGTCTTTCCATCGCAGAGGCCAACAGTCAGCAAACACACGCAGAGATGTTTGAAGGTCTCTGCCAGCTCCTCGTCCGTCCGTCCGTCCGTCCGTCCGGAGAACCAAATATTTTGTAGCCGTGAAGAGCCAAGAGCTGAACCTGATGCAGAGGTGGGGGATTCCTGTTCTTTAAATCTGGGACCTTTCTCATTTTTTTCACATAATTTGAGGCTCAAATGAAAAACAGACGTGAGAAAGGTTTTAAAACCTGATCCTGAACCAAACAGCTGCTGTGGAAACAGGGCCAAAGAGAGAGGGAGAGAGAGGGAGAGAGAGAGAGAGAGAGAGACAGAGAGAGAGAGAGAGAGTGTGTCCATGAAAAGTTCCTGTTTTGTCAGCAGGAGGCTCTGGTTGTTGTTTTTCAGCGTCTAACAACATCGTAGAAAGGATTCTAGGGCTGGGCGATAAACCCAAAATTTACAGATACCAAAATTTATGACAGTAATCGATGTCATTTTGCTCATGTCAATACGTCTAGTTTTTTAAGACCTCATTTCAACTGTTTAGATTCTGTATATGTTTAGGAGGAATTTAGACATTAAACTTCAACCCATCATTCGATGATCTCCAAGTACTTAACCAACATAATTATTATAGCCATTGAGCAATATACAGTGTAGTATAGATATAACTCAGATTTAGACTCTGTCTAAATATAGACGTCTAAAAAACTCTGATTTTTAGACCCTGATTTTAGATCAGTCGTCTGGGCTAGCGGCTGGAGCGGCTGAAGTAGACGAAGTTAATGTGTGAGGGGGTGAGCAGCTCATGGAGTAGTTATCGTCCATTTATCATTATCAAGGTGAACTGATCAATATATCGTGATACTGGTCTGTCAACCCCCTTAACCGTCACAGACTGGTCCTTGCTAAAGTCCCTCTGGTCCTGACGGTTATTAGTTTTCTGTTTGGTGGTTTTTCTCACGCAGTCGAGTTCAGTTCACAAACTTTTGTCCACATATCGACTCTTCGTCCTCTTCGTCCTCTTCGTCCTCCTCCTTCACCTCCTCCTCCTCCTTCTTCTCCTTCCTAAAGTCTCTGCAGACGGACTGATGAGTGACAGTGTGAACCCCTCAGAGGGAAGGAGGGACCAGGATGGAGAGAACTCAATCAGAGCTCGCTCTCTCTCTCTCTCTCTCTCTCTCTCTCTCTCTCTCTCTCTCTCTCTCTCTCTCTCTCTCTCTCTCTCTCTCTCTCTCTCTCTCTCTCTCTCTCTCTCTCTCTCTCTCTCTCTCTCTCTCTCCCTCTCTCTCTCTCTCTCTGTGTCTCTCTCTCTCTCTCTCTCTCTCTGATTGATGATGTGGTCGTTAAGATGTCTCGGAGTTCTTCATGAACTCATCCTCTTTGTTCTTCAGGAAATATCTTCTTTCCCATCGTCTGCAGACCCTGAATTCCTCATGATGCTCCTGTCCTGAACAGACACTCTGTTTTCTGACTGTTTATGCTCAGTCTTCTTCTTCTTTTTGGATGCATTAGTTCACATTAATTTGTCGCACTAGCACCGATACTGAAAGTCGGAGCTGTCCTGCAGAGCTCTCATGGAGCTCAGTGATCCCTCTGCAGGTTTGGTCGCTCTGGTTTGAGTTTGTTGGTCAAAGATTCGAGTCGGTAAAAAGGACCAAACTTCATGTTTTCTGGAGTAAATCTGTGTTTCCAGTTCAGTTATTGTCTTTTTTCTCCGTCACTGTTTTGTAATCCTCGCTCTGACCATCTGCTGTCAGCTCTGCCAATCTGTGATTGTGTTTCTGTTCAGATCCAAAGCTCCTGGTTCTGTCAGACCGCCCGTCTAAAGACCGGATGGATTAAGCTGGCAGCAGGAGGAGGAGGAGGAGGATGGATGGAGGACTCTGATGGTCCAAACTGTTGTTGTTTGGTGAAATGTTCGACAGCTCTGCTCCAGAAACTTCCCAAAGTTGCTCCACGTCTACAGGAGGCGATGCTTCTGTGAGGGCAGATCTAGGCAACATTTTCTAGGTTTATTGTAGCTACAGAAACTCAAACTTAACCTCAGATGTCCACCATCCGAGCCTGACCGATGTTCAGTTTTCCTCCTCTCCTCTCCTGAGCGCTCCCTGCTTTTATCTGGCGTGTTGATCCTCTGGCCCCTCAGCGCCTGAGTGAGGTCATTTCCTGTCTGGCTCACACCTCTGAGTGGAAGAGGGATGGAGAGAGAGCTCTGATGAAGAGTAGAGACTGAGGTGTCAGATCTGCATCCAGAAAAATCCGTTTGTTGGCTCCAGTCTCAGATATTTTCTCGCCTTCGTTCTGGCGAAACCTGACGCACTCATTACTCAGAAACATGAAGAGGGGAGGAGTCTCAGTGTGTCTGCAGACTTCCTCCACCTCACACATCCAGAAATATGCAGATATAGATGTTGAATATCTCTGTAAGTCAACCAGGAACCCCCTCAGTCCTAAAACCTGGACTTTGACCAGGTTACACTGACCCTCTCCCCCCTCCCTCTCTCTCGGGGCTCCACGCCGTCCGTCTCGGCTCGCTCTGACTTCCGGGGTCAGGTATCTCAGACAGGAAAGTGGTGCGGGAACATCTGATCCTAATCCTGCAGACCTGGAGTGGGTTTTTAAAGTCCTGTAAAACTGTAGAGGGATGTTTGAGTCTCTGAAAAGGACTCAGTGGTTTTATTATGAATCAGGAGGATCCTCAGGAGATACAGACCTGCATCACTGACTCCATCTCTGCAGAAACTGAGGAACATCAGCTGTGGGTTTAAACTGAGTTGTCTATACTTGGTGTTCAGACTTTCAGGTTTATTTTGCATAAAAAATCTTGAAGTAGTGGTGAAATAAAATATTAAACACCTGTCTGCAGTCTGCAGGTGGATGCTGAGGAGGTGGTGGAGCTGAAAGTTAAAGTACAGGACGGTGATGCAACGGCAGAGAGGAGGCGGAGACTAGGACTCCTGCAGCGCGACCAGTTTTCTTAAACGGGAGGATTTAAGGGATATACGAGAGATGAATGTTGTCGACCGCTTGCTTCTCTAGTTATACCAACTTTAGTAACGACCGCAGGATAGAAATACAGAGAGCCACGCCCCCAACCAAAACGCCACTCTATAGCCACAAATAATGCTCAGAACAGCACCTAACTTCATCAACAGTACATACAGGGTCACAGACATAGTACTAGACACCAAACATCTTTTTAACTTTGACTCATTTCTTTAGCAAAGAGACTAAACACAACTCACCTACTCTCTTCCAGCAGACGCTTGTTTGTAGAGAGACCTCAGGCCAGTCCATTACAGACTACAGCGGGGTGCCGCAGCTCAAGGAAGAACATTTATGATCATTTCTTCATGGAAATACAATCAGACCGAGACACTAAGACAGAAGAACTACCGCGTCTGTAAAATGATTAATATGGTGATTATTACTTTAAGGAAATGATAAAGAAATGATCATAAATGTTCTTCCTTGAGCTGCGGCACCCCGCTGTAGTCTGTAATGGACTGGCCCGAGGTCTCGCTACAAACAAACGGCTGCTGGAGGAGAAGACAGAATTCTCTGCTAATACTGAGGTTTGAATGAAAAGGCGGGTCATTCCTGAGTCCATCATCAGAAATAATAATAAATACTGGCTGATGTATTCGGACCCGGCCTGCAGGGAGAGGTTTTTGTGCAGCCCATCCTGCAGAAAACATCGAGGGTTTAAAGAGTCCTGACGGGTGGTTGAAGCTGTTTTTTATCCATGAAGCAGGCTCCTGAAGTTATTTGTGGAAAGGTTCTGGTTCTGGTTCTGGTTCTGGTTCCCTCGGGTTATTTTGGCGACAGACTGAAAACTTTAGCAGGAATAGAAGAGCCGAGTTTGCTGATTCGTATCCTGATTCCTGCAAACAGCTAAATCAGGGTTCACTTGTTATTCTGCTCCTTCCTCCCAAACGGCTCTTAATGTGATTTCACCCCGGACGCCATGTCAGCAGAGATGATTTGCCGGCGGCGGCGGCAGGTTTTTGTTTTCCTCCAAATGAACGGTGTTTTTGTGAAGCAGAATTGGCTCGGACCCGGGTTTGTCCTCGCTGTGGAGAAGAGGTGAATAATCAGCTTCCAGCTCAGGCCTCGCTCCGCAGCAACAATCTGGACTCAGTGTGTGTCTGTGTGTGTCTGTGTGTGTCTGTGTGCCGTTAAAGACACTCAGATCCTGTTTTGCTTCATGCCTTTTTGTTCTCTTGGCATCATTAAAGCGAAACACTCGGAGTAAATAGTCATGGAAACTCTGAAAAAGCTGCAGCAGTGGAAGTTAGCGACTCTTCCCCGACATGAAACACTCCACTTGACCTCCTCTTGATTTGCAGCCGTTGGTTCAGCCCTCGGTATGCACATTTCTGGACTTGCACCATCTTTTGTGCAACATCAAACCGATCCTGGAGGGCTGGAAAAAAGATGTCGGTTTGTTTCAAAGCCCCGGACTGAACGTGTTTATGTGTCGGAGGCTGAAAGTCGCACATTTGGTTGTTTTTATGTTTGCTTTGTTATAATTTTTGCACCACATGAGTCACAGAATTTCTCTTTACCAAAACCATCCATAATGTTTCTGTTTCATAACCCTCTGAGCCGAGACGCCACTCCTCCGTATCCCAGCATCCTTCACTCTCACACAGCTGTTTGATCGATGTCCTCATAAATGAGTTTCTTACTCTGAGCTGCATTTTCCTGGATCATCAGCCTGTTTCATTTATTAATACGAGCCTTTTTACTGTAAGAGAAAAAAACGAGTTTCCTCTGGAAAATCAACCTGTTGATGTTTTTTACTCCAGTTTTTGGAAACAGAGTCAGAACTGGAGCAGTTTCACCAACATTTGCAGTAAACCAAGGTTATATGGCATCGACTCGTATCAATATGACTTTTATCAATACGATACTGATATTGATAAAAACAGAGGGTCAGAGCTGAGCACATTAGGAGGAACACTCACCAGTATCATGTAACTGATACATCCCCACATAGAAAATAGTGGAATATCCCTTTAACTGAAAGCACAGCGTAGTAAAAAATGACTCTTACATGTGATACAATAAAAGAGTCCATATGATTCGACTGGTCTGATACACTACAATACAAAACAATATGATATGATACAAGTCTATATGACACAAGCTGATTTAATACGATGCAATACAATATGATACACAATGATACACTATGATACGATGCATTATGGTTCAATATAATATGAGACAAAATGGAATGAATGATACAATCAGTATGACATAAGTAAATATGATACAATACGAGTCATTACATTATGATATAATATGATACCATATGATACAAGTTGACACTTTACAAGTTGATATGATACAATTGAAATGATACAAGTCGATATGAAACGAGTCGATGTGATAAAAGTTGACATAAGAGTTAATATGATACAAGTTTATGTGATATGATACCATATAATGCAAGTCGTTATGATGAAAGTTGATATGATAAAAGTTGGCATGATAGAAGTTGATGTGATGAAAGTTAGCATGATACGGGTTGAAATGATAAGAGTTGATATGATACAAACTGACATGATACGAGTTGATATGATACAAGTTCGCGCAATACCAGTTGATGATACAAGTCGACATGATAAAAGTTGATAAAATACATGTTGACATGATGCGAGTTTATATGATATGCCATTATGCGATACATTACGATTCGATATCATATGAGACAAATGATATGATATATAATACAATTCTAATGATACAAAATGATATGAGATGATACAATACTATGGGATATGATACAAATTGATACAATATCATACTTACACTATAGGAGATACACTGTGATTTAATATAATACGGTTTGATGTGATACACTATGACATGTTCGATCGAATACCATGCATTATGATATGATGTGGTATGATGCAATACCACAAGATACAGGAGATTCATGATGATATGACACAATATGACAATATGACAATATGACATGATAACATGGTAAGATACGATATGAAAACTGCACAGTGCAAAAGTTTTTGAATACGATAAAATCAGATTTGGTTTGATACAGAAAGTTAGGACTCAGTTTGATAAGATAAGACCCCATATGACATGATACCATCTAAAGAGATGCTGTATGATCCTGAAAGGACACCATCCCCTATGATAAAACTACAGATGAGCAGGTATGAAAGTTTCATCCGTCTCTTTATGTGTAAATGAGGAAACGCTGAACTGTGATGAACTCTGAGTTCAAAAACAACACCGTCACAGTGTCCACTCAGAGTGTAAGTCGAAACCTCGGCCTGTTTCCTCTTGGATTTTCATCTGCTCCCGGGGTTATTTTGAGTGGCTCTCTTGATGATTTAATTCGGTTTACAAATTATAATTTTTAACCACCATGTCTACGGCGGGCCGTGGCAGCACAATAAACACAATCAGACGTTCCCCTGCAGAATTACATTAGAGGTTTGGCACCGCGAGGAGGGAGCAGGGCTGGAAAATGTTGAGCTAGCTGGCATCAAGCGGCTCCTGTTACCGGTAAACTGGGGGGAAAACTCCCAGCACTCTGCCAATCCAGAGCGCACGCACACACACACACACACACACACACACAGATACACACACGCTAACTCCCAATTACAGCCCTACCCCTGCAGAAGTGCTTTTTAAACATTTCTCGGCGTGTAGACGTTGCCGTAGGTGGGGGGTTTCAGTAAACTGTTATGGCTGCCTCCTGCCGCGTTGCCGTGGCAACAAAACAGCCGTCTATGATGCATGCTAATGGACAGGAATGGGGGGGGAAATCCTCCTTTTGTTCCCAAATATTTTCAGGCTCGAAAGCGTCTGGAAACGATTGAATTTAACAGTCGATGTGGTAAAGAGTGTTTCTGTGCCTGATGATAAACTTCTCTGGGATTAGTTTAACTCCTAATTTAAAACAACGTCCTGTTCGCTCTGTAAACTCTACGAACATCGGGTCTTTACTTGACTTGGATATGCACTCATGTTTATTATATAGCTTATCCCACAAAACAGTCATAAAAAAAAACATGCATGTCAGTAAAAAAGGCCGTAAAAATCCAGTGTTTGCATCCTCTGCAGGACCTGGACCAGGTTATCGACCTCTGAATGTGTCTCATTTTTAATCGACTCCTCATGATGAGTTCCTCTCAGTTAACTGCTAATGACTGATATGAATTACAGAGGATTTTCTACTTATCAGCTTCCTCTGTTAAGGTTCAAACTTTAAAAGAGGGTCGGATTCACAAAGTGCGTCTGCTGCTTTTGCACCTGCAGAACCTGAGGTGCAAATGAGACAAGAAGACGATGAAAGCAGAGGGGTCAAAGGTCCCCAACGGCATCGAATGTGAAGTCAACAAGTTGGTGGTGGTGATTCAGGATCTCACAGTTTGACTCAGTTTTTCTGGATGATTGTGTTCGACCTTAACTCCACGTTTCCAGAGGTTTAATGAGTTCTGATTCTAATACCTGATTCTGAATTAGTCGAGCGTCCCGAGTCTGGAAAAATGTCCTAACTGGGCCTCTTTTTCATATATTGGATCAGGATCTGAAGCTGGAGGACAAGTCCAGCAGAATTGGGATGATTTCATTTCACGGGCACGTCGTGGTGTTTTTAATCATTCAGCCTTTCTTCTTTCTCGCTGACCTCTGGATGAGACGCTGCGGTCAGCGTTTCTCCTCCAGCTCCTGTCGGCCTCAGACTGCCGCTCAGCTCTAACTGCAGGTGATGCACTGGTGACTAACTCCCTTTCAGCAGTGTGTGTGTGTGTGTGTGTGTGTGTTAATGTGTGTGTGTGTGTGCGTGAGTGTCTGATCCAATCCCTGACCACCTCTTACAGCATGTGTCCTGAAATCCCGAGCGCTCATCTGGTTCGGTTTTTGGATGATTGTGGTTTCATGCGTTCAGACTCGGTCACATCGAGGTTATTCGGTGTTGTCATCGTTCATTGATTCCTGCTTCATTATCAGTTATTGACAAATCGCTCTGGTGGTTCAGCCAGGTTTGCTCCTCCTTCTTCAGATGTCTGAGGGTTGGAAGTGTCCAAAAGTGAGCGGACAGCCTGAGGTGGTGTGTGTCAGGATAGGTTCTGTTTATCGGGTTTTTCCCTGTGATTCGAGTCTATTTTTCTCTAGTGTACTCGTGTTTTGTGAGTTTTCAGTTTGTGTCTGACCTCGGTTCCCTCTTGTTCTCAGTGTTTTATTCAGTGTTTCCTGTTTTATTTTGAAGTCGTTTATCCCTGTGTTTCTCGTCTTGTTTTACATCGCCACTTTTCCCTCTTCTGCGATTGTCTCACCTGTGTCTCAGTGTCTCACCTTCCTCTTGTTGCTCGTTTCCCTGTGTGTGTTTATACATCGTCCTTGTCTTCCCCTGTTTCTTTGTCAGTTCAGTGTTGTTTGTCCACGCCTCTGTGTAACTCCAGTGTCTCCTTGAGTTTTTATCCCCCTTGTGATTTTTCTTGGTTTTTGGATTTTGGATTTTTGAGTAAGTTTTGTTGTTTTCGTTCCTCTTTAGATAATTCTGTTTTCGTTCTGCATTTTGGGTCCTTGACTCCTCGTCGTGACAGTGTGAGTTTTATGTTACAGTTTTTCCAGTGAATTTGAAGTTGGTCGGATTATCTTGCGGTCACATATTTTTTCTCTTTATTTTAAACAAATTTCATGTTAAAAAAGTAAAATGAGGAAACCGCTCAGCTGATGTAGGAGCAGATTGAAAGCTGCAGATCTGGGACCGCTGCACCTGACGTAGACCCTGAACTCTACGACAGGGCGGCGCTGGTGTCCAAGTGAATGATTTCACACACACACACACACACACACACACACACACACACACACACACACACACACACACACTCTCAGTCTCTCGGTGATCTGTGTGTATTTTCTCTACAGTCTGCTGAGTGCAGCTCTCTCTCTCTCTTTCTCTCTCTCTCTCTCTCTCTCTCTCTCTCTCTCTCTCCCTCTCTCCCTCTCTCCCTCTCTCTCTCTCTCTCTCTCTCTCTCTCTCTATCTCTCTCTCTCTCTCTCTGAATATGAACATGTGTTCCTATATTCAACCATGTGTTGTGTGTGTAGTTGTAATCTGCAGACAGTCAGTCTCAGGGTGTGTGTGTGTGTGTATGCCAGCACATTGGACGGTGTGTGTGTGTGTGTGTGTGTGTGTGTGTGTGTGTGTGTGTGTGTGTGATCAGCGGCTAACAGTGCAGCATTCCTGAGTGACAGCTGCAGACTCGCAGATCCTCTAAATAGACTCTGGATCTGTGCCGCTCTCTCAGATCTGCAGAGACGATGGAGGTTCCTCTCGGCTCAGGTGGAGTGTTAGCGCCTCACTGTGGTCACACTCAGAGTCCTGAACAGGCTTAGAGGATGAAGTTGATGTTTTTCTGCAGGGATGAGTTTGAAAACTTTCATTTAATCATCAGAATTCACCGTATGTGGAAAAAGTTTTTAGCATCCACAGTCACTCCTGGAGGAGCAAATCTAGTTTCTTCTATTTCTGTTTCTTTTAACCAATAAAATAGGATTTTAATCAGCTGTGGACAGAACTCAACATCATCAGAACAAAAACACGTGCAAATGTAACTTCATTGTCTTTAGAAATCATCAGCAGAGGCTTTGAACATCTGTGTTTGACAAAATTAGTCAAAAGGTAAACAGAAATTAGCAAAAAGGGATGCAAAATTAATGAATGGGATTCCAAATGAGCAGGAAGACTGCACAAGGAGTAAAAAGGGATGCAAAATTAGTCAAAGGGATGTAAAATAAGCAAAATAGAGCTTCAAACTTATTGAAGGGGATGCAAAAGTAATTTAAGGGATTCAAAATGAGCAAGAAGTCTGCAAAAGGAGTAAAAAGGGATGCAAAATGAGTAGGAAAAGAGTCATAATTCGCTAAAGGGGATGCAATATGATTCAAAGAAGTTGTAAAATAAGCAAAAAGAGCTGCAAGATTAAACAAAGAGATGCACAATGAGCAGGATGACTGCAAGATGACTTAGAAGGGATGCAAAATAAGATGAAAAGAATCCAAAATGGCTTCTTGTGATTTGCTTGGCCACAAAGTGACACAAAATGAGTTGAAAGCAAAAAAAAAAAAGATTGACTAAAATATTGAATAACAACAAAAAACTTAAGATGGCCGCTGTAAGAAAAATAGATGATGCAAAAGGGTGACATTTAATAGACTTCATCTGAGAAAAATAACAGTGATGCTAAATGAGCATAAAAGGAAGTACAGTACATATAAGAAGATGAGAAGTTATGATGATAAATGAGTAAAACGGTTAAAAAATGAGCAAAAATAAAAACAGGATAACTGAGTTTACAGGGATGCAAAATGAGCAGACAGCATTCTTCTTATTAATTCTTGTTTTTAGATGCTAATGTTTTATCATTTATATATCTGAGAGCCTCTTTGTGCCTCTCCATCACATCTCCTTAGTTAGAATTAAATATATTACTGCGTACCAGTAAACCAAACTGAATGATCCTCCCTCCGTCAATAAACCTGATCGATCAGAAACCCCCGGAGGGATTTTTGTTTCCATGAGGTTTAAAATAAGAATCCAGAATCGATCAGCGCTCTGCTGCAGAGAACAGAGAGGCTCGGCGCTCATGTCTCTCTGCAGGTTTCAGCTGTTTTAGTTTATTTTCATACTTTAAAACAACGAAACATTCAGAAAATATGAACGTGTGAAAACTCAAACTTTAATGGTTGAAGGAAACAAGAGGAATAAATAAATCGACCCGTGAGGAGAAAAGACTATAGAATATTCATGAAAACCTCAAACATTACCTGAAAAAAGTCAAATCGTAGAAAAACAAACTGATCGAGTGTCGCTCACATTAACAGCTCTGAGCGAGGCTCCTGCAGCTGCCTGTTATCTACACACACACACACACACACACACACACACACACACACACACACACACACACACACACACTCACACACTCTGACACACTCTCCTGTCTCAGATTCTTGGCATGACTTCCTCGGGGTAAAAAAGGAAACCTCGCTCCCCCTCCCATCTCCCATAATCCCCCTCTGCCGCCCGCCTGTGTGCCATCCCCGACCCCCTGAATCAAACCGAGCCCAGAGGAGCTCGAGTCCACTTTACATTTGAACCAGGACCCTGTTCTTCGAGCAGGTCTAAGATCTGAATCATCATCAGAGACAGAGCTCATCTTCAGCCCTGTCCGTTCACTTATTATGCAGCAGTAGATGGGGGGCTGTGACGCCCCCTACAGACGAGCCGGCTCTCATCATGTCTAACGCTGGTTTCCCCGGTTGTCGCACTATCTCGCAGCACCTGAACGACCTGAAGAAGGAGAACTTCAGCCTGAAGCTCAGGATCTACTTCCTGGAGGAGAAGATCCAGCAGAAGTTCGAGGAGAGCAGCGATGACGTGCACAAACGGGTGAGTGAGAGAGAGAGAGAGAGAGGAGGTTTGTTTGTTGATCTGCTGTGAGGTCTGAGAGTGACGGGGATCAGGACTGACAGCAGGTCTCAGGCTGCTCTGATCCACTTCACACTGACTGTCAGTCAAAACCTGTAAGAGACACAGAGAAGATCAGAGAAGATCAGAGCAGACCGAGCAGCTGCTTCAGTCTGTTCAGCTCCTCTAACATCTACTCTTCATCCTCTCTGAAAATTATATTTTTATCTCCTGAGAAACGGAACTATGAATGTTTGCTTCATGAAATCTCTTTTTATTAAAGATTGAAAGAGATGCATAATGAGCAGGAAGACTGCAAAAGGAGTAAAAAGGGATGAAAAACAAGTAGGAAAGATCCAAAATTATCAAAAGGGGATGCAAAATGATTCAAAGGGGTTGTCGAATAAGAAAAAGAGCCACAAAATCAATGAAAGGGATGCAAAATAAGTAAAAGGAGATGCAAAATGACCGGGATCCAGACTCTGGGTTTGTCCAGAGGGGTGTGTCTCCGAATTAACAAGCTGCCGTTACTGCAGAGTCAAACCCACCGTAACACCGAGTTAGACCCCCCCTCCAGAGATGAATGTTGTCGACCGCTTACTTCTCTAGTTATACCAACTTTAGTAACAACCGCAGGATAGCAATACAGAGAGCCACGCCCTCAACCAAAACGCCACTCTATAGCCACAAATAATGCTCAGAACAGCACCTCACCTACTCTCTTCCAGCAGACGCTTGTTTGTACAGAGACCTCAGGCCAGTCCATTACGGACTACAGCGGGGTGCCGCAGCTCAAGGAAGAACATTTATGATCATTTCGAGATGCAAAGACAGAAGAACTACCGTGTCTGCAGTGCGAAATGATCATCAATGTTCTTCCTTGAGCTGCGGCACCCCGCTGTAGTGTCTAGTACTATGGCTACTAGTGACTCTAACAGGACATGACGATTTAAAGTTAGAGATACAGACAGAAAGAGGACGGAGAGGGAGGGAAAGATCCTTTGTGGACGATCTAAACCTAGAGCTGCATAACTAAGAGCTGAAGAGCATCTATTTGCAAATCTACACCAACAAATGTTTGCAGAAATATGCAGATAATAAACTGTAATCAGTGACGAGCATTAGAAAAACAAAGATCTCAGTTGAAGCTCAAACTGTCAACAAAAAGGACAGAAAGGTTCGACGTTCATCAGTGAACTTTATTTAAAGCTGTGGGAGTTTGTCTACAAACTATATTTGGACTCTGCTCCACCTTCAGAGTCTCAGAGCTGCACGCTGCTCTGTGTACTGTAAACATCTTTTTATATCAACAGACCTGACTGACTTCACTGCCAAATAGGTCAGTCAGAGTCCAGGCGGATTAAAAAGGACCGTTCAGACCTATAAGAGCTGTCCTGGTCTCACTCTGACCCAGAGGACGAGTCTGTTTACAGAACACAGATCTGAACTCTGCAGAGAGAACCTGAACATCGAAAACATCAGATCTGAGAAGAGATGAAGCTCCAGAGCAGACCCTCCTCTCTGCAGACCCCCATCATGTCTGCAGACCCCTGCAGTAACAGTCTGACCTGGTTCTACACCCACTGACCCACATCATGTCATCACTGCAGCCCTCAGGCCTCTCTGCATGCATCCACGCAGCTCCCTGCACATGCGTGTTTGTCGTAAACACGCTGCATGTTCAGCTCCTGTGTTGTGTGTCAGTGTGTCACTTTACTGACCTGTAATCTCAGACTGATGATGTACAGGAGAATAAATCAAACCTGAGAACAGATATCTGCACGTGAGCGAGCGAGCGAGAGAGAGAGAGCCGGTTCAGACCGGTCCGTCTCTGTTTCTGCTCTCAGGGCCAAAAAGTTAAAAGTGGAGGTGTTGCTGAGAGGAGGAGAGGGAGAGAGGGATATCACACAGCAACAGAGACACACGCAGCAGGTGTTCATGTCCCTGTCAGCTATTTTTAGTCCTGCAGAAATACAGGTCAGCACGTGAGGAGAGGAAACCCACTTCTCTGCTCTCAGGACTTCTGATCCACAAACAAAAATATCTGAGAGTCAAACTGTTTCAGTCTTTAAATCAATCATAAAAACTCATGAGTCCTGGTTCATCGTCTACTTTAATCACATTTTGACTGATTTTACTGATCAGATTTCTCTTCTGCAGAACATCGAGTTGAAGGTGGAGGTGGAGAGTCTGAAGAATGAGCTGGTGGAGAAGCAGCAGCTGGTGGACAAAGCGCTGTGAGTATCAGAGTTTCTGTTTTTAAAAACAGACTAAAGGTTTTTTTTTCCCAGAGGGGGGTTCATGTCTGCAGATCAGACCGGTTCAGCTGCTTTAAAGGGTCCTGACAGACTGATATGAAAACGCTGGTTAATCAGAAACCCTCAGGACTAAACCGACTCTGATCACACGTGAGGAGCAGCTCAGAGGACTGTCACATACAGGCCCTGAAGAGGAGGAGGAGGAGGAGGTGCAGAGTAGATGAGGGACAGTAAAGGGCAGAGGTGTCTTGGTTCCTCGTTCTGCTGAGTCGGGATCTCTGGGAGCTGCAGCAGCTGTCTGAGGAGCAGCTGTCCGTCCCTCACACTTCATTTACTCCTCGTCTTTATGGACTCAGACAGGATCCTATAGACCAGGACTTCTCAGCTGGTTTCACTCTGGGACCCACATTTTCCCATGATCCTTCAGTCACGACCCACTTTAACAGAATTTAAACCAAACAAATTAGTTTTTTATTAAAAAAACCTTTAAAGACTCAAATTTTTAACACAAATACACTCATTTTATCAAGTTAAGCACATGAACTGATGACAACAACGACTAAAGTTGTATATAAAGAAAAGATCAAATATTAAATGAATATTAAATCGCACAAAATAAGCTGTTTTTCAAAATAAAAGACATTTGCATTAAATATTTAGTTTTTTGACCAGCTGTTTGCGACCCATCCAGAACGTGTCTGTGACCCACTTTTGGGTCAGGACCCACCAGTTGAGACCGCTGCTGTAGACAAGGTTCCTATGCAAGTATGGGAAAGTACAAAAGTAATGTTATCAATTTACAGGTCTTAAAAAGTAAAAAGTTTTGATAAATGAAAAATAAAATTTGGAAAAATATTGATGTTAACAGACTAAATTAACACAGTTCTAAAAAACTGTTTTCTAAAATAATAAAGTAGATATTTCCAAAAATAATTCTAAAAAATAGGATATGGACAAGTATGGAAATTCCAACTGTGTAGGGACTCTGTATATAGACTGAAATAACAATGCAGGAACAATCACAGTGACAAGAAATCTGCAGTTTAGATTTAAAGTACATTTAGAATAATTTTGGAGCTTTTATTTTGAAAAAACTGAACAGGAAGGGTCTTCAAGTGACCAGGCATGAGAGCGAGAGAGGAGAGGCTCCAGGACAGCTCCAGTTAAACTCCTCGTTGTGTTCGGTGAAAGTTTCTTGCAGCAGATAAGTTTCATTTCTGACCCTGAAAACATCTCAAGTTACTCTGAGTTTAACAGAAACTTCAGCTTTTATGTTACTGATAATCAAACTTTGATAATAAATGAATATATCTTAATGTCTGTGCATCACCTTTAAATGAGTTTGTTCAGTTAATGAACCCCTCCATGATGTCGAACCTTGATCAGCTTCATGAAGGACAAACACCTTCAGAGCGGTTTGACCTCGTTCTCCTGCAGTAATGATCTCAAACAGGAACTTTATATCTCCGTGTCAGACTGAAGCAGAGCGCTCTCATGTGTGAATGTCAGAGTTCAGTCCGGGGTCAAACTCTGCTCCTTTCTAAATAAACTCAGGGGCCGCAGTTTCTCATCGGAGCCATTAAAGAGTCGGACTGATGGATGTGAGGAGGAAGAGCTGACCGTGACCTTCTGCTGCTGAGAGGTGGAGCTCTGACAGAGCAGCTTCATCATGAGAAACACCTCCACCCCGTCTTCAGAGGGGTCAGGAGACACTTCAGCCAAATCAGGGTCCAAACAGATCCAGAGTTAAAAAAACGATCAAATAATGAAGGATCAGGGTCAAGTGAAGATCTGGTCCTAATCTGACCACCTTGGTTTTATTCTTAAGGTGTTTTATTTACGGTAACGACAAACTCTGGAATTAAAACTGTAGAGGGAAACCGTACAGGGACTGTTACACTCAGAGTAAACTGATGGTTTTTATATGAATGAGTTTGTTCATCAAATTGATCGAAGAGACAAAAATCTAAATACAAACCGTCATTAAAATAATGACCAAAGTCAGTTTTGGATGAAAATGAGTTTTTGGTCTGAATCAAAAACTTTCAGATTATAGTCTGCAATATTTGGATTCTGCTCTTTACTAATCTGGGGGACTTTTTATCCTCCTGTCATAGGTCGACCGCTGAGAGCTTGTCCAATCAGAGTGAAGCTGAGCTGCAGCGCCGCCTGTCCGAGCGTCAGGAGGAGATCTGCCACATGCAGGAGATCCTCCAAACTAAAGTTCAGCTGCTGCAGGAGGTACAGGAAAAACACACACTCACACTTTAATGGAAATAAAGTGGAATAGTCCTTTAAATACAAACATCCTCTGACAGACAGATGTGGAGTTTATAGTTTATTTCTCTCTCTCTTTTTTCTATATTCAGGAGGCGGAGTTAGCACGTGGCGAGGCCGAGCGGATGGCCTCGTTCGCCGACTCTGAGTCTCAGCGCTGCCTCGCTCTGGAGAGAGAGATGGCGGAGAGGATGGTGGCGGGCGGAGGCTCAGGCGGGCCGCTCGCTCAGCAGGCCCTCGCAGACAAAGACAGGTAAACCAGCTTCTCCTCCTCCTCCATATATGGACGTGTTTCCTGCAGCTGTGGTCTGTTATCTGCTCCTGATATTGTTGCTATTTTCAGCCGTGCGAGCTCTGATACCGCCGCCGCCGCTGACTCTGTTATTGACTGACCTTGACCCCTGACCTCTGTTGGTGTACCCGTTTTAACCTGCGCCTCTCTCTCTCTTTGGGTCTCAGGTTAATCGAGGAGCTGACGCAGCAGAAACATTCGCTGGATCTTCGAGTCCAGGAGCTGGAGGTCAAAGTTCAGGATCTTTCAGAGACAGAAGAAGAAGAAGAAGCAGAGGTTTTTACTTCTTTTCTTTTTCTCTTCTGCAAAAATCGACACGTGGAGAACATGAAGTTTTCACACAGTAACTTAGAAGTCCATGAAAATTATGAGGAAGAGTCTGAGTCCAACAGTTCATGACAAAAGCTGCAGGGAGTCGCCCCCTGGTGGTCATTAAAGGGAACATCACAATCTTTAGCTCTCAGATCATCCACAGCTAAATTCAGTCTGTGGTTTGGACAGTAATCCGGGTCAGGTGAGCCTCTCTGGGTCTAAATCCATCAGCAGGTCCCCCCTCCTGTCCGCTCAGACCTCAGACTGACTCAGATATCAGACCGGTTTGAGGTCCACATGTGGGTCAGTGGAACTTTGGCAGAGCTGCACAGCCTGAAGATAAGAGCACGTGCAGATCTGAGCGGACACAAACGTCTCTGTGAGGTTATTTTTAATATCAGAGTCTCTGCTGAACATCAGATATTTTCAGTTTTTATAGATTCTGTACGATCGACCCGAGACACGCCGAACACCGAAGGGATCAAACCAGGACCGTCTGAGAGTCAAAGACCTTTAGAGCACAAAAATATCTTATTTCTTACTGACGTTAAAGGGATAATCTGGAGTAAAATTAATTTAGGGTCAAACACGCCGTAACACCGAGTTAGACCCCCCTCCAGATCATGATCATTTCTTTATCATTTCCTTGAAGTAATAATCACCATATTAATCATTTTACAGACGCGGTGGTTCTTCTGCCTTAGCGTCTCGGTCTGATTGTATTTCCATGAAGAAATGATCATAAATGTTCTTCCTTGAGCTGCGGCACCCCGCTGTAGTCCGTAATGGACTTATTTGTGGTTATAGAGTGGCGTTTTGGTTGAACGCGTGGCTCTCTGTATCTCTGGAGGGCGTGTCTAACTAGGTGTTATGGTGTGTTTGACCCTAAATTAATTTGACCTGGAATATCCCTTTAAAGCAGAAAAATATCAGCTGCATGTTATTCATCACTGACTTTAAGGTGGTTATAACCTGTTTTTCTTCTCTCTCTCAGAGTCGTCGCTGCAGAGGAGACTGCAGAGTGAACTCACAGCTGCAGGTAGGACAGTCATTTGTAACTCTCATGACAAACACACAAACAGACTGACTTCTTTTGAATTTCACTTCATGAAGACGAGTTTGCACAGAAAACATAGAGAGGTAGCTCCCCCTAGTGGATCCTCAGACACCCTGCATGTACAAAGCCATCTGCCTTCCTCTCTAGATTTTCTTCATCTTACTTTCTTAATTTATTTAATTTAATTGAAACTTTATTTAACCAGAAAAATCCTCATTGAGATTAAAAATCTCATTTGCAAGAGTGTCCTGACAGGCGGCAGTACTTTTACAAAGTTACAGACACAAACAGTTACAGACGTATACAGACATAACAACCAGCAGAGTCAAACATTTTTAGTCAAAGCATTTACAGCCTGCTTCATTTTCCTCTTAATCACCTTTGATCGACATTTAAAAGGATTTAAAGACACTTTCTTGAATTTTCCTGGAATAGAAACTTGATTTTGAGTTTGCATCGTCTCTGCAAATATTGCCTCTTTTCTCAGTCACTTTCACACCACTCTGCTTCTGCTCACTCTGATAAATGTCACACCTTTGTTTAAAATCATCAGCTCACATGCACTCTTCAGTCCTCGTCCAGTCTTATTTCACGAAGCTGCACAGAAAAATCTGCAAACCTGAGTTAAAAACGAGAGACAGGCGTCTCTGTCCGTCCGTCAGCTGTCAGACTCTGAAAAATGAGCAGAGTGAGCGGTCTGTCGGCACCGTTTGGCACATATCTCTGATTAGGATTAATTGATTTTTGATTGCGTGCCTCATTCCAGCAGATCAGTGTTTTGGCGTCCCGTCTCCAGAGGGCGGGCAGGGTGACAGATGTGGACACGGTCAGGACGCACAAACACATGTGAGGAGAGATTTATCAACAACACGTCCGCTGATGAGAGACACATGAGGACTGAGAGAGTATCTGTGGGTCTGTGGGAAAAAGAGCCGCTCCAGAGTGAGCTCAGATTTTAATGAGGGCAGGTTTCAGGGTCATGTGACTCACTGACATGAGGGAATTCGAACCCCTCCCTTCCTCCTCCCCTCCTCCTCTTTTTAATTGTGTGACAGAGCCGCGGAGGCCGGTCCAGGACTCGGTGCCCCTGGGAAACTCATGAACTCATTCTGACGATTTAGAGAATTTAATGAACCTGATGGGAAACACACTCAGGCCTTGTTTTCTGCAGCTCAGAGAGAGAAACCATGAACACAGCTGAGTGTAAGAGGAAAAAAAACCTGCACAGGATGGAGAGAAAACAAGGATCATGAACGATCACGGACAAAACTGTTTCTGCTTCAGTTTTCAGAGATATCTGCTGCCATATGAAGTTTGACTTTGTGCAAAATCATGTGAAATGAGGAGTTTAGAAATGAAGTAACCCAACATTTTAATTATTTTAGGGGAAAATGAAGCCGCCCTATTATACAGAATTCAACCAGAGGACAAAAAGATGATTCATTTAATTCTCAGAGAACCAAAACTGAAAATTATAAAAGAGGGGAAGTAAATCTAGAGTCATGGAAAAGAGGAAGAAGAAAGTATGACAAAGACAAAATGACAAAATGACAACATGATAGACGCACAACATTTTTGGAGAATATCCTCATTTAAACATATCAAAGGATCTACTTATCATCAAATTTAATCAGTTTTAAAGCATTAATAGCAGATTTGATCTCACTTAAAGGTGATTTTAGGTTTCATTGTCAAACTAAATACGGTTAGGGTTAAAGAAAAAATAAAACCACTCAAAAATAAGTCAGAATAAATCCAACTTTGTTTTTTTTTTCTTGAAGGAAAGTAAATGAATGTTTAATTTAAGAAAGGAGAAATTAAACCGCTCCATAAAGTTTGTATGAAAAGAGACAGTTGGTTGATCAGAGGACAGGGCTCAGAGATCCTCTGTTTCCTGAGGTTCAGTTCATGCAGCTGGAAGAGGTCTCACTCCTGCGCTGATTCAGAGGATTAAAAAAACTGAAAACACAAAGTAAAAATAAGTTTCTTGAAGTGAGAGTTTTACAACATCATAAGTCATTATTTCTTTGTGTTTGTAATCTTCATTTCATTTCCAGGATTGTTGAGTTTTTCCAAACGCCTCAGGCATCAATAATATTGGATGAAAAAATTTAAATATTTTGGTTGTAAATCTACTGTCGTCACAAACACAGTCAATAAAGTTTGTAAAGATAACGTGGAAAAAAAAAAGCAAAATACTGAACTGAAAATATTTTAGTTGCCAAAATAACTGTCAGTGAGGAGATTATCATTATTATTATTATTATTATTATAATTATTATTAGCTATTCATTTATTAATCCCTTAGTGGGGAAATTAAAATTGTCGACAGCAGCAGTACACACAACACACACATTCACACCTGGTACAAAAAAACACAAATCAATAAGATAAAATTTTAAAAAGATAAATAAATAAAAGATAAAAATAAAACACTCTCTACAAATACAAAAACATCTTTTGACTTTATGACAAAAAGCTTCCCTGATTTTTTTTAACTCATAAAATTTTATCTCTTTAATTTTAAGATTCAGTTCGGACGACATTTCTATGAGGTCAGTAATCCTTAAAATAAAGATTTAATACAGTGATTCTGTAAACTGACAGCCTCAGCTCGCTTTTACAGACGGGACTAGTCTCAGCTGCGGAGTGATACCTCCTCTTCTGTATAGACGATCTTTGTCGTCTGTCAACGTTGCCTCGTTGTCTCGCAGTGAAAGCGGCTCGCGCTCTGACAGCCTCACCCTCCACCCTCACCCTCACAGCTGATGAAGCCGCTGAAGGAGAGGGGGACACGGGGCAGAGACTCGGACAGACCCCGGTGAACCGAACCGAACATCCGAAGACGAGCGGAGATAGTCGGATGTTTTCCGTGTTCGTGTCGGCTCGTACCGGGGGAGGCTGCAGCTGCTGCTGCTGCGGGGAGGAGATGCTGACATACAGGGAGACGACATCGATCTAAAAGCTGTAAAACACATAAGGGGATCGATCAGATCAGGATTAAAACCCGGATCGATCCGCCATCACATAACCGAGGAAGTGAGAGAGAGAGAGAAACCGAGAGAGGCGGACAAACATCCGCTCTGCTGGAAATCTTCTTCACGAATTAAAGCTTCAGATCACGTTTTTAAAGCAGCGTGACCGGACGAGATTTGGGATTTTTGAAGCAGGAAATAAACACGGATGAGGCTTCTTCAGCTTCATGTTTCATCTTCATCATCAAGTTTCCTGATTGGATGAATTAAAAACACGAAAAATCAAAATGAAAGCAGAAACTGAACACCTGACTCTGCAGTTAAAGGAGTGATGCTGATGTGAAGACTTTAATCTGAATTTAAGATCTGAGATTAGGATTTTAGTTTTGCTCTTGGCAGCAAAATCTCTGCGCGCTCTGTGAGATTTCATGGACGAAGATTTGGCACATTGAAAAAAAAGAATCATCTTTAAACGACTCTTACCGCCAAATTCCACCGCATCCTGAACAGCTACGAAAAGGTCATATCCTCCAATCGTAGCTGATCGTAACCATTCAAGTTAACGTGTCAATTTACACCAACTTCTTTCTGTTCCTCAGCAGATCGCAAGAGTTCTATTTTTTCTGGACGCCGGAGCATGGCGGATAAATTCAGCACAGATTAACCCGTGCTGGAAAGGAAGTCGGGCACAGACACAAAATAAAACATCCGGCTTCTTTTCAAAATAAAACTCTCCATGTTTCAGGAGGATCGTATTTCACACCATGCAAACGGGCGGAGACGAACGAGTGAAAGGTTTTTAGACGTCATTTCACCCCGATGACACCATGGATGAGGAGATGCTGATTCTAGAAGTCTAGAAGTAGATTTCCTCCTCTGGAAGGACACAATCTACTGCTTATATGTCTATGTGTCTGTCTTTATAGAGACAACTCATTATCGCGCGATTGAACGTGAATCCATCGGTTCTTGTGAGTTCTCACGATTCCTGCTGTCCGTAATTGGCCACAAATTCGCCTCACCAACAGATTTGGTAGGAATTGGCTGACTGTAAAAATCGTTGCTGTTCCGGATGCGGTGGAAACCCGGGTCAGAGGAAAGACGGAGGCTGTGAAGGAACAAAAGCTGCAAAGCCTCTTTACTAATCAGGAATTTGACAAATCTGTGCGTTTGACTCTCTGCGCAAGTGAGAAGAAACTGGAAAACTGATCGTCTCTTGGCAAAAGTAAAGAAATCCCGAGAGTTTGAAGAGGAATTCCTGCGCCTTTCACTGAAGATCCTGAATCTGCCGTTTGGTCGTCTTGGTCGGACTTCTTCACGATGTTGGACCCAGTAAAAATGAAGGAGTCCTGCAGGATCTGCGCTCGAGAACTCTGTGGTAACCAGCGTAGGTGGATCTTCCACCCGGCCGCCAAGGTGAACCTGCAGGTCCTGCTGTCCCACGCTCTGGGTCGTGAGCTGACCCGGGACGGGCGTGGGGAGTTCGCCTGCTCCAAGTGCACCTTCATGCTGGACCGGATGTACCGCTTTGACACGGTCATCGCCCGGGTGGAGGCGCTGTCTCTGGAGCGCCTCCATAAGCTGCTCCTGGAGAAGGACCGGCTCAGACAGTGTATCGGAGGTCTGTACCGCAAGAACAACGCCGAGGATTGGACGGCGGCTCCACCCGGCGCCGTCATGGAGGTGATCGTGACAGAGGCCGAGTCTGAAGACTCCCCTGTGGTGGATCTGTCAGCCCTGCAGGATGTGAGATACTCAGACATGATCCAGGATGACCTGACGTACTCGGTGTATGAATCCTGGGCGGATAAGGAAGAACCGACCCTGGACCAGAACACCCACCAGCACCACCTCCTCCAGTGCCCAGGAGCGGACCCTCTTTCTGGGCAGAAGCCAAGGCGCTGCAAAGGCTGCGCAGCGCTCCGTGTGGCGGATTCCGACTACGAGGCGGTCTGTAAGGTTCCTCGCAGGATAGGGCGCCGGAGCACATCCTGCGGCCCATCTCAACGTTACTCCCCGACCACTCCAGCCATGGAGGATCCTGCAAGAACATCAGAGTCCATGTCGGTCGCCTTTGAGTCCCCTTCAGGCGACGCCGATAAGACGCTGTGTGACAGGACCAGTCCCAGTCCGGCGTCCTCTGTGGAGTCACTGGAAACGGCGGTGGACATGAGCTCTCCGTCTGCAAACCACAAAGAAAGAGAGGAACCAGAACCAGAACCAGAACCAGAGGAGGCTCCAGTGAGGAGGGGAGAGACCCCGTGGGACAAACCCCCGAGTGAGAGCGCCCTCTCTGGTCTGGAGGTGACACTGAGCCTCCTGAGGAGCTGCGAGTATCGACCCGTCAAGACCCGGAGGGGCAGCAAGCTCCCGGTTCTGATCAAATCCAGCCTGACGCCGCACGCACCGAGGTCGCCCTGTGGGGGGGCGGGGGACTGCGACCTGTACACCCATCATCAGCAGGTACCGGAGGTCGTGACCCCGTGTCCTCATCAGGAGCTGCAGGCGGAGCTGGCGGAGATGGAGGAGCAGTGGATGGACGAGTATGTCCAGTGTGGGCCGTTTCGCTTCCAGCAGGTGATGACCGCTGATGACCTCTGATGACCTCTCTGTTCAGGTGTAGATTGACCTGATGAGGGTCCCAGTGTCAGGATACCTCCACCTTAGCTGCATCATTTTTTTGGCTGTTTTTTCCCACTTTCCAGGTGGAGGTGGTCTATTACAGTCATTACAGCCGACTATTTCAGTCAAATTAATTCACCTTTCAGGGCTCGACAGTGCGACGTTTAACTCGCATTTGCGACTAAAAATGGATGTTTGCAAGGCAACAAATGTTTTTTCCTGTAAATACGGCGGTGAAGTTAGTTTTAGGTTGGATATATTTTCCTGTAAATACGGCGGTGAAGTTAGTTTCAGGTTGGATATATTTTCCTGTAAATACGGCGGTGAAGTTAGTTTTAGGTTGGATATATTTTCCTGTAAATACGGCGGTGAAGTTAGTTTCAGGTTGGATATATTTTCCTGTAAATACGGCGGTGAAGTTAGTTTTAGGTTGGATATATTTTCCTGTAAATACGGCGGTGAAGTTAGTTTCAGGTTGGATATATTTTCCTGTAAATACGGCGGTGAAGTTAGTTTCAGGTTGGATATATTTTCCTGTAAATACGGCAGTGAAGTTAGTTTTAGGTTGGATATATTTTCCTGTAAATACGGCGGTGAAGTTAGTTTCAGGTTGGATATCTGACGGACATTCTCTGAGGATCTACCGGTGTCTTCTCACTCTCCATAACCGGGAATAACAACAGCAGCGCGGTTAAATCTACTCGACACCCTCACTGTCAACGTCGGTGTTGAATAAGGGACCGTCAATAAATTACCGGTTGATGTTCTCAGAAAAGGCTGTTTTCCTTCAATAGCTTCCATGTCATGTGACCAAAAGATCTAAAATTGACAAACATTATTTGATTAATTTTCATTGTGCCCCTAAAGTTGGTTGTGCGGCCCTTACTTTTCAGCTTAGGAGAACATGTGAACAAAGTTAGCGTCGAGCCCTGACTTCTAACTATTTTAACTCTAAAGAAACTCCCTGAAATCTGTCCTAAAAGTCAAAAGAGTATCACAGTACAACTGAAGCTCTGATTTAAATTTACAGAGAATTGGATTCTAAATGTTCTCCAGAGACTTTGGCGTTTCAGTCGAATTATCATCTTTACAGAGGTTGACTTTAGCAGATCTGAGAGGCGGAGGACTCAGACTTTCATCCTGAACGTTAACGGATCAGGTCTCGATCTAAAGCCGACCGCCTCGTTAATAAAGGAGGTCAGACTTCTTCTTCTTACTCATCTCCTTCTCTGCTGATGAAGCCGAACGCTCTCGGCGCCTTGATCACCCTCTCAGGGGGGGGATAGCATAGATTCTCTCCCTCCTCTGTATCCTAGCAACACTTCCGTTTCCATGGAGACAGTCTCCAGCTACTCGGTCCGGGTTAAGACTCGGCTCCGGCTTCATCGCTCTCCTTTGTTATGCTAATGAAGAGAGTGAGAGTGTGTGTGTTAGGAGAGACAAGGCGGCTCTGTGACGGTCTACGATCCGTGAGGCTGTTAGTCTGTTAAAGAGTGATAAAACAGGCTGAGTGAGAGAGCTGTCAGAGCGGAGAGGGACGAGCAGTTTACACCATCACACGCTGAGTTTAGGAGACACGTATATATTCTCTTAAGCCACTGACGATTACAAGGAAGAGAAACGTGTGAAAAAAGGTTCATTCTACATGGACTTTAAATTTAAAATTAACTAGAGAAACGGTGATAACTTAGGTTTGTTTACGGAGACCAGAACGTGAAAATATCAGTGAAACAAAACAACAAAGTAAGGCTTAAATAATTATAACAAGATTAAACAGAAAACAGGTATTCTTTCAATCAAACAAATAATCAAAAACTCAGACAAAGAGAGAGGAAAAGGAACCAAAAAACAATCCAAGAGTTCTTTATGTCAGTCAAGTAATCCTCCGTTTCTGTTTCAGTCTCAATCTTTAGTCCAACCACTTAAGTTGAGTGAGTTCGTGGTTCATCTCCAGTTTGCTCACCATCGTTGTTCAGTCATCAAAAAGGTAACAAAAAAAAAACTAATCTAAGGGTCATAGAAGAAAGAAATAAGTCTGTGAACAACCATACTAAACAATAACACAGTACATGAACTCCAATGGATGTTTAAATAATTAAATAATATTGATTCAAATTAACCTAACATGAAAAAAAATCCAAAACAAACATGATAAATTAACCTTACATTGAGAAAGTGACAGAAACAACCACAAAATCAGCCTTCACCAAAAGAACGAACCAAAAATCAAACAGGAAATAGCGTCTTGCGTACAGAAACACCAGGCCTTAAATTGACGTTTTTCTTACAGGGGTTTGGTGTATGTGCGGTCAACGCAGTTTGTGCAGAGCTACATGACTAAATTCTAATAACAATAAATACTAACAAGATAACTGAAGTTAAATGAGCAAAAGTTTCAGCAAGTTTCTACATTTTTTAGAGTGTAAAGATCGTGTTTTACGGTTCCTTTAAGAGTCCGACTCTGCTGGTCTTAGAGGAAACGCTGACACGGGTTAAATTTTCTAATTAAAGAGGCAGAGCTGAGGTGGAGCTGAGGCAGCAACATCCTTAAATGTGCAAATTTATGACAAACTCTTCCCCTTAAATCCACCTTAACAAATGCATTTCAATGGTTGCTTTTGCTTTTGCTTTTGCAACCAGCCCCTAGTGGACTCTGGAGGAACCGCAGGCTTATTCACTCCTACATTGGCTCTAATTTATCTGCAGCTCAGTTTAAACAAGTGGGGGATCAGAAATACTGTTTTCCTATTAAAAATGACGACTTTATTTTGGGAACATCTTAAAAAACGATCATAAATGATACAGAGATCATCGTCAGGAGTGAAACTAAGAGGTTAAAACGTTCAAACAGAAATGAGCTGAGCTGACAGAAAAAGAGAAAAACAAACAAACTGGTTTCGCTCGTCTCTTCTTCTACATTTTTTTCCAGTTCACTCGTGTTTATTATCGCCTCGTGTTGTTGTGATCCGCTGTGAGAGTCAGACACTAATAGACTGAGTGTGACATCAGGTCATCGCACACATCCTGAAAACAAAAACAAGGAAGTCAACAACACGCTGCCATGACGACAGGCGCTTCCTCAGGAAGTCATCGGAGGACAGTGAAGTGACTCTGGTCCTCCTCTCAGCTGCAGACAGACGGTTAACCGTCGCTCAGCGCTCGCTAATCAGACCGCCGTTTACTTCCTGTGCTGACCTGTTTTTATTCTCCGTCCTCCAGAGGCTGATTGACGAGCAGCAGGGCCGACTCAGCCAGTATGAGAGCGCCGCGGGTCAGTGTGTGGGCGAGCTGCAGAAGGCCCAGGACCAGGTCCGCTCGCTGCAGGCCAAGATCAGAGAGAGCGAGACCAGGAACCAGGTACGCTAACACCTGTCTGCACGTCCACCTGTCTGTTCTGATCCGAGTTCTGACCCGTCTCTGCGCTCGTGTGTCTTTAGAAGCTGCAGAGACGTCTCGGTGAGATGGAGCTGGAGCTTCGATCTGCTCAGGAGGAAGCTCAGAGACAGGAGAGGAACATCCAGAACATCACCGACACGGTCCACTCCAAAGACGCTCAGGTAGAGACGGAGAGAGAGAGACGAAAACTCTGCAAAGACAGAAAGTCAGAGCAAAGTGAGTGAATGAGTGAATGAATGAATGAATGTTTGTGTTTTCAGGCCGCAGAGCTGTGTCACGTGATCGAGGAGCAGAATAAGATGCTGTGTTCGCTCAAAGAGCTCGCCAACCACAGTCAGCTGCAGCAGCTGCAGGTCCGTCCTCCGAGTCGAACAAATCAAGTCTTTTCACATCGCAGAGACGCTAAAGACACCAGACACTACTCAGTCTGTCCTCCTCTGTCTGTCCTCCTCTGTCTGTCCTCCCGCAGGTCTCTGGAGCTGAGAGTCTCCGGGGTCAGGGTGAGGTCCTGGCTCTGCAGGCGTCCCTCTTCCAGGCTCAGCTGGAGCTGCAGGCCGGTCAGCGTGGTCAGCAACAGGCCGCCAGGACGCAGGAGGACCTGAACCGAGCCCTGCAGAGGCTGGAGAAGGACCTGCAGGGGGCGCTGCAGCACAGACGGGAGACGGAGAGACACAACCAGGTCAGAGAAGAAGAGTTAGATGTAACCCTACCTGTGAATTTGAAGCTCCATCCAGATTACTTTGTCTCTAAAACAGACGTGCAGATAAATGTTCGTAAAATAATCATTTTTGAACTTTTTTTTTTACTTTTTTCGACTCAAATCTCTTGAACAACTTACGCTCTGATCATTAAAAACATAATAAATACATATTTGATGTATAATATGAAGGAAAATAAGAACTCTCACTGAATTAGATTTTCTCGATCTTTAAAACTGAGACTGTCGGCTCAGAATAAAGAGGAAAAAACGACAAATGTCCTCAAAACGGACCGAGGAGGAACCGAGGGTTAACGTTCAGATTTTAAACATGAAGATCATCCCTGTGAAGATCATCTCGACTTTGTTCGTCTTCAGGAGCTGCAGCTGGTTCTGGAGTGCGCTCGCTCGACCCTCCAGGAGAGAGAGGAGCAGCTGAGAGAGCGAGAGACGGACCGACGGAGGGAGGAGGAGGAGAGAGAGAGGACCATCAGAGAGCTGAGGACGTCTGTGCAGAGCAAAGAGCGGCTGATCCAGGTCCGACACACACACACATGGACACACACACACACACACACACACCTGAACACACACACCTGAACACACCTGACCGTCTTCTGTTCCTCTCAGGACTGTGAGCTGCTGGAGGACCCGAAGGAGAAGAGAGACTCCGTCCTTCAGAAACTCCGTCAGCGAATCAAAGAGAGAGACCGAGCGCTGGAGGTCAGAACGACAAACTCCACCTGTTCCTGTCTGTTTATTGATTTATCGATCGATTGATCAGATCAGAACTTTGACTCGTTTTCTCCTCAGCGAGCCGTCGACGAGAAGTTCCGCTGCGTGGAGGAGAAGGAGGAGGAGCTTCGTCGACATCAGCTGCTCCTCAGAGAGAAGGAGAGAGACCTGGAGAGGCAGCGCTGCGTCCTGACCAACAACGAGGAGACCATCTCTGTAGGGACACACACACACTCTTCACACACACACACTTCACACACACTCTTCCTCCTCCTCTTCCTCCTCGTTCTCTGAGTGTGTTTGTGTGTGTGACAGAGCCTGGAGGTGCTGCTGCGCGGTAAGGCCCTGGAGCTGGAGCAGGTGAGCGACGCCTGGAGGAACGTTCAGCATCAGCAGCAGGACGGCGAGGAGAGGACGAGCCGAGTCCTGAGAGAGAGGGACGCCATCATCGGTCAGCTGCAGGGGGCGCTGCACGCTCGAACGCAGGAGGCCCAGGTGAGTTTAGAGGAAACAGAGAGACCAGCTGAGAAGGTTCCATTCTTCTTCTTCTTCTTCTTCATGTCTCCTCCTCGTCTTCTTCTTTTTCTCTACTCCAGGATCTGCGCTGCACCCTCCTCACTCGCATCCAATCAGCTCCCAGCGAGGTCCTGGAGGAGCTGAAGGTCCGCCTCCAGCTCAAGGACCGCCTCTTCCAGGAGGTCCTCGCCGACCGCACACGGCAGGCCCAGGAGCACCAGGAGCAGGTCCAGGATCTGCTGCAGACCATCAGCTCCAGGGACCAGTACATCCAGGTACAGAGAGGTTCAGAGAACTGATCCGGTCCACTTTAGAGTTCAGAACCTGATGAGGGTCTCTCTGCAGGACTCTGCGACCCGCCTGGACGAGGTGATGACGGAGCAGACCAGCAGGCTGCAGGAGCTCCGGAGACAGCTGAGCTCTGGTCCGGGATCCAGGTCCGACTCTGGTCTGGACTCGGCCGTGGAGATCCAGGCCCTGCAGGAGGAGCTGCGTCTGGCTCTGAGGAGGGAGAAGGAGAACCAGGAGCAGAACCGGGGTCAGACCAGCAGGGTGGAGTCCCTCAGCAGGACTCTGCACGTGAAGGAGGAGCTCATCAGGGTCAGTGGGGGGTCAGAGGTCTCCACGGTGGTCTTCATGTCCTGGTTTAGGTCTCGGACTCACCTGTCCTCTGTTTGTTTCAGGACCTGCAGAGACAGCTGGTGGACCCCTCGGCTCTCCCTCTGGTGGAGCGTCTGACTCAGGAGGTCCAGGAGCTGAGGGAGAACCTCTTCCAGCAGGAGGGTCCTCCGGCCCGCGGCCCCGTTCTGGGCCGGGACCGAGGCGGCGGCAGACAGCCCGAGTTTGGAGGTGGGCATCAGAGGAGCATGGGACAGTATCTGTAACAGGAGGGGGCACGGCTGTGGGGGTCCGGGTGGAGGGTCCTGCTGTGGGGGTCTAATGGTGATCTGGTCTGGTCTGCTCTGGTCTGGTCTGGTCTGGTGTGGATACTAACCCTGAACAAAAACCTGCATGTTTGTAAAACACAGAAAAGTCACTTTTGAACTTTTGACCGTCAGTGTTTTTGAACGACGTTATTATTATTATTTTTTTTAAATAATATTTAATTATTTTTAAAAAGTTTGAAAATCAGAAATTTCAACTTCAGATCCTTGTTCCTTAACCTAAAAAATTTTCTCTAATTTTTCCTCAAAGTTGAAAAAGGTTTTGGTCAAAAAGTCAAAGATGAAATGAAAAAGTTTAGATTCATTCAGGACGAATATTTCTGACCCTCACAGAGACGGTCGGTGTTTCTCCTGACTGAATCAGTCAAAGATGACCCTCAAAATTTCCCTATTTTCCCTATCCGACAAAAATTTGCCACAAGAGTCTGAAATGTTTGTTTTCATCCTTTTGAATTTTTAAAACGAGGATTTTTTCATCCTTTCTTTGATATTTTTTGCTTTTTTATCACATTTACTGCTCTGCTGAATAACAGCACATTAAAAAAATCTTCGTTTTCGTCCTTTTGAATTTTTAAAACGAGGATTTTTTCATACTTTTTTTCGTCACGTTAAACAACGTTGTCCTGACACGATTGTAAACTTTTCTTTGACTCAAACGAGGTTTCCTCTGTTAAAAGTTTGTGTAAATGTATTTTCTCATATTAACACCTGGTTTTATTATATGCAGTAATAATGTCTGACTTCATGGATGATGTGTGCCTTTATGCATGTTCAGAAAATCTCCTCCCAGTTTAAAAAAATGTTTTTAATTTGATTTTTCAGATTCAGAAAGTTTGTTTCTGTGATTTTATGAAACTGTGAAATTTAACAGCCGTCTCTGTCGTTTCATTTGGAGGAATTTAACGATAAAAACTGGAGTGCAGAGAGTCTGAGTCTGACAGATGTTTAAAAAAATAACCGTAAATGTCAATAAATGAACCTGCTTCATGCATGTTTGATTTTTACAGATTTCTACATTTGCTCTCCTGTTCGACTTGTTTCTGTTCCTCCTCTTTGCACATGATGTCTTTAAAACACAGTTACAGAAGCACCAAAACCACACTGTCTCTTCACGATGTTCAACAAATAAATATCATATATTTATACTAACGTCCCAAAAGTCTCGGATCACAATCAGCTGAATGTTTGGCTGTTAAATGTCAAATTTAAATCAGTGAAAGTGTAAAACCTCGACAAACACGCCCCCTGCTGGTTAATATCCCCTCCTAAAAAGAGAGACTCACAGCTGAGCAGGGAGTCCTTTAGTCCGGGTCTAAAACCGGATCAGGATTGAACTCATTTTCAGATTTTTAACTCTGATCAAAGCAGCAACATTTCCCGTACTTATAATTAAAATTTGATTCACTTCCTAAAATAATATTTATTCATCCAACTCCTGATGTTTGAAACACAAACAGTCCTCCTTACTGTTGAAAATCCCAGATAACACGTTTCTAAAAACACATAAAAATCTAAAAAACAAAGACGATCTCTTAAAAACTCTTATTTTCTGAATTTAAAGAACAAAATTAGTTTTTTAATCCCTCCATCTCCCTGAAATCTTCCCAAAAACATCCAAGATATTAAAGAGGTGACAATAAATCTGCAGAACTGTGGGAACAAATGAGACAGAAAAACAGCGACACACTTTTGTCTCAGCTGTGAATGAATCTCACTTTACTCATTATCTATTAGCATTTTTAGGGGCATCAAATCTGGATTAAATCCCAAAATGTGACTCAAGCAGACCTGACTGACTCTGATTCAGAGACCCGAACTTCAGGTTTAAGTTTTACCTCAATAAAGAGCAGCTGATAAACCCGAACAATCGTCCTAAAGTAAAAAAATAAGTTATTTTTTATTCCATTTAAAGTGAAAACTGAACGATCTGAACTCAACTGAACTCCAGGAACACAAACTCAGTTTCACAAAGTCACAGATTTGCTGCAGAGATGATTATAAAGGAGGAGGAGGAGGAGGAGCAGGAGGAGGAGGAGGAGGAGGAGGAGGAGCAGGTTTGATTTGATGTTTTGTGTCTTTGTGCAGAAATGAGTTCAGAGGATGAAGATGAAGAGGATTTCAACAGCGAATACACCGAGAGCGTGGATGAAGACGAGTCCAAACTGAGGCTCCAAACGAAGGTCTGAGTGATCATTTCTTCGATTTTCTCTCAGACTGATTTTAAAACACACTTGATGGTTTTTCTGACTCACAGTTTCTCTCTGTTTGTGCGTCTGATCAGGTCTGTGGATCTGCAGGAAAGTCCTCCTCCTCTGACCTTCTGTTCGAGGGTCAGGGTCTGCTGGAGGTCAAACATCTGGTGGAGCAGAAGCGGGTGGTGGAGAGAGAGCTGGGTGAGCTGAAGGCTCAGCTGGAGAAGGCCGGCTTCTCCTCGCTCTCTCAGATGAGGTACGAGGATCAGAGAAAGGTCTTCAGCTGAGATGTTTCCTCTGAATGATCTCTGGTGACCTCTGTCTTTGTCTGATCTAAAGGAAAGCTCTCTTCAGTCTTCAAACCGAGAACCAAGATCTGAAACATCACCTGCAGCCGGGCGGCGAGCAGAGAGGAGAGGAGGAGGAGGAGGAGGAAGAGGAGGAGCTGGATGTGACCATCGAAGGCGTGGAGGAGGATGAAGAAGAGGAGGAGAGCTCTGGGATGTGGGACGCCTGGGACACCGAACTATCTCTGTCTCAACATGATCAGAGAGTCCAGACCAGACCGGAGTCTCTGCAGCTGATCCACAACAAGAACTCCACCTCCTCACAGGTAAGGAGGTCCAGATCCCTGACCCTGCAGGGTCCAGAACCTGAAACCTTAAAGATGGTCTCAAACTTCTTCTCCTGATGTTTCTGATGCAGGACGAAGCGGACGGCGAGCGCTCGGCCGCTCAGTCCTCCGCCAAGTGTGAGAAGACGGTCCGTCTGCAGCAGAAGAGCAAAGAGCTGAGAGAGAGGCTGATGGTGTCTGAGGCCACGGTGCAGGCTCAGGCCGAGCAGCTCAAGGACTACAGGGAGCTGCTGAGTGAGCGCATGAATCCACCTCTGAGTTAATGTGTTAAAGGGATATTCCACCGTTAAATTAAGTCAGGGTCAAACACACCGTAACACCGAGTTAGACACCACCTCCAGAGATGAATGTTTTCCAGTTCTTTGTTGGAAGGACAACTGGAGTGGCTATAGAGTGGAGTTTTGGTTGGGGGCGTGGCTCTCTGTATTTCTATCCTGCGGTCGTTACTACAGTTGGTATAACTAGAGAAGGAAGTGGTCGACAACATTCATCTCTGGAGGGGGGGGTCTAACTTGGTGTTACAGCATGTTTGACTCTAAATTAATTTTACGTCAAAATATCCCTTTAAATATTTGATAAAAGTACAAGATTAGAGATGAATAATTCAAACTAAAGTTGAAGTTTCTTTCTCCTCTCTTCTGTGTCTCTGCAGCGGAGACAGCCGTGCAGCAGGACAGTAAACAGATCCAGGTGGACCTGCAGGATCTGGGCTATGAGACGTGCGGCCGCAGTGAGAACGAAGCTGAGAGGGAAGACACGAGCAGTCCAGGTACGTCAGTCTGTCTGCAGAAACACCTGAGCGTGTTTTTAAAAGGACATGAGCCAAAAAATAAAAAAAATTTAAGGACACTTTTTCAGACTCAGATCTGATCTGAATATCACAAAGTTACAATGATCGGTTATTCTAAATATAAAGTATTTCACCTGAAAGGATAAACTTCTGTAGTTGTAATTCCATCTTTAAACACTAGAGGGAAGCAGAGAACAGTATTAGCACAATAACCTGGTCCAGTTTTTCTCATGTTTTCAGCCTAAAAATAAACAAACAGAAGCTCTGGAGAAAAAAAATCTTTTTTTTTTCATTTATTCTGTTTTTTTCCGTCTGTTTTCATCTCTTCTTTTTTTTAACTCTATGAAGTTATTTAGAAATCATCTGCTTTTATTTCAAATATCAAACTGCAAAGAAAATCTTGTTGCTGCAGATTTAAATCTTAAAAACAGATTAAATCAAATTTCTGTTTAATCTAATCTAATCCGTGTGTTTCCCATCAGAGTTCGATGACCTGGAGATGTGCACGTCTCTGGACTGCGGCTCTCAATGGTGGCCGACCACCTCCACCTCCACCACCTCCAGCAGCAGCTCCACCTTCACTAAAACCACCACCCAGATCTCCACCTATGGAGAGGACACCTCGTCTCTGCAGCGCCTGGTGGAGGACCTCCGCTCGCAGCTGTCCCGCTCCCAGGCTGTGATCCGCGGGCTCCAGAACCGGCTCCGCTCCCTCCCCACGTCCAGCGACTGCGGACCCTCCACCCCCAGGAAGGTGAACTGGTCCTTCCAGGCCTCGCCCTCCCAGAGCGGGGCGGAGGAAGACGAGGGCTGGCAGTCGTCTGACGGAGGTCCTTTAGCCTCTCCACGTCACCCACATCACCCTGACAAAGGCCTGCAGGAGCTGGTGTCCCGCGTGGACGCTCTGGAGGACCAGCTGAGGAAGGGAGGGAAGAAGACCGCTAGCGAGGACGCCAAGTCTGCGACCTGGCCGGGGTGAGTAAGAGAGAGAGAGCGAGGAGACGAAAACGATATTTTGTTTTAGTCTGAGAGGAAACAGAAAAAAGTCTAATCTTTACTTCTGATAAAAATAGAAATATAACAGGACAGCTGGAGGATGTTTGATTACCCAAAATATCAAAACTAATGACCAACTACAAAATAGAGTCAGAAAACAAAGAAGAAAAAGGGTTTAAGGTCTGTTACCTGGACAGGTGCAGTTTTAAAATGTTTACTTTTATTAAAGCTAGATTTTATTTTTTAATTTATGACTTAAAATAAAGATTTAAATGTGTTTAAGTTAAAAAAAAGACTAAAATAAGTAACTTTATGAGTAAATAAATGTAGTTTTTTCAGATTGAAATGTTCTCCTAGGAGATATTTTATTATCCAAAATATTAAAAAAACAAAGAAGAAAAAGGATTTGAGGTCTGTTACTTGTACAGGTTCAATTTTAAAGAGTCATTTTTTACTTCCTGATATGAAATAAAGACTTAAATATGTTTAAGTTTAAAAAAAGACTAAAATAAGTAACTTTATGAGTAAATAAATGTCGATTTTTACAGGTTGAAATGTTCCTCCTGGAGATGTTTCACAGTAAAAGTGTCCAAAAACTCTCCCTGATAGAACCACGTTCATAATTTTAGATTTCTGTTCGGTTAGAGGAAGTGTTTTCAGTTCTGATGAAGTCTACAGGAGCCTCTGACTGATCCATGTTGTGGTGTTCAGTGATTTGTTCCTCTGAGGAGCAGCTGTAAATCTCCGTCAGTCTCCATCATCAGGATCTCTTCACGTCGATGAAGTGAAGCAAAGATCATTTTCTATAACTTTTCTGTAAATTTTCCTCAAAGTTGAAAAAGATTTTAGACCGAGAGTCAAAGATGAAATAAAAAAGTTTAGGTTCATTCAGAGACCGGTCGGTGTTTCTCCTGTCTGAATCAGTTAAAGATGACCCTCCAGGTTTCCCCTCGTTTTTTTAATATTTCCTAAGAGCCTTTTTTTTTAATGTGAAACTACTTTAAAGAATTTGGCCGAGCTTCAGTTTCTTTTCCAAACTCAGTTCTTTGTTTTTGTCTGACAAATATTTGCCACAAAAGGCTAAAATCTTTGTTTTTATCCTTCTAAACTCAACTGGTGTTTAGTGTTTTGTTCCTCTGAGGATCAGCTGTAAATCTCCGTCACTCTCCATCATCAGGATCTCTTCATGTTGATGAAGTGAAGCACAGATGTTTTCCTGAAAGTCAGACGGATTATCAGACATGAGAACAAACTGTTCAGTCGGGCTTCAGGACTGTTCTTACAGGCTGGTCCAAGTCCTGAACATGACTGACAAATACACAAGATTTAGAAAGAAATAATGAGAAGTGTCACTTTAACTTCTTTGTATAGTTTTGCTGATTTATTTCATCATTTTCCGTCATTTGAGTTAGAAGAAGAATTCAGGTTTTAAAAAGAAGAGGCCCCAGGATGGCGCCCTGGGGTACTCCATAAGTCATTTTTGATTCCTAAGTGAACGGCTATAAACCAGCTGAGTTTGTTGATTAAGGGAAGTGAGTTAAATATAAAATATTAAATTAGGACTCATGAAAATACTATCTTTTTTCATACTAAGAGATTTCATGTCTGTGTTTTATTCCTCTGATCTCCAGCGTTCGTAAACCTAACGTCCGTTTTTCTGTTTCTCTCTCTGTAGTAAATTCGACACCCTGATCCAGGCTCAGGCTAGAGAGCTGTCTCACCTCCGCCAGCGCCTCAGAGAAGGTCGCGGCGTGTGCAACATCCTCACCCAGCACCTCGGCGACACCACCAAGGCCTTCGAGGAGCTGCTGAGAGCCAACGACATCGACTACTACATGGGCCAGAGCTTCAGGGAGCAGCTGGCTCACAGCGGGGCGCTCGCACAGAGGGTCAGCGCCAAGATCAGCGGACGTGAGTGATCGATCGGTTTATGAATCATAATTCAGAGGAGATACGGAGGCTGAGGAGGGACAAATCTGATCATTAGGGGTCTGATTGGTTTAAAGTGTCATTATCTTACAACAGGAGATCACGCTGAAGATCCAGACGAGAAGACAGAGCTGCTCGCCATCCGGTCAGTGCTCCTTTATAATAACTCAATGTGTGTGTGTGTGTGTGTGTGTGTGTGTGTGTGTGTGTGTGTGTGTGTGTGTGTGTGTGTGTGTGTGTGTGTGTGTGTGTGTGTGTCACCCTGTCACTGTGCCGGATGTCAGTCAGTGGAAAGTATTGGTGTGTGACGCTCGGCTGATGTTTGGTCCTCAGGGCTGAACGGACAGATGATCAGTGATGACCTCACTGGATGTTTATAATTAAGGTCGGAGATGATTGGTTAATGAACGAAGGAGGAAATGAGAGGCGGAGATAACCTAGATATCTCTGTGGAAGGATCTCCTGATGGAGTCTTTGAGATATTAATATAGAAGAGATTTTAACTTGATAACAGCAGACCTCCTTCGATTAGATCAGCGTTTACGTCGTCTTCTTCAGACTGATCCGTTATAACCTCGAGTTTTCTGTGTTTTTTGCAGAGAAATCACAAAACTCCAACTTTAACATCTCTTTTTTTTAAACTGATCTCCTCATTTATTCACAAATGACTGAAATTGTTAACGACACACTAACCCCCAATTTTCACCACATGCGAAACGGCTCCAACTTTCAACATCGTAGATTGTGTCCTTCCAGAGGAGGAAATCTACTTCTAGACTTCTAGAATCAGCATCTCCTCATCCATGGTGTCATCGGGGTGAAATGACGTCTAAAAACCTTTCACTTGTTCGTCTCCGCCCGTTTGCATGGTGTGAAATACGATCCACCTGAAACACGGAGTGTTTTATTTTGAAAAGAAGCCGGATGTTTTATTTTGTGTCTGTGCCCGACTTCCTTTCCAGCACGGGTTCATCTGTGCTGAATTTATCCGCCATGCTCCGGCATCCAGAAAAAATAGAACTCTTATCTTATATATACTCTTTTTTTATATATATACATATATATATATATATATATAAGTGGGCCTAAAATTGAACCTTGTGGAACTCCTTTTTGTGGAACTCCGTTTTGTACATATAAAAAAAGAAAAGTATCCTCCCCGTTTATTTGGGGACCTGTGTATAAGACACCTCCTACTTATGCTGATTAGACTGTCGGCCTAGAACGCCCAGAACACAAATATGTTTAAATACGGTTTAAACTTTTTCATGTTTGTTTTTTAATTTGAACCGTTCCTGTCTTTCTCTCCTCTGAGGAATCGTAGAAACCTCCTCCTCCTCCTCCTCCTCCTCCTGTTTTTGTCTCAGCGCTCCTCATGCCCTCATGTCTCATTAGCTCAGCGTCTTTACCGTCAGCTCTCATTTCCTGCTCGCCATCGTCTCTCTCAGCCCCTCAGCTGCTCGTTAAGTCAGAGAAGCTGCTCTGACATCAGCGCATTACAAAACCTCACAGAGCTCTGACGTCACACGCAGCAGCGCGGGGCTGAGCCGTGATTGGCTGACTTCGACCCACCCTCCACCACCACCAACACCACCACCCATTCATTCATCCCAACACACACCACCACCACTGCTGCTGCTGCTGCTGCAGAGTCAGGGCCAGCACAGCCGATGTCCGGGTGGAGACCTCAGCCGCTCAGTCGATCGGTTAGATAATTAGGAAGGAGTAGAAGGAAAGGAAAGAAGGGAAGGAAGTGAAATGAGGATTTTTTCATTTAAGTCAGAAAACTTAACTCAGCCAGTGTGATGGTTTTATTAATTAAAGGACTAGTCTGTATAAATCTGAATATTTAATGATGTTTAGCGGTCTCTCTTTCCTCCTGTTGGATCAGCTACGGCGGCCTGCAAGGACACATCTGATCCTCTGCAGGGTCACTGTTGGCGTGTAATCTCACGTCCCATATATGAAGGTTATGATCCTCCTGCAGACAGCCTCGGTCCACGTCCTCTCTCTCTCTCTCTCTCTCTCTCTCTCTCTCTCCTGGTGTCCTCCTCGCTCCTCTGTCCTGGAGCTCCTAAAGTCGTGTCTCTAACATCTTCAGTACAGGATGTCCAGGACCGAACCTGCGTAAAAAAACATCTTATTAAGCGTCCCCAGGTGCTCCATGATTTATAAATGATCGGTGATGATGAATATTTCAGTTTTTCAGTCCGGTCCCTCTCAGGCCGTATGTGAACGCAGCTCTCAGCTCCATGGTGGATGAGCGATGGATGTCCTGGATGTTCAGTCACGTGTAACTCGACCGAACCTCAATTCTGTTTCATAACACAGCTGACTGATTTTCATACCTGAGAGAGAGAGAGAGAGAGAGAGAGGAAGAGTCACACCAGCTGGAGGAAACTGGAGTTTTCACGCTCGTCTTTCACTTTATTAAATCATCCGTGGTTTTTAATTTCTGAGACAGACACGCTGATAAAGTCCTCCTGGCTGTTGTCGGGCAAAATTTTGGGTCACACTCCAGTAAACAAATGATGCTCAGTGATTAATTAGAGTGTCCCCTCAGAGGGATGGAGAGAGAGAGAGAGCGAGAGAGAGAGAGAGCGAGGGTCTGCAGTAATCTACCGACATGGGTCTGCAGCACAGATGGTTCACCAGATGTGAGGGAGAATTATCTACTCTGTGTTTTTTTTTTCTGTGACAGACATCTCATCTAAAGTGTCCCTCTGATTCTGAGGGGACAAACGTGTGTGTGTGTGTGTGTGCGTGTGTGTGTGTGTGTGCGTGTGTGTGTGTGTGTACATTAACCTATGCTTTGACTTATTTCACACAGAAACTCTTCGACATATGTCAGTTTAAACAAACAGATGTAGAGACGATTGTGTGTCCGACCTCCGTGTTTACGTTGTGATGATTTGGTTTAATCTAAAGTAAATTCAGATTATTGTTTTATTATTATCATTATTATTGAAGCTCAGCAGATGTAAACTGTGAGAAGTGGAGGTGGAGCTGCTGTCATGGTGGGAAAGTTTGAGCGTTGCGTCCCAAATACCGCCGTATCCTCTCAGCAGAAACAAAAGCTGCATTAATTGTTCTGAGGCTCATTTGCATAAAAAGAGGTCAATTTCATTCATATAGGTGCAAACACACACACACACACACACACACACACACACACACTGATTGTTATTTTACTGCACTTTAATCTAAAATCTTCTCTCCGTGGATAAATTCGCTCTAAACACGCTGATACTCAGTCACGCTGTGAGGCTTCTGCCGCTGCGTCGGCCTGGCGCATGTTAACATGGCGTCTAATCAGGTTAAGTTATTAAAACCTCCAGCGGGGAGGGAAATAGGTCAGGAGCAGCTAAACGCAGAGGGAGGGAGAGAAAGAGAGAGAGAGAGAGGGGGAGAGAGGGAGGGAGTTAGAGCGAGAGGAAACGTGAGGGGAAGCCGCAGAGGGACAGAGAGAGCATCACTCCGCTTCAGTGTTTCAGGAGCAGCACATGGTGATCTACACTCAGCTCTGAGATCTGATCCGAACATCACAGACCTGGATGTTTTTAGACTGATGCACGGAGCTGATCTTACAGGATTTTATCAGAGTTTTTGTTGGATTACCTGTAAAGTTTCATCTTTGGGTGAATCCACATTTTTACATCTTAAGAGGAGACTTTTCTTTTGACGCTCCTGCAGAGAGATTCACTCTGATATAAAACACGACGTTAAAGAGGAGGATCCGCTCGTTCTTTCAGCGTCTGCTCCTCTGTTGTTTTTTCTCTGCGGTGGTCAGTGCAGCGTGAACGCAGAAGCCCTCCGGACCCGGACATCCGTTTAAGCGCAGACTCCTCCTCCTCTCCTCTCCTCCTCTCTTCGTGCTGCTCTGTCGTCACTCCATCTCTCCCTCTGGGCTCCTCTGCTGCTGATGCTGATGCTGGTGGGATAGGGTTTTGTCCAAAAGACGCTTTTCCTTTGAGGGGAACTTTTTAAGACGTCAATACAGAGAGGACTTCTTTCTTTTTTGGACCTACAAAGAGAAAGTGAACATTTGGCTGCAGGGAGAAGAGGGAGACCCAGAGTTCAGCTGCAGTTTTCCTTTTTTTAGCTTTTAAAATCTTATTTCATCTGAAGCTGCTGGAGGATCCTGAACTCGTGTTTTTATCCGAGCTTCACTCAGGATACAGTTTTCTCGCTCCTGTCCTCTCAACATCACTCTGATCTAAACGTTTGGACGACAAACACTCAAATCTTTCAACTTTGCATCAACAGTCGCTGTGCTCTTATCCTGCAGCTTCAGTCGCCTGAGCGTCTGGATTTCTTCTCGTGATCTGAATCACACTCCCAGGATGTGCGTCCAGGTGTGTGCGTGTGCGTAAAGGGTGTCACTAAAATCCATCCTCCTGGGAACCCGAGCCTAATCTGAGGATTTACTCTGCTTTTCACCTGCTCTGATACACATCCAGTCATCCCTCCATCCTTTTATCCCCCGCACACGCGGTACCTGCTGTCACACGCAGCCTCGGGGTCACGACCTTGGCGGCGAAGCCAATGAGCCACGTTTGGTTACCTCCGGTGACACGGCGTGGAGGAAAAGCTGCAGCGGCGGAGAAAGTTCCAGTAGAAGTCTGAGAGAGAGGAGGAAACAGGGGGAGGATGGTGGGTCAGTAGCCCAGGCAGAGGGCCGTCAGCGGGGGAAGGGGGTCAGATGGCTCCCCTGTGGAAGGCCATGCTGTCCAAAAGCAGTCCGCTGTACCGAGACTCGCTGTTCTCCTTCTCTCTGTGGGAGTGGAAAGCTCAGGAGAGGGAACTGCTGCTCCTCAAGAAACTGACCGACAGGGAGAGGAGAGCGCTGCTAACACAACTGGACAAGTAAGACGGACAGACGCACAACTAAACAAACAGACAAGAGGAAACTTTGGACGAAACAGGTTTATGTGTGGAGGTTTCAAAATGCTGAAAGGAAAGAAAAAAATCAGTTTTCAACGTTTACAGTCTAAGTGTGACGCTAAGAAACCAGAATTTAAATCTGTCGAAGCGTCGTCGACTTATCTCAAATACGTCTTTTTTTACTTAATATGAGCCAAAGTCAGCTGGTCAGTCTGGATCAATGAGACTTAAACTGCTTTTAATAAATGTAAAAAAATCAGTTTATGGGATAAGAAAAACATAAAGGTGAACTTTGTTTAATTTAAACCCGATTACTAATTCTTACATCAAGAAACTTCACAAGTACATTTTTTATTAATCTCGTAACGATCCATTCAGGTCTTAGTTTGGTCAGTAATATCTCTGAACAGGTTGATTATTATGATATTTCTTATTTAAAGTCTGCTCAGACATTATTAAACTCACTTTGTTTTTTGTTTTCAGTCGTGTAAATTTCCTCCCTACTGTAGCTCAGCAGCTTTCTGATCGTACTCTCGTTAACTGTTATTCACAGCAGGTGGAGGCAGTATTAAATCCATACAAATATATATTAATGTTAATAAAACCGATTTGTTTTAGTTTGACCTGACTCCTGCTCACAAGTCTAGTATTTGGATCGGACCTGAACCTCTCTGGGAAACCCACCTGGGTCCAGCCAAGTGTTTTGAAGGAGTCAAGACCAGGCTTTAAGAAGGACCCACCTGGAACCCCCTCACACCCGTGTTTGCTGTCTTAATGGTTGTGTCCAGTATCGCTCACGTGATCTTTATTCTGGGTTGATTATAGCTTCATTATATGTTGATTAAAACAAGTGTGAGGGTTTTTTTTAACTGGTCATGAAACAGTCTAAATTAACTGTGACCCAAACAAGCAAAAAGACAATTTTTTATACCTTAAACAGCTGATGTTGGTTTTAGACTTGAGAGACGTTTGTGAGAAAAGACTCTCTGTGAGGGTCCAGGTCTGGACCAGACTGATCCGGGTCGAGTCCTGTCCTCTTACCCAGTGTTAGCCGGTTTAACGATATTCCTATTTAAACCGGGTCGCTCATGTTCTTTGTGTGTTTGGGTCTCAACGCCAACACACTTAAAACTGTCATCTGGGCAGATTCAGCTCAGGCGTTCTCACTGTCCTACAAATGCAGTTCCTCAAACGTCCACTGGAGGCACAAACCCTATTATAGCTCATTTAAAGTGTCCGTTTTTAAATATGGTTACAGTAAAGTTAAAAAACAGTTCGATCACACCAAGACTAAGACTTTAACATGATAGGGGGCGTGGCTAATTGTGCGATAGTGAGTTATCAGTGTTTCAGTTACAAAGTCGTAAAAGAAAAAAGTAGCCAACAGCCAAAAACGGAAGTGGAAACAAGATGGCTACATCTACAAAAGTTATTCTCACGATTGTCTTGTTGAATATCACCTATAGAGGATCGGGTTTCCTATCAGCACAAGCCGTCACCAACACTCGGTTAACAGATGACCGTTAAGACTTGTTAACTAATTACTGTTTAAACCGTCGGTTAAAAAAAACATTCAGAAAACTAACAATTTGCGCATCCATAAACCAGAGGTCGTTCACGACATTGTAGATTACTATTTATAACTCTTCTCTGCATAAACAGGTCTCTGAAAAAACATAAATAAATTAAATACAAGGCTAAGGTTAGCTGCCGTTAGCATGGCCTGCTTTTAAGTTTGTATATACTCATCAAAAATGTAAATTACACTATGACAGTATTTCCATACATCTAACAATACTATCGTATACGGCTGACTTATCAGAGTTATTACAGGAGCTTCTACTTCCTGTTTACAACCGGCGCCACCATCTTTAAATGTCAACTCAGGGGTTTTGTGGAACGTCCAACTTTCCGAGTTGGAAATTCTGACTTTCCGAGAGTCGTTCCAGTTGAAAGTTTCGACTCAGAGCTCGGAAACCCCGACTTCCGATTAAAGCTGGAATGCACCGTAGTTTCCATGACAGCTGATCGTGCTGCAGCTGTTTGTTGTTGTTGTTGATAATTTGTGTGTGTGTGTGTGTGTGTGTGTGTGTGTATCATTGATTCAGATGAATGACCTCTACTGCAGCGTCTGTGTACCAACATGTCATCGATAATTGAATCAGCTGGAGGCGACTCTCCGTGAAAACAACATGTGTCATTATTTCAGGGTGTTTTATTCCTCGAACCGTCTCCTTCACTCAGATCACATCAGGGTTTAATAACGGCGTTTATCAGAGCGAGTCTGCGGCGCCGTGTTAGCCGAGTGATCAGGCCTCATGTGTCACTAAGAGGTTTTTCTGTCAGTAAAGCCGCTGAGGGACAGGTGACTCATGGAGCAGGTAGATCACGGCTCATTACTGATTATCCTGAGGTCACAGGGCTGAGAATGAAGACGCTCTCTGAGGGTCAGTGTTTCTCTGATAAGAGCTCGAACGAGAAGATGTTTGGACCGAGCTCTCTCTGGGTCTCATCTTCTTTTTATTTACAACTGTTTGTGGTGTTTACAAGATTAAAGTGTCTTTTCTACGATGGAGTATGAGGGCCACATAAAAAAAGAAAAATATTAAGACTTGGAGATTAAAGTCTTTACTAATAGGAATAAAGTCGGAGTAAAGTCATTACTTACAAGAATAAAGTTGCAATGAGGTCATTATTTACGAGAGAAAAGCCGTAATAAAAACGTTGCAAAAATAAAGTTGTAATAAAATCCTTATTTATAAAGATAAAGTTATAATAAAATCATTATTTACAAGAATAAAGCCATAAAAAAATCATTATTTAAGAGATTAAAGTCATAATAAAGTAATTACTTACAAGAATAAAGTCGTAAAGTGAATTTCATCTTAAATCTGCTTTAGTTTGAGGAGGAAATGTCTGAACTGGTCACCTTCAGAGTTATCTGTGGGTGCATCAGCGGGTCATTCAGAGAGATTTTTTGGTTTCTCAAGAAATAATCCAACTGATGATCAAAATTTGAGATTCAGAGAAAGTCGAGCTCTGACGAGAACCACGTCTGTCCCTGATGACGGCACAACACCGACAGAAACCTCCACCTGCAGAGACACCGACACCTTATTATGGTGTATAGATTCATATGATAAACTAAAGACATATAAACTAAAGTTATAATCGGCTGCATTGACGGATTGAACCTCTGCACAGACATTTACTGACATTTCCCCCTCCTTAAAAACAGCGATTTCCTACAAGTCCGCCTGGTTCTTTTGCGGAAAAGATGAATTTCTTCATATGTCCTGATACTTCTGACAATGTGATGCTGAAACGCCAAAAGATTTAGTTTCTCCTTGTTTGTGAAACCAAACTACTTAAGTTTCATCTAAATGCTCCACAGCGTTTATTTAAACAACTAACAACAGGTCAGAATATTAGCTACGACTTTATTAACGTAATTATTTTATTACGACTTTATTCTTGTCAGTAATCACGAACTCTTACTTTTTTTTTTCTTAATGTGGCCCTAACACTCTGTCGTACTTTTCATACTCCAATAATCACATTAATCTTCTGTATATATGTGTGTGTTTGTGTGTGTGTGTGTGTGTGTGTGTTTGTGTTTGTGTGTGTGTGTTTGTGTTTGTTCAGGCTGAGTAAGGAGCTTCAGCAGAAGGACAAAATAATCGAGTCTCTTCGCTCCAAACTGAACCAGCATCACAACCACCATCATCGCTCTGACACGCCCTGCAGCAGCCACGCCCTCTCCGACACCACCGACCAATCGGACCGCATCTCCTACGTGTCTGACGAGCACGGCTCGACCAATGAGGACCTGGAGCTCTGCTCTGATGTGGACGCTGCCAGTGAGCTCGGTCAGAAGGAAACGCAGGCATCCGCCAAACTGAGCGCGGGTGAGAGAGACACACACACACACACACACACACACACACACACACACACACACACACACACACACACACACACACACACACACACACACACACACACACACTCCGTCACCTCCTCCTGTTAAACCTCCTCTGTTTGTTTCTAGACTCCCTCTCCCACAGCGGCTCCTTGTCCCGTCTCCCATCAGCCCCTCCATCCGTCACCTCCTCCCACAGAGCCCACTCCTGCCATAGCTGTCCCAGCATGCATTGCCCCAACTCACCGTTCAGACCTGCAGACCTGCAGAGCCACACAGGTAGGACCGGGCGTCGCAGTGTGTCGCAGTCACGAGGCGCTCCTGCTCCTCCTGCGTACCTCCTCATTCCTCCTCCTCTGCAGTCCTGCTCCTTTCTCTCTCCTCCCTGACTCTCTCTCTCCTTCTTTGGGTTTCCAGCTTCAGTCTCCACCTTTCAGCCTCCTCCCCCCTCCTCCTCCTCCTTCACTCAGAGGGTCCCTCTCTCCCTCCATCCTCACCCTCCACCCCTGAGAACCCGTTACCAGCCCAGCGGGGGGGCGGGTTTCTCCCTGGCTGAGGTCCATCAGGAGCTGCAGATGCTGCAGAGGCAGCTGGGAGACTCTGAGCGTGCGTCAGACCGAGTGTCTCTGCATGAGTGTGTGTGTGACTTTAACAAACTGAATCTGATTGGCTGCACAGAGATTTAACTGCACAGAGTTCAGAGCGAGAGAGCGGGAAGTTTTACATGCAGAAATTTAACATCTTAAATCAGCTCGTTTAGATTTGAACGTGGTTTTATTTGTAGATTAATCACATTTATGGTCGGTCAGTTTCAGGGATGGGAATTGAGTACTAGTTCCAAAGGTCTACGCAAACGGGAACTGTCTCTGTTCCTGTTTGCGTAACAAAGAAAGGCATTGATAAAGGAATCATTAAAGAATCGAATCGTTAAGCAGAATCGATAGTGGCATCAATATCGATTAGTCTCATCAATTCCCGTCCCTGATCAGTTTAAGATTTCAGTTTTTCTTTTTCTTTACTTTAAAACACTTCCACACTTCACTCCTGATCAAGACGCTACAAACCCTGCCTCTAATCTGTTCCTCTCTCGGGTCGGTTTGGTTCTTAATTTACACAAAAAAGAAGTCATCTTCACAGTCAGCTCTGTGCAGAATCGCCCTCTGCTGGTCATTAGGAGAACTGCAGGCTAAATTCACGTCTGCATGAGTGTGAGGATCGTTGATTTTTTTGTCTCCTCTTCTGCTCCTGTCTTTCTCGTCTCCTTCATTCTGAACTCTTCGTCTCTCGTTGAATCTCTGCTCTGAGTCTGAACCCTGAACCCTGAACCCTGAACCCTGAACCCCGAGCCTTGAACCCTGAACCCTGAACCCTGAGCCCTGAACCCTGAACCCTGAGCCCTGAGCCCCGGCTTGAGGGGGATTTGCAGTGATCATTTAACACTCATGAAGGATGAAGCTTTGACAGATTTGGTTTGCCTGATGAAGTCTCTCCGTCTTTCTCTAATCGGTCTCTAACACTCTCTAATTTTGACAGAAGTCCGTCTGAGCCTCTCTAAACTCTCTTCCTCCTTTAATCTTCATGTTTTTTTCTCCTCCTCCTCCTCCTCTTCAGGGTTCTCCACCCCTCAGTCCAAACCTCTGCAGGGTTTCCCCTTCACCCACCAGCAGCCCGACTCCTCCTCCTTCCTCCCTCTCTCCTTCCACGGGTACCAGCCGTCTCCTTTCAGCAGCGCCGCCAGCAGCGGTCTGGACGCCAGCTCAGCCTTGAAAGCTGGAGCCAGCCTGCTGGAGAGCAGTGCATTGTGGGATATGACCTACGGACCCAGACCTGTCAGACTGGGAGCCGACCTGTCCTCGGGATCGTCTGGTTATCAGTCCGGCACGAGTAACACAGGTAACCATGACGATTGGACGAATCGTGAAGGTCACAGTCGGTTAAAAACAGAGCAGCATCTATAATCTGGATCATGTCTTTGTTTTAGGTTCAGACCTGATGAAGGAACACCTGAGGGAGATCAGGAGTCTCAGACAAAGACTGGAGGACTCCATCCAGACCAACGACCGCCTCCGACAGCAGCTGGAGGAGAAACTGGCTCGCACCGCCACAGAGAAAGGTGACGCAGACTTCTGGAATCAAAAACACTCGTGAAGATCTCAGCTGTGATCCAAGATTGTCCAGTTCTGGGTGTGTCCATTACTCAAAAATCACAGACTTTTATGTGTCCCCTCTTTCAGGAGCTCCTACCAACATCTACATCCAGGGTCTGGACTCTGTGAGCCAGCTGTCCACTGAGATCCGCCTCCTGAAGGAGGAGAACGTCAGTCTGCAGAACCAGCTGAAACAGACCAGCAGAGGTACGGACCAACTCCTGAAACACCTCAGGGGATCTGATCAGGGTTACATGTGTCTCTAATACCTGTACTGACATGTGTCCGCCTGCAGAGGGCAGCAAAGAGGTGGAGCAGCTGAGGGAGGCGGCCCTCCTGGACCGGGCCAGGCTGAAGGAGGCGGAGCTAGAGGCAGTGAGGTGGACGGAGCAAATTAGAAAGCAGCAAAGTGAAGCGGAAACCAGAAGTCAAGAGATTTCACAGCTGAAGGTGGACAGACAGAAGAACCAGGAGGCCGTCAACAGGTGAGAGACACGGGGACGGATTTGGAGAGTGGGGACATTTTAGGAAGAATGAGGACACTTTTGTAGATTGAGGACATTTTATCAGGTCTTCTTTTTAAGGATCATTTTCAGAATGTGGATCAGGGTTAGACCTGTTGACCTCTCTGAAAATCTGATCGTCTCACAGTTAAACACAGAACTCCTCATGGTTTGGACTTCTGTCACATTCAGACTCTTTTGTTGTTCGATAAAAAAAACCCTAAAATAAAAACAAACACGTATTTATCGTCTCTCTGTCCTCAGACTCCAGCATGAAGTGAGCGTCCTCCAGCAGCAGCTGTCCGAGAGCCGCAGTTTGGTCCACTCTCTCCAGTGTGAGCTGCAGGTGTACCACCGAGTGTGTGGAGTCCCTCCGAACACACACACAGGTACGAGGCTTTAATACTACAGTATAACATCATATAATAATGGAAACGCTGCCCAAACTGGACCTACATATGTGTGTGTGTCTGTGTGTGTGTGTGTCCGAGCAGGTAAGGCTGGGGAAAGCGCACATCTTGGACACAGCAGCGTGACCTTTGACCCCAGAGAGCTGCACATTCAGCTGGAGCAGCAGCTGAGCGGACGGGCCGACACGCAGCCCCGAACCAGGAGGAAACTCTTCAACGGTCAGTCTGAGATTAAAAAAAACATCCTGAATGAATATTTGTATTTTTGTATTTTTGTGTCTGACAGAAAAACGTTCCTCCTCCTCCTCCTCCTCCTCAGATAACGTCCCCTCGCCTCCTGTGAGAGACACCGGGCTCATCAGTCCCTCCTCTCCTCTGCATCCTGCAAAGAAACATGGAGGAGAACCAGGAGGAGAACCAGGAGGAGACAGTCAGGGTGAGAAAACGTTCATTTATCGCATTTTCATGAACCCTCACTGTTAGACTGATAACTCATCCTGCCTCTGTTCGTGTCGCTCGCTCTCTTTCCCAGCAGCCTCGTCTCTGCAGGGTCAGGCCCCGGACGGCTCATTCACCAACCCTCATGGCCGCCATGCGGTCGGCCATATTGACGACTTTAAAGCTCTGCAGCAGCAGATCCTGGAGGGCGGCGCTCTCCTCAGAAAGATGGAGGTCACCCTGAGCTCCCTGAACACGCCGCAGGAGTTAAACTTCCATCAGGTGAGACTTCCATAAAAACGGAGACTAATGAACGTGTGAGTATGGATAACCAGCAGGTTCATTGACGCTCTCGTGTCGCTCTCAGCTCTCAGACTCGGGTCATGTGAGGAAGCTGCAGTCCGACACGAAAACCCTGAGACAGATCCTGGAGGAGTCGGACTCTCTGCTGCGAATGTTCTGGAGAGCAGCTCTGCCCGACAAGACGGAAACCGAACAGGTCGGGAAAGTGACGCTGAGACACCTCGAGAATCCTCCGATGATTCGACTCTAAAATATCTGATTTCTAAAGTCTGACGCCTGTCTGTGTTTGTAGGATCAGTGTCTGATGGAGGAGGTCGTTTCTCTCCGTCTGAGGCTCTCGGAAAAAGAGGAGGCTCTAAAGGACGCCATGGAGAGAGTGAAGAGCTCCAACCGCACCAAAGATAGCATGGAGCACTTTATAGTCAGCCAACGTGAGTCAGAAACGCTCCGACGGTTTCCTCTCCACATCACAAAAACCAAAGAGAAGCAGATTCATGAGGGTGCTGCACATTTAACACCACAGAGCTGTGCCTCGAATCTTTATTATTTTAAAATCCCTGCAGAGTTTATTTTATTATTTTATCAGATCCAGAGCACCTACTTCCCCTGCAGATCATGCATGCAAACATGACACAAAAATCCATGAAATGATCCTCCTAAAACCCGAGGCAGGAGCGTAAAAATAGCAGCTCTGCTCCGAGGAGTTCTGAGGATTATAAATAATCATGAGATGGGTTATCGTTTTATCATGTCTGCCTGAAGCATCAATCCCAGAGTCACCTCCCAGCTCTTGTTTTTCACAGCCCACGTCTTTTTTTCATCCGTTTAATTTTCTTAATCCTGTAAAAAAAACATGAAATCTGTGAAACTGCAGCCAAGAGAAATCAGCTCTGTGTCTCGGTGGTTTTATGACCTTCATTATTTGTTCGAACACAGTCTTGCTGACCTTGAAGCTTCGTTTCTTCTGATGAAACGATGACTTAAAGACTCTCTCTCTGTGTTTGTTGACAGTGTCGAGGACCCGGGACGTGTTGAAGAAAGCAAAGACGAACCTGCAGGTGAGTTTTTTTACCTGTTCGATCAGTGAAGGTCTTTGGTTGAAGCAGGTGGAGCTGACTCTGAGCCCTCATTAAAGTCACCTCACTCCTGCTGTCTCTCTCTCTCTCCTCCTCCTCCGGCTCCTGCTGAGTCTCCTCAGGAGAACCAGCTCAGGATTTCCTCCCTGCAGCCGGCCTCTTTCTCCACTCCCCCTACCTCTCCTTCCTCTTCCTTCTTCTCCTCCCCCTCCTCCTCTCCCTCCTCTTCCTCACACCCTCGGTTCAGCAAAGGTACGACCCCTGAGCTTTGCTGTGCGCCGTCCTGATAACCTCGTAAAGCTGCTTGCTCTGGGTTTGAAGTTATTTGTGTGTGTGTCGGTAACTAAGGACAACCGAACGTCTTCTTTAGCCGCTTGTCTTGTTAACAAACTAAAACGCCCTGGAGGAGACGGGTGGTAAAACGTAAAACCTGCGATGGATTCAGGTTTGAAAGCTCAGGGACGTGATGGTGGCTGTGTCTTCTGCCTGTCAAAGTGTGAAGTTTGTGGTTTTGGTCGTTTTTTTAAAGTTCTCGTCTCTCTGAAACCGTCTCCTCGTCTCCTCGTCTGTTTCAGGTCAAAACGCCGGAGGCTTCTGTGAACTCGCCTTCTCTCCTGATTGGGGTGTCCTGAGGTCTCGGACTTCCTCCTCTGCTGTCAAGGGAGTGTCTCACCACCACAACCTTCACCACCACCAGCAGCAGCAGCAGCAGCGCCCCCTGCAGTCAGCCTTCCTGTAGCACCAGCCCCGAACATCACCGTCTGTCTGAGAAAACGCCGGAGCGAGAAACATTTCAGCTGAGCGATGTTTGTCTGAGTGGAGAGGATGTCGGCGTCGTCAGATCTCTGCAGGTCGATGAGAGTTAACGAGTGTTCGTGACTGTGGTGGCTTTGTCGTGAGCGCGGGTGCGATGAGGGTTCGAGTCGAGGCGTCAGCTGAAATGTTTTCTCTGTTCGATATGAGACCGGTCTGAGCTCGCCTGATGACCCAGAACTTCGGATTAAGAGTGTCAGTTTTACCCAGTTCTTCCAAAAGTTGCTGTACCTTAAGTGGCCACTAGAGGCTGCCTCCTTATCTGAGTCAATCCTTATAGAGCTTCATGTAACCTGAGATTTCCACCGCATCCGGAATGGCTGCGATTTTTCTGCCAATTCCTACCAGATCGGTTTGTGAGGCGAATTTCGTGGCGGATTACCGACAGCAGGAATCGCGAGAACTCTCAAAAAGCATCGGATACACATGCAATCGTTGTCCCTATAAAGACAGACACATAGACATATAAGCAGTAGATTGTGTCCTTCCAGAGGAGGAAATCTACTTCTAGACTTCTAGAATCAGCATCTCCTCATCCATGGTGTCATCGGGGTGAAATGACGTCTGAAAACCTTTCACTTGTTCGTCTCCCCTCATCTGGCGTTGGGGAAAAACAGAACTCTTGTGATCAGCTGAGGAGTCCGACTTGAATGGTTACGATCATCTATGATCGGAGGATACGACCTTTTCGTAGCCGTTCCGGATGCGGTGGAAATTGGGGGTAAGCGTGTCGGTTTTACCCAGTTCTTCCAAAAGTTGCAGTACCTGAAGTGGCCACTAGAGGCTGCCTCCTTACCTGATTCAATCCTCATAGAGCTCCATGTAAGAATGTTCAACTTTGCAGCAGAAATGAACATGTTTACAGATCTGAATAATTCCAACAGAACCCTGCTGCTCCAGGCGGTAATCATAAATATTTCAACGGGCGTCTTAAAATGGGTGATCATGGGGACTCCTCTGCTGCCCCAAGTGGACACTAAAGGAACTGCAGCGTATGTCTTGTTGAACTCGTCTTGGTGGTTTCAGGAGGATAAAAACAGAAAAAGTCAAACTCCTGTTTTGAAACATGTCCACTCTCGTCCACTCTTCGATCTCCAGTTCTCGGTCAGACGCCGACCTCGGCCTTGTCCTTCAGTGACCACCTGACCCCAGCGGGAGAGGGGCTTTAAAGAGCCAAAACCAAACTGAAAGTGCTTCCTGTCGGCCTCTCTCTGCGGAGGCTCCTGTTCGTAGTTAGCGTGTAGAGTAGTTGCATGTGGTTTCAGCAGCTTGTGGAAACAAAGCCATACTCTCTGACAGTCCAGTAGCTTTTGTTCTGTTTTGTCCTGATCGTACTCAAAGCGTCATTAAAATGGCCGACTACTAAGAAAATACTAGAACTACCAATATGCGGTTTAGTCGAATAGCAGGTAGATGAATTTTTCTCACATTTACTCGGAGTTTAAACACAAATTTATGAACTTTTGCTGAAACTCCAGCGTGTTTCTGTCAAACGTGGAGTCACGTGGGTCCAACCCAGTTTGTCCTGCTGAAACTCAAACCTGCAGTGTGGAAACCCGCCTGGTGGAGGCGCTGTGGTGAGCAGCTGCGAAATGAACCAGTACTACTAAAAGCAAGCATGAGTTACAGACTCAAAAGAGATGATTTTACGATGAAAAGCTGTTTATTTGAGCGTGAACGGTCCAAAAAGACGACATTTCAGTTTTATAACCAGATAATGGACCACGAGTTTATTTTTTTGAATATATTTTAGATGTTTTTGTTATTTTTTAAGCTAAATTTGTGAATATTTGAAAGTTTGGGCTTCCCTCAAGATGACAATCACTTTTAAGAAAAAAGTCTTTCTTCTAAACTTCTGCAGGATTTCTGAGTCTCACTGTGCAAATCCTCAAATCTGGTATTTTACACTGGTGTTGTTATTTAAGTTGTCTTGATTTCTCTGTATAGTAGGTTAGCTGTTTTTGTTTTTTTGTGCATGAACTGTGGCATCACTGCCATCTTTTACTTCTACAAAAATATGCAATTTTTTGGGTTACTGTGCAATACTAGCCTTGATGGTTTTGCTTTGTGTGGATGTTTGGGTTGTTAAAGTGCCATGTTATCTGTTTGAGGTTATTTTAGGAGGAATATCTCCATTTAAAGACAATCAATCTGAGTTTATTTATTTATCTATCGGCCCGGCTCATTTTGGCTATAAAATCATTTAGAAATTATACCAAAAATGTAAAATAAAACATCGTAAAAGAGCACAGGGTTACACAGTAATGAAGCAATAAGATCAACCAAAGCGTGAGGAATCAGAGGACGTTTGAGTGTTTTGTTGTGTAATCTCCTGCAGGTCAAAGGTCAAACTCAGTGTCTTTCTCAGTGTCTGTGTGGTTTCGATGAACCACAGCTCATGTATGTACATATTAACGAGAGGAGTGTGTACATCGATGCAAGTTTTTTTGATGCTGTCGGACAAAGACCAGCTGTATTTCTATGCATGATCTCTTTATAAAGCAAACAAACCAACCAACAGTGTTTTGGGGTAAAAGAAAAAGAACCTTTTTAATAAAAAGGGACAAAACAACGTCTGTGTTTCTGGTCTTTTTTTACATCAGATATGACTTTTTTTGTTTTATTTCTTAGGGTTTCACAGTTACGTTGGCAGGTAAAGTAACAGTAAGATTTCACAGTTGAAATAAACTGAAGGGAAAAGAAGAGACAGAAGGTGTTTAGAGGTGTATCATCACCTTCAGCTTTAAACATGTGGGAGACATGACTGTCCCCTCCATGATCCTGATAAAGGTCTGCTCAGTCTGCTGGATGTCCTACAATCTTCTCCTTCTTCACATGACTTTTGATCCAGCGCCTTATTTATAGTTATCAGTCGGCCACATGTCGGTTGATGGTAGGCTAAAGTTCTACAGCTTTTAAAGAAGAAATAAATCCAGGACCAGACTCTAAATGTGACCTTCAGAAGGAGGAGCTGAACAGTTTGTGGTGAATTTTGGAGGACTGAGTCGAACCCTAATCATATAATTAAATTAAAATATAAAACAGAAAAAAAGCTGTTGTTCTGAGGAGGGATAAAACGGCTCAAATTTACCCAGAAACTGCAAAAACTATCCAATTATTCTCTACATATTTTGTCTTTCAACAGATGGCAGCAGACTCCAGCCAATCACAGACTACCATGACTCTCATTGGCTCCGTTTACACACACGTAATAAAGAGTTAGACGGCCATATACGTAAAAGTGTTCAAAATGCACGGTTTCTTCTTTCTATCTGAACATTTGCATATTATAAAATACATATTTAAGCCTGCGTGGGCTTTAGGAAACCCTCACTCTGGGTTTGTTGGCAAGTGACCTTCGAATTCAAGAGAGGAAGAAGACTAGACTTCCTTCAAAATAAAATCAGCCTCCCGTGATTAAATGCTTTAACGTTGTAAATAAATCAAACATTTATTATCTATAATTTATGACAGATACATTATAGAGAAAAATAGACATACTCATATCTTTACCCAGTTACAGGTCAGACATAACATCCTCCTGTTTTACTGTATGTGTCCTCTGGTTAACACTAAGACTGTTCTTAATTTCAAAAACAGATATTTGAGGAAAAAAGCTATCTTTAAGATCTCAATATTTTTACAACCATCTAATAACAAAGATGGGTTTAATTAATTTGATATGCAAAGACAAAACAAAACACTAATGCATGCCTTTCTGTAAGTTTTTTGCAGATCATGTTGATGTAACAACTAATTAAAAAAATGGTTAACTCTGGGCAGATTTTCAAAAGCAGTAGGGGAGAGTGGGGTAAGATGATCCATTTTTCATATTTTGGATCTCTACATCAAGTCAGTCCTAGTTTTGTCTCACCCTTAATAACAGCCACTTCTTTACATTCATGTGTATTTTGATCTATTATATGCTATTCAATGGGTACAATAATTATTTTATTATTATAACATATAACTGCTAAAAAGCTGTTTTGTAAACACTTTATCATGAGAATGTCTTTACGTGATTCAGAACATTCACAGCTGTATTTTTGAAAAGAAAAAGAAAAAGTCAAACATGTACGCCGAATGCGTACAATGCTACTGCGTAATGTTGGTTTCAGGAAATGAAGAAAAATCGAGGAAATACAGAGAGCTATTTGGCTTCAAATCCGTATACAGGCAGGAGGCGGAACCAAGTTGTCCTGAGTATTTACAGTCTATGGTCTGAACACAATTCTAATCAAACTTATGACAGACTAAATTCCCTTTCAAGAGTGAAAAATGTTTTTTTGTGAATAAATTTCTAACCCCTTCACTCGTGCTTCTAACCTTCACAGACTCCATGAATTGATGTCCATCTCCTAAATATTTGGTCACATGATCAATTTCTTTGACCATTTCCAAGAAACGGGGTGGCTCAACTTATCCCACTCTCCCCTACACATAATAACTTTCTAATTGAATAAATTAAAAACATTACTTCAGATTTACTAAGGTTTGTCAACATTTCCTTTGCCCCTGAAGTGCAATACAACATTTCGTTTGACTATTTTTTTTAAACTTCTGCTTCCTCAAAAACAAAAAAAGAAACCCTTTTAAAAAATATTCACAGGTTTGACAAGGACATAAAGTGGCGGCTTTTGTTTTGGTAACTCAAACCGGATCTTGTGTTCTCGTTCTCCCGCGCTTGACGTCACAGTTACCGCGATAGAGTCAGGAAACAGGCAGAGAGTCGCTGTGCGCCGCGGCTGCAGTTTCACTTGGAGCTTCACCGGTGTCCACACACTCAGCCGAGCTCTCACCAGGGGATGGAAGGACACACACAGAGGAACTTTACTGCCGGATAAAACACCGAGGAGGAAAAATCTACAGAATCCAGGCGGGATTCACCCGGGAGCTCCCGTTAGGAGCGCGGACAGACCTGTCATGGGTGTTACGGTGTTTCTGGGCAGGTAAACGTTAGCAGGCAGCCTGGCTAGCCGCTCAGCTAGTCAGCTAGCACAGGTAACTAGCAGCTGCTAACTTCACAAGTTGGGTTTGGTGATTTTGTGAGCCCGGCATGGATTATATTTTAACTGTGGAAACTGGAAACTCTCCCCTTGAACAATTGTAAACCCTTTTTATTGCCTTAAAGGCGGATAAACCCTTTTATTGTCCCTGAAGGTTTGATTGACAGCCCGTCAGAGCGGGTTTTCCAGATGTGCAGCCAGCATGAACACTCTTCCTAGGCTCTAAAAGAAGAGAGCCACATCTGCAAAGACTGGCTTTTAACCAGGAATGGACGCCTGGAGGAAACTCTTTCTGGACTCTCAACAAACTGCATCAACAAGCGATGAGTTTCATTTTGGCAGACTGGCGCTGTTAGCCCGCTAACTGCAGACACAGTCACCAAAACAGTCACCAAAGCACACAAGGAGAGGTTTAAAGAGAGGAGAGAGAGAGACAGAGGGATGAAGAGGACTGAGAACAAAAACAAGAGGAAACTGTGTAACATGGAGCAGCAGCACAGCGACGACAGAGATGCGGTGAGTAATCAAGTCAGTGTGTCAGTGGGTTCATACAACAGCAAGGCAAGGTGGCTCCTTCCTTCATTCATGAGGAGCCTGTCAGTCCACGCTCAGGGACACAAACACCACAGTCAAACCTCATTTTTGTCATACTGGCAACTCGACAACTTAAGCAACTTAATAGTTTTATCAGTTTATGTAAATAAAAACCAAACAAAACAGAAATTAGGGTTTCTACTCCTTAAAAGTGCTTCACAGAGCAGATGTCCCCACCTGACAAACGTAACACAAGTCTTAAGAGATCAGAAAACGCTTTGAATTTAGATGGTTTTCAACACACATATTAAGTTATGGAAATTATGGAGGGGGGGGGGGCATGATCTGCTCAATTTGTGACATCACCAGTTGGTGAACCTCTGTTAGCATAAACGTAACACTTATGCTGCGTTTGAGTTACCTCAGAAGTCAGAAAATGACATCACATCTGAGTTACCAGCGTTTCAGTTACAAGTTGGAAAAAAGGAAATCTGAGGCCTGACACAAGATAGCTACATCCACGGAAGTTATGTTAGCGCTTCCTTTATATTCGGACAAGGCAAGCGCTAAAATAACTTTTGTAGTTGTAGCCATCTTGTTTGTTCCTCCGATTTTGCTTTTTTCCAACTTGGTTACTGAAATGCTTGTGACTTGTGTGTGATGTCATTTTCAGCTTGAACTTCTGACTTCTGACGCAATTTGACGCAGCATTAAATTTTTAACTTTTAAATTTTTCTGGGGACTTATTTTGTGAAGTTCCAAATTTTCAGGTTTAGATTAGATAACTCAGGATTTCTTTAACTTTCATTTAAAATGGGGGGAAACATAACTTTGTTGCATGGCAACAGTGGAAGAGGCTTCTCAGGGCTTCAAGTGCTTAGGTGAGGGATTTCAGAATCACCAATCTGAGTTAAGTGTTTTAAGGGAAATTCGTGAATCAAAGATACAATATAATGCCTGACAATGAGCGTTATTCAAAAACTGCTGTAGCTGATTTGATGTGTATGCTTATAACAGATGTTTGTCATTAAATTCATAAAAATTAACCAGTAATTTAGCATGTTTTAAAGATGTTTCTGGAGTAGAAGCCACATAAAACAGACACACATGAACAGACAAATGTGGATTTATGAAGTAAGAGGATGAGGATGAAGGTACTATGTTGTGGACATTTCAGATCAGCCTGTTGCTGGGTTAGGTTTTGCTGTTTTTTGTGCTTCGGGTACTAATGAAGTTCTGGCTCGCTTTGTTCACCTGCTGCAGAGGAGCCTTCTTGTCCTCTGCCAAATTTTTAAATGACCTGTTCCAGTCCAGCTGTGTCTCAGCTTGCCTCACCTTGGTGGGGATCTCATAGATGTCTGTTTGAGTCTTTCTCTGAGGCTGGTTTTGCAGAAACCTCAAAATGTTCCACCTCGGCTGCACCGATGCAGACAGGTGTGGGTGTCTTTGTTCACTCTTTCCCTCCCTTATTCATATTCATTCATTCATTCCAGATTTTGATTCTAGTTTTTAGAGCTGATTCCTCACCTGAAAAGATTAAAATCACCTGTTTACATGTCATTCATAAAATCATCTTATCATCTAGAGTGGTCCAAATATGATTCCAGTGATTAAGCAGCCTGTCACATCCTCAGGTCTTGTCTTCTGAAAGACATTTGTAGGTCAAATGTGTTTTGGGTGTGTCTGAGGATACTCCTCCACATCTCTGGGTTTTTGTTGCAGCTCTGCATCATTTGTGGTTTTTAACACGACAGTGAAAAGACTGAATATCACACAGATTGCACCAAAAATGTTCGAGGACATAGAGTTCTGAATACTGAGTGCCAAGGCGTATGAATTTGAATATGTGTGCAAGTGTGTGTGTGTGTGTGTGCGTCTGTTTTGTTGCTAGGGGAAGAAGCCGGTGTAAAGCGGGCTAGTGGGGCAAGTCTGCAGAGCGCTGTGACAGCTAATCTCTGCTCTGACGGTGACTGAAGATGAGGTCTGTGTAATGACTCAGCTGCTGGTGGAAGAATAGAGGAGACTACTTTGTA